AAAGTAGTCCATCTGCGACATGTCGCAGACTGCAGTTACAACCTAGGAAACTCCTCTCTAGTAGTATCCCAAGTCGAAGAAGGTTTAGGAACCCTGGTGCCCTACGATTTAAAGTCTTACGCTAACTGTGACAAAAATGCCTTTCGAGCAAACCTTGCACTGGTAACATTGAAGCGCATTTTTGGCCAGTTTTCCATATAATCTTTAACAGTTTTATCCATCCCCATTTAGAGGACGGAAACATAGTATTTCCTCCCTCACTCCAAAAGGACAAGGTCACTTTGGAGCGTATCCAACGGCGAGCCACGAAATCAGTTCGAGGATTCAAATTTAAACCTTATGAAGAGCGCCTTCAATCACTTAACCTTTACCCATTAGAGTATAGGCGTCTTAGATGTAACCTTCTGATGACTTACAGTATCGTTAACACTTCTGGACATCCTAATAAACACTTACTTAGGCTTAGTTCCAACACTAACCTAAGGGGTAACACCCAAAAAATGGAGATACAACATAGCAGAACGGACTGTAGACACAACTTCTACTCCTTAAGAGTTGTCAAATGCTGGAAGTCGCTGCCGGCCGAGCTAGTCCAAGCGATTTCCCAGGAGTCCTTTAAGAGGCAACTTGATCTATTCTTAATGATTAAGGATAGTATTATACTATGATTTACCAATTTCTTTTTCCTCTTTTATTGTTAACATACCTAGGTTCCTGCCTGGAGGTTTTGGTGATCCCTTGCTACTAGACACAGAAGCCTGTTAAGCGAAAGCTTCTTCTATTCCGTCCACAACCATTTGACCATTTGACCATTTGAGGGTTTTTTGTGTTGTAGGTCAGTAACGTGTTCGAAGTCATGCGCTACCATCGCTTGATTTTTCCTTCGACTTTCAGATTGTCCTAATCTCCGGTATGGGTTATTTCTAGTCATAAATCATTGCTTTTATTCTATAATTTTAGTTCACATCATATGCTTGGTATGTCTTCTGTTCATGTTTTATCTTTTTCTATTCTCCACTTGTAATTATTCTGCTCCGCACTCCTAAAACGAGTGGATTAACTAGTTAATGGGATACTACTGTTCTTGAATGTATATGTATAGACATATCTAGCATATGAAGCAGTAATAAACTATCTAGTATAGTAGGACCGAATGAACTTCCTTGTGTTTGCATTGCCTGAGAATCACCAGTAATTGGTTTTTAGTGAAATAAATCTAGGGTTGCACACGACTGGCTTAATCTGAATTCGAGCTTTCCAGTATCAATAAGTCACTGGGCCTGAAATATTTATGGGTAACATAGTCATAGAATGTGATTTACACATACATAGAGTCAGGTGTTGGAAGCGGATTCTGATAGGTCTTGAATTTTGGTGCGAAACTATTTCATTTGGCTAAATAGAATTTTGAAATTATAGCTGATGTCAGTTCCTAACCCTGAATTCCAACTGTGAGTATTAGTCATACTTCGAGTTATCCGGATACCACTACCTAGGAAGTGATATGCATAGATGCAAGAAAGGGGTTGACGTCCTTTTATACATAGCCAATACTATATATATACGCACATTTACTTGCGAATCCTATGGTAGTGGAACTTGTGAAGTTATTAGCTGTAAACTCGCTATCGGATGATGTATATTTATACTTGGTGTCATATGGTAGTCAAATCTGCTTATTTGATGGCTATTTTAGAGCACATTCGGCTATGGGGTACAAGTAACATGCTTGATATTCGGAGGCTTTGATGCACCTGATATTAGTTGGACTGAGATGGTCACGGTAGGATTTATAAACTTTGATAGGTTCCTGATAACGGTAATGGAGCATGTATCCGAACCCACACGTTTTGGTTCAAACCAAGGTTATTATTTGTTATACTTGGTAATTACTCATCCAACTGAGGATACTGCCAAATATTTTCCCACCGTTAGTGAATATCGATCACGCTGTTTTGTCATTAATGCTTACAACTTGTGACATTATATACGACCCGGTCAAGCCTCTCTCAAATGTATGGAGAGCTAACATATCAGCCATTCAGGAGTGCACTGTTAAAACAGATTTGTCAATAGATACTAGCTCATCAGTTGAAACATCGTCTGTATTTAGTTAGTTCAGTTCAGTTACGTCCTCGTTTATACCATACCTAGTACCACATAGACTGAATAACTGTCCATCATGGATAACTAAACAAATCAATAAGCTTCTTAGACGTAGGGAAAAGCAAAGCATTAGATAGGCTATAAAACAGGATATTAGGGTGATTCACAATAAAGACATTCGAATTATTCAGACAACTGAGTGTCAGTTGGACTAATATTACTGAGCTAATGCATTTAACATTGATGCTTAGTCAGATACTGTGTTCCAAAAATAAGTATCCAGTTATATGGATTTGACATGTCTATGTTGAACACCATATATTTTACTACAGGGTGTTATTCCTGTTGTCTCTTTCTGTTTAACGCAGTTGATGCTCGAAACCGTTGATAGACATACCAAAAGTTCTGTTTTGCTTTACATAGAAAGGGTTCATAAAGTGATGCAGTGTTTTGAGTCGTTGGGTTTGCTGAGCAATTACTGTAGCGTTATGGCAATGACGTTTACAAACATTGTATTTTATCGGGATAATTTGGAAACTTCTTGCTATAATGTAAAGTTAAAGGTTTTAATGAATTGCATCGTTGTTTGAGTATTAAGCTGTCCGTTCCTATTTTGATTTCGCTAAACGTACCACATTATTTGTAAATAATCTTGATAGCTAGTACTCCGCTGGGTGAACAGTGTATTCATACCATCTCAGAATATATCAAGGTACTAGTCAGATTTACAATGTTGTGGCTACTTCCTGTCAGGTCTCATTTCATGATCGTATTGTTTGTGACCACAAACAAATCATCGTGACCAAGATTTTCTTTAGGTTTCTGGCCTTAGTAGTAATCCAACTCCTAGAAGTAGCTCAGAAGCATTGAACTCGGAGAAACCAGTTAATCTTAAATTCTGGTTATAGATGAATATGGTGCCTACATAATAATTTTTTTCAGATTCTACAGTATAAGGAAATTTGCGGACGAAAGACTGCATACTTAATCGTTATTCAAAAGGTCATGATTTGTTCCAAGCGTACTCTAGACTGTGATCTGAATAGGTTACATCAAGTACTATTTGTCAAAGCTATGCACCTTTCATAATTTCATTCTATTATCTTTGCTTTTTTAAAATGTAGCTTTTTGCTTAGAATCAGCGGTGGAAGTAGCTGAGTGTGTTGATCACTTCATCCATCATTGAAATCTCTTAAGGTCTGATTGCCTGGTGGTTGTCGAACGGTTATTGTGGATACGTAATCACCTTTTGTGTGTATCACGGCTCATGCAAGATATCTGGTCGTGCACAAAAAGGGTACTTTGTTGAGCAACATTTTTCCACATTGTTGGCACTTTTTGTCGCTCTATAATATCAGTGTCGCTTTGATCCAAGCTATACTTTTGGTATGAGGGGTGGTATGCTTCTCGGAAATTTATTTATTTGTTTTAACATAGATATTGGTACAAGGAGGCATCAAATACATATGCGCCACACAGATCTCATTTGATATATGTGAGGGCTGTGATACTGCCCGGGTGCCCAAACCGAAGCAGGTGGTTTTCTTAAGGGGCCACACCCGAGCCTTCGACCTGAAAGTCTGATCCACAAGGCAGTGAAACATCGTAAGGAGATGCAGTCCCATGGTAAGCCGATGACCAAAGATTGGTTCCTACGCCATTTGTTCCCTCAGGATTCTGGAGCACATGTGCACCGTTGGTTTGGAATTAGGGTTTTCCAACTCCCCTAGGTGGATCTTCCATGTCCACCAACCCGGTTAAAGCGCCGGACGTTCGCTTTTCGTCCTCTTAGTTTCGTAAACAACAGTAATGCCATGAGAGGCAGTGAGTAGGACTTCCCTGGCAGAGGCTATATACGTGTGGCCATGTGAGAGCATTTCGAGAAGGAGAGCGGACTCTCCTCACTCTCGGCCGTACCAGGGCATTTGGGGGCTTCTTGGAAATATGAACTGAAGTAAATTGGGAGGGATTCGAACGTGCGATCTATTGTTTACAATCCCAAGTAGCTTAAAAACCAAATCACTTCTTGTTAATCCCCTTATCTTTTGTGCTGGAATATGGACCTTTGCACAGTAGGCATACATTGCATATGATTGTTTGTCTGTAGTAATATGAAGCGAACAAATCATACTGACCCAAGTTGAGCAGAGCAGCTTTTACTGTTATATATCCGTGGAGTCAAAAGAGATGATGTCCTGATATATTGAGGTTTTCCGGCAATCACACAAATATCTAAATTCAATCAGTAGGAAGCTGGGGAGTTGTGACTTATGGTTAATGGATCTTGACCACTTAAAATACCTTAATTTGATCCCTATACGATTCATATCATTTTCCAACAGGTTGGTGGAGTTAGATGAAACTATTAAAAAATTGCATATATTTCGATTTGATTCCTTAAGTATTAGAATACAGCTGTCACTAGGCAGTCTTCAAGCTAATCTTTTGATCTTTCTATTGTGTATTAGCTAACCTAGTCCAATTAAGAAGACAGAACGCTGTTTCTTACCCTCAAATAAATGTCTTTAAAAGCTTGACACAAATTTTAACTTGGTTATTTAGTCCTCAGAAATCTGAGGATCCTGAGGTTTACTAATAAGGGTGATATGTAATAACTCCCTCGACGACTTAAATCATAGCCACTTTAATATCAAAGTGACTGCGTTTTAAATAGCTCTAAGAAATGAGATATAGTCCTTGGGATTTCGGGAGGGTGCATGTTCATCATATTATATATGGGATCTGTGCTTTTATTCCAATGAACTAAATAATTTCCTGTTTCATCATTGCTTTAGTAAAACTTTATCTTCGATTTCAGCCCACGTTTACTAAACTTCAAAAGATGGTCATGCAATCACAATTGATGTAAATATCATTTTCAGCACGAAACATCAATGGCAATAAATGAAGAAAATTTCAGTCGGTTACTTACTCAGCAAATTTCTGATATTGAAGCTACCGAACAGGAAATTATTATCTTGGAAAAATATAGATCAGATTATGAGTCTGTTAGTAATAAAATTCAGGAGTTGCAAAAGTCTGTATATAAAGATGCGTATATTCCACTCAGTCGCAAAGCGCTTGTCCGTGGGCGTTTAATTCATACAAATGAACTATTAGTGTATCTTGGTGGGACCGATGACTATTTTGCTGAATTATCTGTCTACGAAACAGTTCAGTTGCTCGGTCGTCGTATTAAACGGTTAGAGATAAAATTAGATGGATTACGTCAACAAAAAACACTGTTAAACGATAGAATCAATTACACAAAACAATTGGTCTCACAAAAGCTAGTTTCTATACCAAAAGATTCCTCCAGTTGTACTCGTGATCAAATTGTAGAAGGTATTGAGGATGATAAAGAAATTGAAATTAGAGAAGAGTATGATTCTGATGCTGAGATTGAATGGAGGAAAAAACATATAAATAGTCGAAAACAGGAACGTATTTCCCATGCATCAAGATGTTCTCCAGTACTTACTACTCGTCGAGTGTCGTTTGATTTAGTTGAGAGTGCTTGGAAAACAGTATACTGATTATAAAAATATTTCTAATTCCGAATCTGATTTTGATGGCGAAAACTTGTCGACTATACACTTTCAACATTCAGACACACCTTCACCTATTCCAAGAGAAACAGTAGTCGATGTTTCCACTCTTACTGTTGCAGAAGCTGTCAATTTCGCCCTCAAGATTTGCGACACACACGGTAAAAATAAAGTGTTCTCTGTAGAACCACTCGGTGATATTAGGGAACAGCAACCAAATGTCTTAGCAAAAGCTGTCAATTTTACCTCCGAAATGTCCAGTACAAGTCATCAGAACAAAATGCTTCCAACAAAACCATTTGGTGATATAAATGAACGGCAACCAAATGTCTTAGATAAACCAGATATTCCTACACCCATCATACCAAATGAAAGAAAACGATGTTCACTGTTCCGTTCTTCTCGTATCAGAGATTCCAAACCTGCATAAATTTGTCTGGCTTTGTGCTTTTGCAATCATTCACGAGATTTCCTTTTTTATATTTTTCGATTATCTAGGATCATGATTTTATTCACACTTTGTATATATACTCATCAGATTCTTTGTTAATAGTGTTTGTTGTATGAAATGCAAACACATTGTTTTTGTGCACATTTTATCCTTATTTTGTCGAAAAAGATGGCTTGGTGATTAATAGCATTCAACTTTCAATCAGATCACGGATTCTGTTCCAGCATTGTATACTTTGCTTGGGACTCTGGGTGGTATCAATATGTCTCATACCTAGAGTTTGGCTCAAAGTTCAGAATGGAAACCTGTACTTGATGAATGAGTTTTCTGAAAATAGTTTATCGATGACTCAAATGTTACATTTATGGAATAATGATTACTGGTAGCACGTACAAACAGAACTTAGATGTGGGCAGATTTGAATGGTAGCTTGCAGTGGAATTCAAGATATGCGTTTTCGTTTTATTTCAGACCTGCAAGCTGAGTGCACATGCATTCCAGAGTTTCCCCCCTTCTAGAACTCGAACCCAGTGCTGTTTGCTTCGAACTCCACCACGTTATCCATTTAGCTACTGAATCTAGACATTTAACTAGCCCGTGCAATTAGGTGAGGTTGGATTTATTCGAACTGGTTGTTTTGAGTCTTTCTGCTGATGTTTAGGACTGGAGCAGACCAGTCTCTTTTAGCATGTATGCATCTTGTGTGTACTGCCTCCATATTGTCTTTAGTTTACAAAATTATAAACAGAGTTAGATCCAGATCTGCCTACTGTTACTAAATATCGTCCCAAAAAGCGATCCTACTGTAGACTGGTTCCAAAGGACTACAACGTTGACCTAATATTTGTAAGAGACATTCATTTATATAGTGAATCAAAAGTGAATTTATCGTGTATTTATGAAGCAGGTATGCATAGCGGTTTTTTGCATACTATTACAGTCCGAATTTATCTGATATTTGAATGTGCGGTTGCTTCTGGGCGGACGTGTACACTTTAATAGGTCAACTATCGAACTGAGTTCTTCCTTGGTCTCGAGTGTTTTACCGAATGCTCACAAATCGATCATTTACTGAAGAACAGCACATGTGAAGGTAGCTGGTTTTTTCAAGAGACACTGGTTAATGTGTGGTCTACCAGTACTATTTCGACCTATTTCACTATGAAGAACGATAAGCACAGGAGCCACTATGATCTGCGATTTGTGCCCCGAAGATTTAGTATGGATGCTTTAGAAGTTATTGCCAGTTTAAAGTTGTTGAAGGATATCCTTCTCCTTGCGATACTGTCGTGTTTCGTACTTTCGCGCAGTGGTTAACCCTGTCCCAGGCATTGTTATTATGGGAATCGAATAGTCCATTGGTTGTTTGGATAAAAAGTGCCTGCATCACGACATGAACTAACAGGTATAACGCAAATAGTTGAAGTAAAAGAGGTAAGAATGCCTTCGACTATCGGTTGCCTTGGTGAGTAATTTAATTACAGTGATCGACACTTTGGTCGACAGTTAACATCTGTTATTCAGAGGAAACCATTTTTAAATATGATAAGAAGCATATATGCTCAGTTTGAACATGGCAATTTAAGTTTTATTGAGATCGAAAAATGCCATCTCTGATCTGCTGTTTACCTGTGTGCTAACACTTTGGTTGGCTTACGGGAGGGGAAATTAATGATAAATGCGATTATTGTCTGTGAATATTAGCTGATTTTGATATTATGCGCAATGGAGATATACACATAAATAAATGAGGTCAATGAATCATTTAACATAAAATACATATCACAATTTACATGATAAAGTATTTCAATAAGCTGTCTCTAAAACATTTGTTTAATGGACAAAAATATGTGTAGCTGTAGAATGTTGATCTTCATTACGTCCTAGTACAAATATGTGCTTTTTTAACCATGCAACTAGACGACTAGTTAGTAAATCAGCACCCATTGCACCAGCTTCCAAACCAACCCCATCAGCTGTTCCGTCATTAGCATATGGTGCACTCGGTGCTAATGCATGTCCAATGCACTGTGCACTGCCGGTTAAATTAACGCCTTCAGTTAAGCATTCTTTAAGAGATTTTGGAATTAAATTACAACCCATTAATGAATTAGCCTGGCAAGCTAATAAAGAGCTTTCAGTCCATCCTGGCAATGATGAACTAGTCGAGTGAATTAAAGGTTTTTCATAATGTGATGATGGGATTGTATTGGCATTTCCAGTGATTGCTGTAAGTGGTAAATTTTCACAATGACCTGTTGTTGGGCCTGATGACAAACGACTATTAGTTAGTGGATCAGGTAAAGATAGCAGGAGTAACAATCGGTTATATGGTTCAGGTGGTTCCCACTCGACACATTTTTGTAAGCGTTTAAGCATATTACCTGGAAGCTAAAAAGATAAAATAAATGCATATGATAACGATTCATAACATAGCATGATATTTTACAAATTATTTCAAAGTTATAAAACAAACATAATTCAGACGTATCCATATAATGGACAACGTTCTTCCTAAAACGATAAAAGTTTTGAAAGTGAACCAATTAGATTAGAAAACTCATCACCAGTAAATACACTCATTTGTACTCATTTTTGTGATTTATATTCACCTGAAAGTCTTGGGCTTAATCCTAGGTGAAGGTCATGAGTGTATGTTATTAAGATCCTCAAGAGTAATACAGAACAGGAATGTAGTCCTACAATATTTTTACTAGTTTTCTAGCTGATATGAGTTTGTAATAAAAATTTCCACTGATCACTTGATAAATTCAATATTAGTAAATGTTTTTGCAGAACAAAACAAATAAAAACTATCTTTTGATGTTCACTCAACTACAAGTATGCAGTCAAAACAGAAAAACTAAATTCTTATTTTTTCATTGTAACATAAGATGGGACATGAATAAAATATCAAATATCATATCATACAGCTGTGGTTAGTTTATTAATCTTTATTCTTAACAGAACACCGGAACACAAAATGTATACTTATGGTGGTTCTAATATTTTTTTATAGATAGATTAATTTTTTCATAGAAAAGATATATATATGTCAGTCATCCATAAACAACTTAAGACCTGAATATATCAGCATAGTCAAGTGAAATTATCAAGAATAGTACCTAAGTAGTAGCATGAGTGGCAGTAAATAATTTATACATACTTTGAGCTAAAATATCTCTTTTTTGAGAACTAATGATACTATCTGGTTGTCGAAACTGAAGTAATTAGGCGTAACATTCGAATGTGAGATTGAAATTTTCGAAATTAAGTGTTTTAACCATTAACCAATTGGTCAACAGATATTATTTAAATTGTGTTTATTTAAAGTTGAGTTTATAAACCTATTGTATTATAAATACAGTCAATATCCAGTTGTGTTATAAACACTATTAGATACTTTAATTTTAAATACTTGTGTTTTTTATATTTTCTTAATAAAAAAAGAACTGTAATTATGGATGATATTATTTAGGCTGTCATTAAACACCCTTCTACTATGGTGGAGATTTTTAGCTCAGGTGGGTGATTTTTATGTAGTTTTATTCTCTGAGCTGGATAGTCTGACTATGGAGATTTCGTCGTTCTTCTGAACGACATCATCAGCACAAACTTCAGGTATAAGTGAAGCGTTTGAATTTTTTCATATGTAGAGAACTGTATATTCCTTTATAAATTTCGAATAATAAAACCATTTTTTCTTTCAAATGTTAGCAAGAATTTATATTAACACTTTCTAGGTAAAGTTACCTTTATTTTGAAAAGAAACCCAACAAAACAACAACAACACGCTAAAAGTATCTGTTAAAAATTTCATTATAACAACTATCCTTTATAGTTTCAAGAAAAACTTATCAATTTAGGATATTTTTGTTATACGAACTGAGAAATCTACTATTAAATTCATCAGTAATATTTTTGTAATTATAAAAGATTTTCCCATTGGTTTCTTTATATTTGAAACATTAAAATATTTAAACGCTATAAAATGATAGATTAAGTACTTTATTATAAAGCTGAATGTAGCTGTTAAAATAAGTAGGTAGTAAAAATTAATACTGAATAAAATTTCTAGATCACCAATGAAAAGACAACATCATTAAAAAAGAATAATAATAGTATCAGTTACCTGTTTATATCGTCCATGTAAAAGCGGCATCCACAATGTGAACAGCTATAGAAGAAGAATGACTATTAATTATGAGTTAATTATAAGGATGATATATATTACAATTAGAGAGGAAAGGCTAATATCAATCATTGTTATTTGTAGAGCTTGGTATTTCTGTTGTAGTTATAACTGAAGTTAATTGGTCTCTGCTGAATGATATAGGCGCCTTGGATGGATGCCTCCATGTTGCACAAATTCATAAGTTTATTATATTTTTCGATAATGCATATCACCGTAATACAGGATGCTCGTTTCATCCTGTTTATGATACGTTGACTTAATATACCTGATGCCAATATTAATACTTACAGTGAAACTCGAACCCATGCTCATCTCTTCAAACACTAGCACATTAACCACTAAGCTACTGAGTCACGATAGATACTAGTTTTTCAAATCTTTGTACTTTCAAATACACTTTCCGGATGTATTTTTTTGAATAGAGGAGGTAAGGAATAAAACAGAATCATGGTAAGGTTATCAACTAACATAAATATAATTTAGTTCATATCCCTAGGCCACTGAATAACTAAGTTCCACAAGTAAAATTTTCTCTGAATTTGAAACGTTTTGAACGGAAGTTATTTTTCTTCTCATATAGCGGAAACCAGCGGTAAACTTCATATACTTTATTAAATACTGTGTAAGGTAAATAGTAGTTGATTAATCAACAGCCAATGCCAGTCGACTTTGCAAGGTTGATTTACAAGATTCAAATGAATGTATATAAAATGGAAGCATACGTCCGGTAATCTGTTATTATGGTATGCAATGCTGACTGAGGTATGACTACGGTAAAATTTCCTAAGGCTAGTCGGGCAAGTTATAAAATCATCAATATCTGACATGAGCGACTTGAATTGGTATGTTATAAAATTGACAGAACAAGTGTACACTCCTTCACTTTCCATCATGACGCAACACTCTAATTGTTCATTCTTTCTTCGCTTATATTCTCTAAGTGTATTTCAATATGTATTTACGTTTGTTGTTTTCTACTTTCTATTGTCTGCCCTCATGATAATATATACTATTGTTATTCTTTTGAGGACTTATTTCATTACTATGCTGAAGAAACGAGAAAAATCATTTTGTTTAAGATTTGTGTTCATTACACAGCTTCGAATGTTACGAAAAGTTGAGATCAAACTAAATTTTAGTTGTAATTATGATACTAAGCAGCTATCTTTCTTCAACATCAAAAGTTTTAAGGGATTTTCAGTCTTAAAACATTTTTGTTGCACAATATCATGGCTGTACAGTGTATTTCAAGGCTCCTAAATTTCCTTGTGTTAATAACAATGTACACCGGGTCCTCCTAAAGGAAAGACAAGGGAAAAGTTATGAATAAAGTGGGTGGCACATAAGGTAAAATAACACAGACAACTTGTCCAAATATTTCTATGTATTTATCTTTAACAAAGTCTAAAGGTTTATCACTAACTCTAATTATAACCTCTGAGTTCCTATGCTGCATAATAAATCTTTTCGCAGCAGTTCATAACAGAATAAAAAGAGTAAATAATGAGCACAAATCGTGAAGAAAAATGCTCTTTAATCCCAAAATCATACTGATAAAAATAGAAAATGAGAAAACCAGGAGTAATCGTAATAAGCACTAACATAAAAGAGTAACTTTTATAATAAAATCACCAGCATTATAACGGAGTCATGCGGCTTTTCCAGTTAAGAGCTTTAATTGACAAGGTGACAGAACAACTGAGTGGGAAATGCTTTAAAATAGTCTATCGAACATATTAATTCTCAACTAGTCTGTACATTGAGAGACTGGCATACATACAATGACATCATATATCTATATTATATGTGTTGGTATTGAACATACCTTTGAAGCTAATGATGACTGACATTCCATGAGCTCTTCAATAACGGTTAACAGACGACCACTCACAATTACGAACTATAAATGCAGAAGAGAAATTAAAATATTAAGTCAGATTACATATATATTCTAAATTAGTATTTATAACAATTGTATATCAGAACAACATTTATTCATCACAGTTTACGGACTGATGGTTATAGACTTGAAGTGATATGACTCAAAATCGGTTGCACTGCTATAACTGTATTCATTTTTTAAAATCGCTTACACTTTGGGTTTTAGCATTAATTCGTATTTTTTATTGCTTGATTTCGTATATCTTTTCTTCGAATTGTACTCTATGTTTAATCCTTTTCTCAATCATCCTTGATGGTAGTTCACTGACTTCCCATCTTGTCAATGTCCCCTTACCATGCTGAAATATTGAGTGGTATCCTTTGGATAATTACAAATCTATCCCAAGTCCTAATTTTTTGTCTTAAGAAAAAACAATTAGAGGGTTATTGTGCGAGGAACGTCAGGCTTAACAAGCCAATTGCTTGACCAAACAGTAACCGTATGTTAAAAGTTTTTCAAAGACTATATATTAACTGATGAAAAGCCAGAAATCTAACTTGCGACTGACTTGTTAAAAATTCTTTCATTATAACAGCTCATTGTCATCTTATTGATATTGGACTCAATTATTGAACAGGCACAGATTAGTAAGTCGAATAAAAAGCCTGATAGTATTAATCATGCAACTTCCGCTTATACTACTAATCTTTGTATCCTTCACGTGTTGCTTAATGAAAAAATGAATTAAATATTTCTATAACTTTATAGTGCAACTTTTCTATTTGTGTTTTCAATATCATACTAGTGGAATTACGATTCGAAAACAACTTGAATAAGTTATCTAACAAATGAGAACTAACCCTTTATATATGGACACGTTGGTAGGTTAACGAGATTTTAATCTATCTGACAGTAATTAGTATAAAAGAGATTTTTGAGTATACATAGTATTTTTAACCCTAATGAATTTACGGATTATTGTTCTTCAGAACATTAGCCATCAATTTCATTGGCAATTATACAAATAGTTCTTAAAAAGTTATTTGAGATTTATGGATTTTTTTAAAGAAATGAATACAATTGCTGCGTCTATAAGTAATAATTATGAGTTTAAATGTAATGAAATATACACATGTAAACGTACATCTTCAGAAATTGACAAGAGACGTAATATTGTTGGCATAATTCTTATCCAAAAATCAAATGCCGTCGCCATAGCTGCCTTATATTGATTTGAATTTACTGGTGAGAGGCTGGCAACAGTTTCACAATAAATAGTCCATACCTTAAATGAATTTTATATTTTTAAAATAATCCAATAATTGCAGATTTAAATGAAGTATAATTGTTATGTTCCGATAAGCATAATGAATGGTAACTTTTGGGATCAATTATGGACCAATACTATGAGTATATTTTTATCGTATAATTGTTAAATAACTCTTATTATGAGCTTTATTTTGACCTATGAACTAATATTATACGATTTGCCATTCTTGAATCATGTCCTGTCTATTAATTACTACCTCCTACATTCACAGCCACATTTGACTAAATCTTGTACAAATGTTGTTTCATATTTTATGGTACGGTTTGGTCTGTCTGGTTGGTAATATAAACCCAGTATGCTTGAAATAAATGATTCATATGGCAGAGGCTGAGATTGGTGTTCTGGACTTAACTGGCTTGGCGGAAAGCAGGACCAATGAGGACTCTAGACTGCTCGTCTGGGTTTTACGCGTCATTGGTCCGATCGATAATTCACTGCTCTCTAATTGGCGGCATTGTTACCTTATACATTAACAGGGCACACAGGCCACAAGTTATAACAATAATGTTTAACATTATTATTATTATTATTATTATTTAGTTGATCAACGTAATGTTATTTCATAAAAATTTTAAGGATGAAGAACTATTCATATTGTGTAATTGAGCTCATCGATTAATTTCTTTTGCAATGATTTTCAAGTCTACAACATATAGGTCTATTCCTAATTATTGTGTAATTTAATAAAATCCTAAATAAATACTAAATAATTTTTATATCTTGAATTATGTTCAATAAACTGATGTTTCATGAAGCACTTTTAAACATAATACATAGAAAATAATCCAGGCTAAAATGTGTTATAACTTCTATTGTAACTTCTTTTGTAATCTATAGTCCAGGTAAAATGAGTGATTATAAACACATGCGAACAATTTTCTAAATAATTTTCAATTCCAATACTACTGATAAACATTGAGGATAGTATACTCCAAGTAATTCAGTTAGAGTTAAGTGACCAATAGGATATGAAGAATTCGTAAAGTTCCCTGTTGTCAGGAGAAACAAAATTCAGTTAACCGTTTCAGTCTATTTACATAACTCTGTTAAATATATACGATACTTTTTTGGAGAATATACGCACTAGTACATTTTATTTATTGCTATTGGTGAAAATCTATTTATTTATGGTGTGTATCCCTTCCTTTTCATATTTAAAAAAAATAAGCAGAATAATGTAAAACTAAAAGATAAATACACATCTACGCACACATATAGCCGTGCTTACTTGACATAGTAGAAAGACATGATACAGTGATGACATTACAGTGACAGATTGCTGAAAAAAATTAAAAGAAACGCAGAATCACTTCAATGTGTTTTAAACATAATAATGTAGTTTTATTAAAAAGCTGCTTAAGCATATTGTCATCAAGTTGTTAATCAAAATGACTAACACATTCAGTCATCTGTTACCGTTATTTTTTATAAACCTAATTGTTTACTGAGAAGAGTGTCGTAACCAGAAGCTGAATTGATGAATAGTTCTGTTAATACTTAGGGAAAAATTGCAGTATAGCAATTGATAGTAATGAATTTATCAATCCGCTTATTTACAACAGAATTTGCATGGGAAGAACTAACCATTATCTTGAAAGCCACCGTACTAGTCTTTTATATTTTTGAAAATAGTCTTTCTCACGGGTCGACGTATTCTCAAGAACTTGTAAAAACTATGAAAAACTAGTCATTCATCTCTTCTTCGGTTAAAACTCTTTAGTAGTATGCATACTACATGGTATCGAACGTAGGATCTTCGGATCTCATAGTGACCACTTTACTCTTAGACCACTGAATCACAAGTCAGCAGTAATCAGTCATATCCGTTTCTCTACGTTTCTGAATTGCCGTTCATTTCGCTGTCACGTAAATCAAACTTGAATGACTGAGGAAAGTTCTGCAATGAAAGCAATCAAAGCATCTCTGTAACTCAGTGACAAGTAATGGGGAGCAGTTTGTGATTCATATCGAGACATATTTCTTTATTTTAACGTATACATTTTGTCTTCCCTTGACTGTATTACTTTAAAACTTGAATAAAAAATATGATAAACATACTTTCTGTTGATCAGGAAAGCCACTCAACAACGCTTTGACTAAATCTGCCACTGAAGGAACTAAATTAAATGGTATAGGACGACAAGATAAACCAGTAGCTTCACGTGTTAATGCCATATTCATTGTGGCTCCAAGCAAAAGCCATGATAATGTGCGAACTCTTTCAACCATAATAAGGAAATCTTTTGGTCTAAATAATTATTAAAAAAGTGGTAAGAAACACAAAAGATTAGGCTTAATGTAAATATAATTCAGTCTGAAAACAGTTGATTTGTTTACGAAATAGATACGTAGAAAAAAATTTGAATGAACTGAATTTTTTCTATCGCTTACCCTAATTGAGATGAAGGTGGAGTGGATTTTAACCAAGGTAAATACTGTAATATAATTGCTTCTGAGTGGGCCGTGTGTGAAAATGTTGAAGCGAGCATCACATGGCATAGTTTGGGTGTCGAGAATTAGCTGAATTAGGACTAGAGATTGTTTGTGGTGTGGTAGGTGTAGATGTGACAGAATTTGGCGAAGTTAAATTTGAAACAGATATAGTCGTAGTAGAAGTAGTAACGTTAGTAGAGGAAACCTGATCATGTGAAATTGCTGGTGATGGAATTGGAAGCGCAGAAGAAATTAGTTTTGTATTGGTAACTTCTTGCTTTTTAGTCGAGGATGTTTGGGTTATTGTCATCGTTGGACGTGTATAGGTAGTTTCGCTAGGTTTACAACTAATCGAAGGACTGACATTAGATTGTGTAATAGCAACAATGGCCATATCTGAATGGGGCTCATTTTGTCTTACAACTGATCCACTATTTTTACTAAGTTTGATTTGTGCATTCGATTGTTCCACATTTGCAGTATGTCCACTCTCAGACGATAAGTTTAAACTTTTTCCCGTTAAACCAACTGAATTAACATTCGAACCGGAGGCAGTAGTGGCTGCCTTTGATCGGGCTGGTAATCCAGGTGCTGAATTTTTACAGCTTCTCGTCGTTTTTATATCGGACAGTAGTCCGGGTGCAAGTAAAGGGAAGACATCGTGGTCACTTCCACTGCTAGATCTGGATAACTCCAATGAAACATACTGAGATAAACCTGATTTTAAATGTGCACCTAAAACATCTTCATGCAAGCTTGGAATATTTGTACCTAACCCAACGTTAGAATTAACACCTGTAGCTCCTGTTGCAGAGTTTGATACTCCTGATGAATTAAAACCTCCACCAAATAAACTGCTACCTATATTTCCAGATGTTGTTCCCCCACCGCCTGTCAGTGTGTTTGAATCAAGATTACCAGTACCACATGGATTAGATCCGGACATCATAGATGAAGAACCAAGTCCATATCCAACGCTGTTCAACTGAACTGCTGATTTTTGAGACTGTTTAATCTGTAATACAAGAAAAAGATATATCTCTCTTTGTGTGTACTACCTCAAAAGAAAAACACTAACCATATAATCAGTAATGTATTGCGAGGTAATCTGAAGACATGAATCTCAGTCATATGAAAGTTTTTTGAATGTTCGAATTATTAAAAATAAAGCCGATAAGAGCAAATGAAATATTAACTTGATAATCTATATAAAACAAACTTATATATGCCAGATACTCATTAAGTCAATCTCAATAGCATTGTAAACAAAAGTAATCTAGTTCAGTGGAACTTGTAATGGTCAAATACATAATCCACTCTTTCCCGTTAGTGTTCAAGAATGGTTCTTTCGTTAGACTAGATAATAAAAAATAAAAATTTACTGCACAAAATTTATTTGTCATAAATTTTCAGTATAAAACTTCTTTTAATATTAACTACTTTCGGTTATACTGCTTACTTATCATACTTAGAATTTCAGTTGTAACGCATCCATTATAGAGCGATGTCCAATGAGATCAGGAAATGTGAAATTTAAAACAAAAATCATTATCACTAAAGGGTTGTGGAGATTGATGAATTTCATGCGCTTATGAGACCGGAGGTCCTAGATTCGATTACCTGGAGTGAGGCCATGGGTGCGCACTGTTGAGTCTCACGCTAGGAAGAAGCAACCATCTAGTGCCTCTAGGTTTTCAATGAATTTTCACTATTTCTTCCTGGTGCGCCACAAAAAAAAACATTTGGGGGGCATTTCCCAAAATCTTCTGAACAAACGTCCTTTTTATATCTCAAATACCAAAAGAAGTTTAAAACAAGTTTTGTCATTGTATATATTTTCTGGATCACAACAATCTGCAAGTGTAAGTTGTTGATTTACGTTGAAATTATTGGTAAATTTATAGATGTTACTTTAGTCAGCGGTGTTATATGTTATGAAATAAAAATGGATGAATTGAAAAGCAAAACAAACAACTCACCTTATGTACTGTATGAATATCTGATATAAAAGCTAAACAATCAGGTAAGTGCGGTCTCATTAATTCAGCTGCACCAGTTGGAAATAAATGATAAGTTTGTGGATTAAATAACGTTGTTATACCTTCAACAACTTGATTTGGTTCTATGGTACCACCAGCATCCATGAGAATAAACTTGAAAAAAAAACAGATCACTAAATAAAATGTATGTCCACTTACGGTATTTAATTTAACCAATAAATACAGAACAAATAATGTCCATTCCATTTGTAACTCTTCAGTTGGATATACCTGCATCACAGAGTTGGTGTCCACCACGGAACTCAAGCCCAGTACTGCTTGCTTCAAACGTCATAGCGTTATCTACTTAGCTACTGAGTTGATATAAACATGCACTTGTCTAGTGGGTATGAGATTTAACCAAATGGTACTTGATATATGATTGGGCACTCTAGGAATCAATCTACATCAAACTTCGAACCTAGGTGCGGTAAATCTGAATGAAACATAAGATTTGTAGTTTTAGTCGGAAACGTTTCTTCCCTAGGAGATTGTTGCGTAGTAGAGAAATACTATTCGCTAAAAAATAAAGTCTATATTTTCTTATTGCTTTATTTACTTTAAAAAAACCATCTTGGTAACTTAAGGTTTCATAAAGATAATAGTTTACATTATTTCTTCAATTCACGAAACACCACGTTAGATACTGGATCATTGGTGGAATGGTATGATGGATAATGGAAGACATATAGATTTTGATGTGTACACTCTCCAAAAGTTTCAAAACTAAAAAAAACACATTTAGTTTTCAATATTTTCATTAGTTCTCTAATTGATATGGGTGCATAATGTAAACACTGACAATTAAAAAGAATCAGATTGTTGTAAATTAAATAAAGTTAGTGAAATATATCATTCATCTGTTCAGTGATATATTAAAAAAAGTTTCTTATCTATGACCAATTATTATTTAATTATAAACCAGTGGGTTTTAAATTACATAAAGTTAGCTTAAGGGGAAAAGGTAAAAAGAAAATTTACATTATTCTTGGGTAAATAGACGAATAACAATAGAAATAAATTATTAAGTTATTGTAAATTAAGTCATATGAATAGTTGAAATCATGAGTCAATTGAAGCTGGACCACCATTGAAAACCTGGAAGTACTGGACGGTCGTTTTGTCCTAGCATGGGACTCCTCAGTAGTGCGCGTCCAGGATCCCGCCCACCGCGATATTCGAACCCAGGACCTATCAGTCTCGCGCGCGAGCGCTTAACCACTAGACCACTGAGCCGGCATCTAACGGTGTTAATGCCTAACTTCAACCAATCCACGAAATTGCTCCACCGTACACCATTGTCTTCAGTGAGCTGATATCTCACAACAGACCTGGTTGAACTCCACTGGTCATGGCTTCTCACTAGAGCTCTAGGAAATGCATCTTGAAGTCAGTCACTAGTGAGCAGATGATTATTATCAGAAGGGGGGGACCGTGAATGCGCACCGCTGAGGAGTCCCACACTAGGACGGAACGGCCATCCAGTATTTTCAGGTTTTCCATGATGGTCTAGCTTCAATTGACTCATGATTTCAACTACTGAAATTACTAAAATCTCCATAAAACCCTTTCTGATAATTAAGTCATAGTTTGATTATACCAAATAAAAAGATAACATTCAAAATTTATCGTTATTCTGCATTTAATAAAATTTTTACTTATATATTTACTTGTAATAATTTTATCAAATTTTCATCAGGTATGCAAGCACGAAATTTAATTGATTGATAAAATAAATCAACCATTGTTCTACTTAACTGAGCTTTGGTACGATCCTATTTATTGAAGAGGAAAAAAAGATATAAAAAGGAATGAATAATAAGTAAACATGACTAACTTTGAGATTTCAGTTTATTTTACAGGTAAAAATCACTCATTTTCACACTGGACAGTATAACTGAAACCATAAAATCTGCTTATTCAAATATAATTGAAGTCTTCTATCTTCTCTTTCATACAATAACTTTCCAAAATTTTGGCCATTATTTTGAACAATAAAGCTATAATAATATAATTTTAGTAACTTTAAAGTCACAAATAACTGAACTGTTAATACAACAATTCAAACGAAACTATTTATTAACAAATAAATAATGAAGGGATTTGTGTCTACCTATAATGTCATTTAAAACAATCTAAAGGTATTCATAATCTATTTTATGACAGTTTAGTTAGGAAACCAATGAATATACCTTTCTTAATGTTTCTGTTATGGGAAAATCACTTCGATTGAGTCTTGAACAATACAAATTACTAATAAAACAAATAACCTCATTGATAGTGTTAAGAAAAACATATAGATCTTAAGGTAATGAATCATAATCAATAAGTTAGAATCGTACGTGGAAAAAAAGTTAATACAAAATAGGGATTTTTACAGTTTAAGTCACAAAATGACCTTAGGCAAATACTGAGAATCAGAAACCCCAGAATGGCCGTTTTGTTCTAGTATGTGACTCTTCAGCGCGAGATCGAATGTCCTGGGTTCGGTTCCCAGACGCGTTGTCGTGGGTGCCTGCTGTCCAGGAGTTCCATAGTAGAACGAAACAGCCGTCCATATTCCTAATGGTGGTTTAACTGAGATAATTTCATGATTTAAACTACTAAAATTATACATTATCCACAAATCCAAGTGTAGTAAAGTAGAAATTGTTGTGTCATAGTTGTTGTGAAATTCACCATTTTCATTTGACAAAATGAACTAATTCAAATCTTATATTTTGTTTATTGTAACATAATAATTTTAGAAATATAAATGGAGAGCCTGATGAAGAGGTAATCGAAAATGGCACATTTCTCCAATACTCTTTGTTCTAGAATATCCTATGGGAACTTTTATATTGTTTAAGATTTGTAAACTAATCACTTATGTCTCTCATGGCAGAAATTTCATTGTCGAAAATAATAATGAGAGCCTGTTCATATCAGTATTGCTATAGTACACCAAAAAGATGTGCAAAGTAACGCTAAAGAAGTAAAAATTTTAATTGATCTATTTGTCTTGCCTGCTGATCATATTCAATAAAACATGTTTATTTGTTTATTTTAACACATAGATATTGGTACAAGGAGACACCAAATACATATGCGCCACACAAATCTCATTTGATATATGTGAGGGCTGTGATACTGCCCGGGTGCCCAAACCGAAGCAGGTGGTTTTCTTAGGGGCCACACCCGGAGCCTTCGACCTGAAAGTCTGATCCACAAGGCAGTGAAACATCGTAAGGAGAAGCAGTCCCATGGTAGCCGGTCACCAACGATTGGTTCCTACGCCATTTGTTCCCTCAGGATTCTGGAGCACATGTGCACCGTTGGTTTGGAATTAGGGTTTTCCAACTCCCCTAGGTGTATCCTCGATGTCCACCAACCCGGTTAAAGCGCCGGACGTTCGCTTTTCGTCCTCTCAATTTCGTAAACAACAGTAATGCCATGAGGAGGCAGTGAGTAACTTCATTGGCAGAGGCTATATACGTGTGGCCATGTGAGAGCATTTCGAGAGGGAGAGCGGACTCTCCCACTCTCGGCCGTACCAGGGCATTTAGGGGCTAATAAAGCATTTAGGTAGAATTTAAGTCGTATTATTTTTATTACTATAGCTATACACTTGTTGATGAACAACATCAGTACACATCTAACGTGAACAGAAAGTTCATCGTTGAATTAAAAATTCGTTTCTTTTCTTCTAAATATTAAAATAACAAAGCTATAAATTTCAATAAATGATAAAACACAGTAGGTTGATAAATATCAATGTCAAGGTTAGGATCGATAGTTTCAAAGAAACTAAGCATTGGGTAGAAAGTTAAGGATAAATGTGCTTTCATATCATATACCAATCAGTAGGAAAGTTGAATTTATGACGATTTATGACTTAATTTAAGCCACTTCTTCAGAATAAATAAATAACCGAATTTGATTAACACAAATTTAAATAGTACGATAGTTACGAAATGTTAGAAATCTAACTTTTCTACTAACTGGAATATAACAAAAATATATTTACAGTAAGTTGAATTTCAAAAATAGTAGGAAATTGTAAAGCATATAGAATTTAGTGTTAGATTGAATATTTGAGTTTGTAATTACTCATAGCTGATACACAGTAAACTCTGAATGCAGGAACAGTCGTTATGTATTTTTCATCCGTGTTATCTAGTGTAATGAGCTAGTTATTAAACCATCGATATACTTGGTTACATGTAAATACAACACTCTATGACTTGCAGTTTGATTTTCGATCCAAATAACTGATCTGTTTAGATGTGAATCTACTTACAGGTTATTTCAAGCTATTTAATATACAAGTGGATTATTAATTTGTAAGACTAGTTACTTAATAGATTTGTGTTATTCTATTAAGAAAAGAGTATTAAAACTATATGAAAATGGGAATATTTAACTAGCATTTGTTATAAGTTAAATTACTGTAGAGTGTTAAAAGATATCAATAACTTACTTTTAGAACTCGATTACTTAAAGAGCATAATTCAATGACACTAGTCAAACGAAAATGTACATTTTCGACAATAATACGAAGTAAATTTGAAAAAGTATCCGGAAGTGTCTAGGTAATTCATAAAGAAAAAGTAAAAGTAAATAAATCAAATATAATACACAGATTGAAATATAAATTATGAAAAATATCCACGAAATGAAATTAGATTCGCGGACTCTACTCACTAAACTGTGTATGAGTAGGATTATATATAGAAAAATAGCTTATCAGTGATATTTAAATGCAGCTTGAAAAGCAGCAATATTCCTTTCATTAAATAACACCTAATTTGAATACCAAAATTATGACTTTATATTAATTTCAGAAGTTTGGGTGACTGGATCGCAGCTTATTAACTTATAATGACAATACTAAATTCATAGTAAATCACCGACTATAGCTTTCCAAATAAAAGTGATATTCAGTTCTCTGAAAATTCCGTCAAAATTTTGTTTTCTTCATAAATGGTTATCCAATGAAGTCAATATAGCAATATTTTGGCGTTGTCGAGTTTTCTTAGCTAGTTAATCGAATTAAGAAGTTTTCATTGTTGATTCGGAGAAAATCGTCAGCCCTCACTTCATGTAGAAGTTTGCTTTTTATTTGTTCTACAAGCATTAAATTAACTTGTACTGGTGGCCTTGTTTATGACTGGTTGTAATCGTAAAATTTGTGGCCCTTATTTGTCCTTGAATTCAGGTTGAATGTTCTATTTCGTTAACATCTGGGAATGCTGTTCATTAACTTTATTCAAATGGATGGTAGATTGGGTCTAGTTTGATGTGTCTATTAATCCCTGAATGGTATACTTCCAGAAATTCACTGGTTTACTTAAGATATCCTCAAAACAGAACTTCAACGTTTTAGTAGTCAAAGTTATGCCCTTAGTTGTCTACAGGCATTATTATCAGTGATATTATAATGCCGTACCACCGAGAGATTTTATTCGCGTGTGACTAAGTAAAAAAAGACATCTACTTTGTCCATTGTAGTGTTTATCGCTGTTGATGCAGTTTATTTTGTAGGCTATGCTGCATTTATCCTATCTTGCTGTTGTATCTTTCGGTCTGTATAGATAAAGTGAAATGATTACATTAGTTTGCGAGTGGTACCAAAAAGGTTTCACAATCCTCGTAGTGATTTCGGAGATATTTTTCATACATTTCAGTTCCACCTGTTTCCGTTTGTTTCTGACGTTGATTTTATGATTTCGGGTAGATCGATTAGGAACTTCTACATAAAGCCGTCAGAATCTTTATTTGTACGGAAGACAGACAAAAGAGTTTTCTAAGTCTTTCACGTAGCGGCTACGCAGAAGTGTATTTTCTTTCTTTTGAATAATGTCTGTATACAACTCCTCTTGTATGTTGCTGGTTTGTCGCTGTCGTATTTTACTACTTAATAAATATGAATTTGATTCTTATATACTTGTGCTTCCAATGTTCCTGTGTTTGTTTTATTTAATAAGATATGCAAGAACAAAATTTTGTTTTCTGATTCTTCTTCTCTTGTCAATTTAGTGTCGTCAAAGATGTTGTTTTGTCATGTCGGTTTCTTTTCAAGATAACAATTATGTAGTCTACCCAATATATCGGAATCTTTGGTATGATTATTGATAAAACTATGATTACAAGTCTTCGGATCACAATCTCTGGGATTAGTCATGATTTAAATGGCCTAATAGGAGTTCCATTTATTTATTTGTAGATTTAATCGTCCAGTATATTTTAAGTAACGTATCTGTGATTTAGACTGAACTTGGTTGTTCTATGTTTGTGTGTTCTTTGAATTATTCGTTGTCACTGAGGAGTTGCAATATAATTTGAAAATTACTTTTCAGCAATCTATTTCCAAAACCAACTAACTTTGTTGCATGTTGGTATAAAACACGACTGAACAAGTATAATGTTGATTTTTGATTTTCAATATAATAAATCTGTACTATACGAGCTTAAAACGTCCAGAAATATCATCAGAAGTTGAAGTTTACCATCTAAGTTTTTAGCATAATATCATATGTAGAGAATATTCATGTTTATTTCTACTAACTAGCCTTTTTATATGCATTCGATTGCTGCTCTGTAGTTTGGTTCGAAGTTTTCATTCATTATAATACAATATGATGTAGATCATTTTACTAATGACATCTATCTGTAGACTAATCATATATAACAAGTGATTTCAAAAGTACACATGGTTTCATAGATGCGAAAGCATAGAAGAAAAAATGATTGAAGTTAAAAATGTTCACTTAACACAATCTTAATGTAAATATACATTTAGCACTGATAGGCTTAGTTGGAAAACGTTTCTTTGAAAAACTTCCCGCCAACTTTCAAGACAGTGTAGAAAGAGTATAATCAAACTTCATTAAAAAGATAGAGCACATAAATTAAACAATAGATGAAAAATTATCATACTACTCATACACTGAGATTACCTTGAAATTCGATGCAACAGGTGAGCGTACTACATAGGTCATAATACGTACAGTTGTAGCTAAATTGATTGGTATCGGTGTAACAGTGGTTAATTTTCTTAAAAATAAATCCAACGGCCCAATTATATCAGTCCATCCAGAGGCTATAAAGTGATTTAATTTACTGTCATCTGTTAAATTTGGTAAATGTTCCAGATAATTAGCAAGATTTTCTAATAGAATAGGTAGAGTATCAAGACTAATTGATTTTTGTTTGTTTAATGATTCCATCAGTAAACTGATAGGTTGAAAAATGGACATATGATCTTCAAAATCAACTAGCACAGAAATGATTGTTCTAAAGAAGTTATCATCTATTCAAATGAAACAGTATAAAACAAGAAAGGAAGAAATGGAAAGGTCACAAAAATGATTCGTGTACTTAAATTATAATTGATAATAAGTGAAGAATTTCTCAAGCTGTTCACATAAATAGTATTCGTACCGGAACCAGTGTTTTGTCATAGCTTCAGAATACCGAGAATTTACACCCTTTAAATGTTCATAGATCACACTGGTGATAAAAACTGAACGTTATTCTAACATTAAATCAGTTAGCATCACCGTCAACTTCAAATAGGAATAGTAGGTATTGGCTTAATATTTCAAACACTTGTCATACAACCACTTTATTTTACAGAATATAGCATGCATTGATCATACTTAGACAAGCACTGAGAACCAGAAAGCTTTGAGTAGTTAATATAAAGGGATCCTCCTTCATGATCCTACCATCGATGGTTGAACCCTGAACCTTTTATCTCCCAGGGAAGTGTTTTACCTCTGGATTACTGAGCCACCATCCAATGTTATGCATATCTGACTTGGAACCATTTGTGATGCTGTGATACCATTGTCCATTACCTACAGCGGATAATTATCACATGATAGAAATTCATTGGTCAAGACTTGTCACTAAAAATTCAACAATCCCCCCAAAACCCACGTAGTTTACTTTATGTTGGGATCACATGTAGCTGACTTTTGTATAGAATAGCAACTAGTCCATTGAGTCTTCATATGAAATGTGTAAATCAAAATCTGATATAAGAATATGGTTACCATATTGTATTATTAATAGACCAGTAGTTAAATATCAATTATAACAGTTCAAGTTTGTTGTTTGTACAACAGAATGGATCATGTACCCCCGCTGATAAAAGGTCTGAAATCAAGCCGCAGGGTCTGTTCAATGATTATTATATTGATGATTCTTCAACCGGAAAAGAACCTAAAAACAACAATCCTTTCAAAGTATTATTGTGGCTTACAGACAAACAGTGTAGCATGATAATAGCTAGTGAATACGGTCAAATAAAGTTATAATCTTGCTGATTGTTAGAATTTTACAGGCCATGTGAATATGGAATGTCAAATGCAATGTTAAAAAAGTAACTTATAATTTCCATAACCACCAGCATTATGTTTTATTAGGATAAACATAATAATTCAATTAAAATAAAACAAACTTTGTATCACAGGATTCATCTTATGTCCAGGATGCAGGTACATTGATACCATTATGTTATTTGATTGCCGTAAAAATAGTTAGTCTAATCTCTGATCTTCATGTAAATTAAACCTTTCAGCTGAGGTATGTATTCATTAAAAAATTCAACGACTTTCTCTCTCTCTCTCTCTGGACTCGAATAAATTCCTGGATTTGTAATTTTCATATACAAGTTTCAATGGCTTTTAGTTCTGTGGTAAGAATGACCACAGTTCTACAATCTTTATTGCAGTTTAAACCCATGAGGTGATGTACATGACGTAGCACGGGTGGTTAATATTATGAAACGTATAATGTGACTAAAATGAGGCGCAAACGCTGATAGGGGTTATAAACAGCTGTAACCTTAAATGTAAATCCTGTATCATTAACAAGTAATATATTTCATAGGTGCTAATAGCATAGGCGAAGCTAATTCTGCGTTGGATCTAATTCAGATTGTACATTCAGAAAACATAATTTAAAAGATGGTGATCTCCGCTTCTAGATATTGTCAAAAAAGTAAGTAAAACGAGTGGCTTTTTGATCTTAATAACAAAATATTGTCACAAAAAGCTAGATGGTAATTTATAGTTCATGTGGGATCATTTATCAGTATCTGATAAAATTATTGTAAGTTAATTACTTGCCTGTAATATGAGTTTGAAAAGTTGAGTAAACAGGCCATTCGGGGCTAAATTATACATTGTACAACGAAGAAACTGATGAGCAATGCTTGCCACATTTCCTGGACTAATCACATGTGGACTAAAGGGATACAGAGAAAAAAAAGCATCATCTAATTAATATCTTATTTACCAAATTTTTAAAGATCCCTAACATACAACAGGTAAAGTATTTTTTATTATGAAATGCACGAAGTAAAAGAAATTACATATAAGATGAACTTAAGGTGAATGATAGAAATTGTTTTCAGTTACACAACCATCATATCGAAAGAATGGTAAGTTACAGTGGCATCTACCATTGAGTGGAATTATCATCGAGAAGTCCTTTCTTGGAAGAACTAGTATTTACACATTATCGGTAGAATGTAACTAGCAGTGGGATCCAGGACGTGTATTTTTTTCTATTTGGGACTCACCAGCTGGATGCACCTGGATCGCGGAATTGATTTTCTTTCCCAGATTGAAACCCAGCATCTTCCTCTTCAAGTGCTAACGCGTTATCCACTTAGCTACTGACTGAGGACAGCCACTCACTTTTGTGACGGATATGAACGTCTAAGTTAATCAGTAAACGCAAACATTGGTACAAGGAGGTACTAAATATATATGCGCCACATAGATCATTCGATTTATGTGAGGGTTGGGATACTTTTTGCGTGCCTAAGGCGAAGCAAGTTAATCTGTAATGGTTTGAATTAACCCTTTGTTGGTATTTTCACTGAAATTTGACTAGCCTTGATTGAAAAATGTGCTTTCTGTAAGGATTGCTTTGATACGGCCATTGTAACGAAAGTTTAAATTGAATAGATGCACATATGTCAAATAAGGCTGGTCGAATTTCAGTTAAAATATCACCAACGGAAAAATCTAAACCACTGCAGATTAACCTAAAGTTGTTTAGTTACATGTGATCTTCAAATAAAACATATCATTGTGAGATAGCTGTTAACAAAGGTAATAGTAACATTATTTGAACATTCGTAACAGTAGACAGCTGGGTTCAAAATGCTCATTATGAATCGCCGAAAATCCCATAGTCCGACTTGTAATCAGAATACTATAGAGAATGTGATATTTGCAACCTTAATTATAGAGCAGTTTAGATTTACAGATTCCAGGAAAACACTAGTACAGTGTCTAATTTTTCTGTATACAGGAATATCTATCACATAATGGTAAAAAACACCAAAGATGGTACTGATATATATAAAACACAAAAAATTATTTCGGATGATAAAAGGAATCGATTTAAGCTTTGTGTTAAAATTTCTTTGTATATAAGGGAACTCATCTGTGTTTACAATATATGGTAGTGGGGGCTTAAATTCTAAATGGCGTAACGATTACTTCGAAATTGTCAATATACCTTGATGATGAGTGCTAACCAGAACAGGATGCAAGTTCAGTTTTTAGACTATTTAGAGAACAAGATAAAATATATAAAACATGACTCCATTAACTTTTGTGTCGTCAACTGAGATGAATAAGTGAATAACTTAAAAGGATTGACTTAGAGAAATCAAATTATATTTCAATTTTTGTTACTGATTCAATGATAACATCATTTTGACTAGACGCTGAAATTCCTTATTAAAGGAAAGTTGTCAAAAATCCCATATAAGTTCTGTACAAGATTAGCACTGTAAATAGAATAATTGAATCTAATTCAAATACGGCTGTAAGATGAAAATTTTGATATAAACCGGTGTTTGCATTTAAACATAATCAATGAAGTACAGGAGATTTCAGAAAGAAATAATTCATACTTTTTGGTTGCACAATGCATTTTCTCATAAATTTATATGACAAATAAAATTTTTAGATGCGAAAGTGTTAGCACATAACTTACAGTTCAGGTTGCCAAGAATAAAAATATGCATTGGCTAGACGTGCTGTAATAAGCAACATATCGCGTAAATATGGAGCTGCTAAACCAGGTTCACGATGCACAAATGTAGATAAACATAGAATACCTAAACCAATAGTATTTTCATCGTAATGATCTAGAATACACTGACACCATGGACATCTTTCAGTGGTCAATGCCATAGTTATTGCAGCGGCTGTTAAACTAGGCACTGTATTTGTACTAGAAATATGAGACTGAACATTTGCATTTGTAGTATGTAGAGAAGTAGTGACAGTAGCATAAGAAGAAGATGGTATATAACTATGCTTCTTTGTACTTTCTGATTTTTTATCTGATTTTATCCCTTCAAATAAATTATAACCTTCAGTAATAGATCGTGAACGATCTACAGTTAGTGAATTAATATTTGATGAATCTTTAGTAGAAGCATTATTCTGGGATAACAAATCATCTCTAGATTCTAACGGATGTGATGAAGTAGAAATTACTGGCATCGTAGGTTTACTTTGTTGGAAATTTGTACGTTTACTTTTGTGTATCTGATGTACTGAGTCAGACAGTGAGTCTAAAGGTTGTGTTTGTTGAATATGACTAGATGAATCAGTTCTGCTTGGCTTGGGTTTTCTAAAAAGAATTAATATTAATAATTAAATAACAAGGCAATTTATACATGTAAATAAACTATTTTGATATTTTATTTATCACTAGAAATCAAAAACATTTTCAAGTTAATTCAAATGAACAATATATGTGACTTAAGTTTCAGTCTTTCCATAAGGAAACTACAGAAATGGTTTGTAAAGAGATAAACGAGATAATATTACCGAATAATGTAATACAATGTTTTACTGTATTTTCATGGCATTATATTTTTTCATTGTTGATATTGAGAACTGAAAATCGATCAGTCACTGTATATTCATCCTCAATATTATCATTTAGTCACATGTTTTTGTGAGTTAAGTAATGGCTAACAATGGAATGCAAGACAAGAGTTCCTCTTTATTTGGGACTCTTCATTTGGTTGTGCCTGTAACCATGGCTAAATTGAACGAAAAACGAGTCATGGGCACCAGTACTTCAGTTTTTTTATCATAGTTACAAACTGCTTAATGGAATTCATGTCACAAAGTCAAGTTGCATGCAGAAATAAAATCCCATTATTTTATATGTCAAAGAAATACTGTGACATGTTATGAAATTGTTTTTATATAGTCTTTCTTAGTGTTAATTTTGCATAAACTTTATTAAAGAACTGATTTTATTCTAAAAAACAGATGGTTTTGTTCATGTTAGTTTAAATGTACATCGAGTTGATGAGCCTTTTCTTTACTAATATAGTATAGGCCTATTCCAAAAAAGTTTTTAAATTTACAATACTGATATGCATCATTTGTACTGATAACCACAAAGAAAATCGTTTGACCATACGTAGGTTTTAAAATAAAAGAATTCTTAGTCATTTGATTTTTAATTGGATAGTAGCAGGAAACTTTTATAAGAAAATATCTAGTTTAAAAGTCTACAGATCATTTGTTAATCTATTTCCAAATTCAGAAGCAAAGTCGATGGATCGAAGCCGTGAATAATCATACTGTATAAAACAAAGATAGAGTTTCATTTTGTTCACCAGAAAAATTTCGTGACAGTTTTTATCCATGGAAGTAATAGTAGATAATAAAAGATTGTGGTGTGACTTCTGATGTATCCAAACGAAGACCCTTTTAGGTGAGAAGCCATCTGAGTAAATATGATTGGATAATAATTAGAGTATAAAAATAAGTGTCATTAGTGAAGTTAGACATCAACAACGTTGGATGCCGGCTCAGTAGTCTAGTTGGTTAAACGCCTGGCGCGAGACTGATAGGTTCTAGGTTCGAATCTCGCGGGGGGCGGGATCGTGAATGCGCACTGCTGAGGAGTCCCATACTAGGACGAAACGGCCGTTCAGTACTTTCAGGTTTTCCATGGTGGTCTAGCTTCAATTGACTAATGATTTCAACCACTGAAATTTCTAAAAATCTCCACAAAACCCATTCTGATCATTAATGAATTGTCAGGAGAAAAAGAACTTTCTTAAAGTATAAGATTATATATAAACTAAAGAAAGAATAAATAAAAAAACTAATCAAGCATGAAAGAAAACACGAAAACATAAATATTGATATCAACCCACAACAACAGCAACAGTGACTGTACAAAAGATATCTGTTCACATAAATGTGTTTGTATACTGAATAAGGCTATCACTTCTACAATGTCAAATAAATGTATGAGCAAATCTTTACGTAGACTAGGTTAAGTGTAATAAGATCAAATGACAATTATAATGCTACAGTTATTATATAAAAATGGCACATTCTGAAATAATCAGAAAAAAATTAGTTTTCATTTCTTAATGCAGATTCTAAATTTAATGCAAATATTTCATTTGTTGGAATATAAATTAGAAAATAAGTCAAGCTATCTATTTGTATGTTGAAGTGTATGTAGTAGTTTATCCATAATCAATTTCATTAAGTAATCCAAATAATGACTATGTATTATATTTTAAAAACTGTATAGTTCACTTAATTTACAGAAAAAGAAGCATGATTTCATGAATAAATCTTACTTTTCATCTTGAAAGACAAATGCTGAACTACGTTTTGGGAATTTTAGTGTTACTTTCTTGGGTGATTTACAGTCAGTAGATCCTCCTATTAATAATGAAAGTTTTGATGAAGAAAAAAAGTGATCATATCAAATATTCATTTATAAACAGAGTATTTATTGAACATACTGATCTATCGTAATATACAATTGGAAAAGTAAATAATTGCTTGTTTTGTTTAGGCAGAGTAAAATGTGATGAAACATATAAAAGCTTTCCCCAAATTATTGGGTGATGAAAACCTTGTGTAGTGACTGACATATATGTACAACCGTTGGATCCTTTGTGTAGTCGCTTTCATTTAGCAACTGTTTAATTTTTGTTACAAACTAGTAACTCATTGTTACACTATTTCGGTTGAATATTTTGCATGCAAATAATACTTTTAATTATCTAATACATATTCAAATATCCAGTCAGCAGGAAGATAATTCTGTCTTCAGCAAGTAAATGATCAGTGTATTCACCACAGTAATTCACATACTTCATGAAGTTAATTTATTCATCACAACACGTTTCTATTTTCCATGTGAAGTGTTCTACAAAATAAAATCTAATTATTACTTACCTTAAAAGTTTTGATACAGACATCTGAGGTGTCTTTTGTGGTATATTGTGAGAATAATAATCATAATCTAGGAATAATTTCGGTATGATGAGATATTAGGTGACAAAAGCTAAAAGCTAAGCACAGAAGTAAAACATGTAGAGTTGAACGAAACTATTAAATAAGGTAATGGGTTGTATTCAACAGATAATCCTGACTGTAATTACTCTGAAGTCAGTTTTTTAGGTTTTGCAGTTGAACTAAATAATCATGGACTAATCACCCAATTAGAAATTGTGTTAATACTGCGTAGATTGATATTTGAAAATCTAATTTACCTCTGCTCTACTAATACTTTGATATTACAAGCAGCATATATATAATAAACTTAATAAAATGACAAAATCCACATTAGAGCTGCATTTTTATGGCTTAGTATAGACAACACAGGTTTATCAAATTTCAAGCACACCGAAAGTATCCTTTACACAATGCTATTGAATAATTCAGCTTTATAAGTTCATAGAAACATTTCTACAAGATTTGATATAATAAAAGAAATTAGTAATGGTACTAAACTAATAAGGCAGAACTAAATGAGTAAACATTGAATAAATAAAAAGGAATTATAACAAGTTAATTAAACATATGCATATAATGTAGAATAATCATACACAAATTTTAGTCCCCTTAACAAAAAACCAACAGACAAATGAATTAATCACTGCAACTAACCAAGTGTATATACATCCATCATTTTTAACAGAACAGTACAACCATTGAACTTATTTATTAATTCTAAAAAAAATTAATTTCACTTACTTCTTAACTGTTCTTCACATGCTTGCATTTTAATTGATTCAGGAGTAGTTTCTGAGACTGCAGTCAATTCACTATCCGTTAGAAGAGGCTTTATCAAAGGTATATGTAATTTTCCATGATTATTATTAAATGAAAGATGGAATTAGAATGAAAAAGTTAGAAAACATTAGTTAAAAAAAAGAAAGAACAGTTTTTTTGTGTGTGTGAGACTAAAACTCAATAATTTGTAAAACTATAATAAATGTTAATGATTGAACATGAAACAAGTTATTCATTATTACCTCATAAATTCATTTACATAATCATAACCAATGACTAAATTTTTATTAAAACTCACCTTTTCAAATATTATAAACAAAAGAAAGGAATTAATTAGTTACTAAATCATATGTTATATCTTATTTGTGTTAAAACTAAACTACTCTATATTAAATACTACAGATAATTAAAATAAAACTGTAGTGTAAATAAAAAAATTTAAAAAGAACTAAAACGTTCTAACGAGAATTCAAAAGAGAACGAATTCATGTATAGCAGACAACGCAATCAAATCATAAACATGCGCTTACAAGTAGTCAGCGTCAAGATGAATCTCTAGGAACTTTAGTGAAAATTTGTGATTGGTAAGCTTCAGTTACATCATGAGTCAAACAATCATCACAAAAGCTGAACTTTCTCAGTTTAAGACCATGAAGAATAATAATTGTGCTCTGTTAATGAGTTTTGAATGAAGACGAAACAGTTATCTACTGTTCTCCAATTTTTGGTGGCCTTCCTGTTGGTTTAAGCTTTTGACGAAGACTATTTTGATACGAGCCAATATCACAGACTGGTCTCAGCTTTACAACCGTCGAGCACAGAATATCTGTTTATTTGGAATAGACGACTGCTCAGTAGTGAACATCCATGACCAAACTGAAGCAAACGGTTGAAAAATACTGTGAACTGACTGAAATCAAACATGTAAATCACTGAATCGCGGCTCAGTGGTAATAAATGTAGGTGCTTACCACGAGATCAGAAGGTCCTGGGTTCGGTTTCTAGTAAGGTAGTGAATCCACATTGCTGAACAGTTTGTTTAGGAGGGCGCATCCATTCAGTGTTTCCTAGTTTTTAATGACTGTTTAACTAAGATGTATCAGTAATGTTAACTATAATTTATAAATGTTTTATATAGCATATATTCCATAGATTATTAACATTCTGAGGTTTTACTTTTTATATTGATAATCGCAGTTTGAACCATAAAGTAATTACTTTGGTGAAATTTCATTTATAGATATAAGCATAGTTTGAAAAAAGCAATAGACTACCTCTCTATCTAAGTACAACATTTATCGTGCATTCAATATACAATAGTTGGAAATACTTAAATAAAAGCGTGATATACCATTCAATTTATTTCAGTTGAAACAATGATAAAATTTTTATATTTTACTAACTAATATTTCATGAATAATATTTATTCAAAAATAATTCAACTGTCATTATATTCTACACTTAAATAAAATGTACACTAATATATTTGAATATATGCAATTTTCTTTCCTTAAATAATATTTTACCATAATGAAGGTTGTGAAGATTGTTGAGTTTCAGTTGATATCATGAACAAATGAATGCTAGACCAGCACTGGAAACCCAGAGGCACCAGACACCTGTTTCGTCCTAGTATGGGACTTCTTAGCAGTGCTCATTCATAATCCCGCGCGTGGGACTCGAACCCAGCACCTTCAGTCTCGTGTGTGAATGCTTGACATTTGGAACAATGAGCTTGCATCCAACGGTGTTAATGTCTAAATTCATACTAGGACGAAATGGCCGTCCAGTGCTTCCAGGGTTTTTAATGGTGCTCTAACATTCATCCATTCATGATATCGATTTTGAGTTGAATTAAATTATTGAATTTTACACATCAGGACATTTTATTCGAAATTAAATCATCAGTGAATGAAATTATTTTATAATGATCACGGGACAAATGGTGAATAAACTAATTAAAATAGTTTTTCTTTTAGTATATAATATTTGGTAGGTGCGATGCATATATTATTACAACTAAGTTTAATAACTTATGAAATATATACATATAGGATTTAGTTAGTTTTGTAAATATTGGGTTAGTCATCAAATATTAATTGATCACCGAAGAACCTCAATCAAATATCTAACAATTACTTTAGTGAAATGAACATAAAATTGGATTACTGTTAATGATTTTACATTGTGTATAAGATGCTCATTTTTGTCGATAAATTAAAAAAAATAGAGTAATTAATTTAAGTGAGAATAATCTATGATAATAAGATATTTATACATTGTAGTTCATATTATAAATTTTATTCAGTAATTACTATTGAATCAACTTCTAGTTATAAATTTGATTCTTGTATTGTATTAGTAACGATTTGAAAGTGAATGTTTGTTAAATATTCAGTTTACTTAATTAACTTGAACAAGAATTATGATTGTTTAAAATGGTAATATTGTCAAAGTAAAAATGAAGAAATCAAATAAGCATACTTATCTTAACACTAATTCTAAGACTGAAAGTATATATGACCCACCGATTTGACTTCTATTTGGATGAACGTATGAATATGCGGTAAATATAAATTTTCTATTTAGCTCCATATATTACCTAGGCTAACTCCTTTTGTGTGATGGAGGTATAAGAAGCCAAATATTGGTCGCATTGGAGGGATCTATCTCAAGGATTCGTTTATCTGGATAGACATTTAGAATAAGAAGCGGAAAACTGATGCGGAGCGGAGAAGGCGAGGGAGTCTATTCGACTTGGCCAATTGTGACTCGATATTTAAAGTCGGACAAAAGTAAGTTACAAACACGTAATCAATAGGGTAAGCACCTAATACACGTACACACATATAAAAACAGTGAAGGTTAATAAGTAAGCAATTAATAAGGTCACAGTGTGACTTGAAAAGAATAAATCGCTTGTCATGAAGCTAGAATAGCCCATGTGTTCTTGACATATATATATATCTTTCAGCAGCAAACCAATCAGTGTATTTCATATCGATAGTGGCATGTTTTTTTGTTGTTCAGAAGTATAATTCTGTGTTTATGAAACAATGAACTAAACTCAAAACCAACACAACTTGGAAAAATCAGATGTACAATTAAACAATATTACGTGGTCAATGTATATACAAATATATGTATATATATACATATGTATGTGTATAGCTAAATAAGTAACATTGAAAGCTTGATGTTATGTACTCATAATTGTATAGATAAGCTACATTTAGGAAAAAACATGTCTAAATTGTGTATTTTGCACCATCAATACATGGTATGGTGAAGGTAGAATGGAAACAGAAGTTGAACATCATCTGTTATTATTATTGTTATCATCATTGTTGTCACATACACACTCAAACACGCTAACAAAAAACAAGCTAAAGAAAATTTTTCGCAGAGTATTTTACGTCTACCAATGGTGATACTTGAATTCAATGAAGCAATAACTAATTAAAATGAAATTTTTTTGATTGCATGCAACTATCAGAATTATAAATATCAAAATAAATAAGGATGAAAGCGTGAGAAAAAAATAATTGGTGGAATGCTTCACATTTGTTGTATGAAGAACAAATTGGAACACAAAGTACGCTAATATGTATATAGATATATATAGATATATATATGTTTACACGCTTACCATGAAAACTGAATTGTTGGAAAACTAGTATTAGATAGAATACACACGTTATAGATAATATATATATGGACATATGTATTACTAAAAATATTACATAGATTAAACTATATCTTCAGTTTTGACTTATTATCAAAGAAAACGTGATCAATCCACGTCCTTTGCCTCCAACCATCTTCGATACGGTGTTAAATTATCTAGATTAATGCCTCTTAATTTTTCTCAGTTCTTAAACCATTATCTAGCTACAGTCACTCCGTCATGCAAACTATAGAATGAATATGCTGACATTTACAAGCGATATATTTTATTCTTTTCTACTTGTATTACATAAAGTAATATTTAAGAAGAATGACTTAACACAATTATAGTGTACAAATCAAAACTGTATGAACATCTTTTAAAAAAATTTGCTTCAATCATTTACGTAACATTATACTGTTGGGAATTTTGAGTTCTATAAAATAAAATTAAAGTTAACCAAATTATACCATGGATTTTCTTGTCCATATTAACGACTATTGTTGAAACAGTCTTGAAAATACTGACTTCTCTCATTAATATAAATTTATCAATTAAGTTTTTCATTATTATAGGTTATTTGAAAAACTGTATACAATTTAATCATTATGTTTTACATTTTTAAATAATTGGTTTGATAATAATATATTCAAGGAAGATATCTTGTATCTCCTAGACAGGAGAAAAACGTAATTTCAGTCAAACTTATACTGAATCTACAAAAATTGAATGATTATAAGATTCTCAGTGTTTAAACTATGAATATATTTTATAAACGACTATCTCAATTACTTTTATCATTATATATATATATATATATATATATATATATATATATATATATATATATATATATATATATATATATAAGTGATAGGTCAAGTGTTTATTTAGATTATAAAAATAAAGGTGTCTGAGTTATTATTTAAAATTACTGAAATAGAAAAAAAAACATTTTAAAAGACGAATCAGTCATGTATTCTTTATATGCGCATATGCGTGTACTTCATTCCAAACAAGAATATAATACATACTGTCTGAAATTTATAACATTAGCGGATTATTTGTTATGATGAATAAGTAATAGAGACCTAACATAAATGAACACATTTCGTAAACTCGGTATCCACTGAAAAGTAATTGTTAATTTTTCAAGTTAAATGTACAAGTTTTATAATTTGGCTTGTATATACAAGCACAGTCCAAACGCTCAATTAAAAAGATATGTATATTAAATATCTATACTTTTGTAATATGGAACATCCATTTCAAATCGAGGGAACAGTTGACTCATTTATTCAAATATTTAATAACTATGCATCAAGATCAACAAGATTCTCCTTGAACTTATTTGATATTTGACAAATCACTCAAACCATTTATCAATGACAATATAGTGTAATACAATTGATTTTTAATGCGAAGTGATGTGACCGAAAATACCATTGGTTATATAAAATTATGGCATTTCTGTATCAGAATGAATGTCGATTAAGGAAAGTCATTTTTGTTAATTCTCGAAAAAAAACCAAATCTAATTATTATTTCACTCCATGCTGTCTCATTAAGAAAAATCTAATGTGATTAATTAGAAAACTTTTTAAAAATAAGTTAGAGATTCTTTGTGACTTGATGAATATTTCAAGTACAAGACAGCGAAATCATATTTCGTTAATGAAATTCTTACATGATCAGTTAAAAAACCGAGTAGTGCTAAACTCTCCATTTGGTTCTATTAAAAAAACATTTCAAACGTAAATTTTAGGCTATGTGGAGAACGTGTCACACTGGTACCAACAAGACAGATATCAATACTAGCTACTTTTAATTTTTTGTCATGTCATTAGTGATTCATGTGTTTACCAGTGACTATTTGTTCAATTTTCTGATTTCCTTTTTTCTAATGTGTTGGGGATGTTAGATCCCCAAAACTCACTTGATAAACGCCTTAATTTTGAAACTTTATTTTGGAAATTTGAATCTCCTTTGTTTCGCGCCAAAAGTGCTCTTTTCACCTTCATGTCGTATTTCCCACTTGGGAGAATCTTTAACGCTATTGATTCGTTGTGTATTTTCAGTATGTTATTTTTGCAACGCTTCCATAAGGACAGTTTTATGCTGTATATATACGTTTGATTTGTGTCTGTTATTATTCATTCGTGCTTCTGGCTTACGGAATATACTTTCCCGTTCCAATCTTGGACTTCTTCCTCTAGTTAGCGGGTCTGGAACGCATCAAATAGCTAGCTTACTGATCTACGGTCACAATTCTTTGTTCTGTTCGCATACTAAGCGAACTAGTAATAATTTCAAATAACGATAATTCCATCATTCAAAAAGCAATTTACTTTAAGCTAAAATGGAATGCATATACTGTATTTTGTGGGTCCTAACTGCATTTTTTTAAAGGTTTTTTAAATAAATGATTTGATTATTATCGATTTTTTTTAAATTACTGTTTTGCAAACTCTAATCAGTTATTTTTATTACCTTATACAGGTTTTCTTGATTATCATTTAGTTTATTATTATGACCTTTGTGGTTGTCGCTTATCTTCATATGTGTCAATTGGACTATTATCTGACCCAGAAACGATTTTCTTCCTTACCCTTTGATTAGTACATCACCTCATTTGTTATTTATTCTCGAATCCATTTTTGTGATGCAATCTTTTCTATCCGCATACAGACATATATTTCCCATATAACTCTATATACGAATGTACAGGTTAAGTAAGTGATTTCGTCGGAAGGGGAATTTTTTCACTGAATTCTCTTTTGAGAGTTAATACATAAACAGTTGAGCAGAAAATAAAATAAAGTCAGTTTACTTTATTTACCGTAATGATTGATTGTTCATCTTGTGTTACTGTACATGGATCAATTGATGTAGTGCTTTGTTTATTCTCATTTTTCTCTTCGGGAATGAATGAGTTATTTAACGAATGTTGGTCATTAAGTTGATGTCGTTGTGGTATATGCTTATTCATTGAGATAACTAATTTGGGGGTAATGATCTTTTTATAAACAACATTTCGGTGAGGCAAACTACTCCCACTTAATAGGTCGGATGATTTACTGTTTTGTTCATCATGTTTCTTCGATTCACCGAGATCGTCCTCACCATCAGCAATAGTTACTTTATTCCCGCTTTGTACATCAGTTTCCTTTCCAGTGAATGTCATTTGCTCATTATCATGCTAAAACGAAAATAGGATCAAATGAATAAACTCTCACATAGGGAGTGTTTTCTAAAGTACAACTTCAAGCATGTCATCAAAAGTTTTAGATTTAATTCGAAATGTCAATCTATCAAACTTACAAATTATATTATATTAATGTGCAATTAGTTACTTTTGTTATTGATGATGGGTTATTGGTTGTATGATCATTTTCTTTCTTTATCGTTTATTATTTCTTCATAATTTCTTCAATAATTCATATAAACTTAATTCTACTGGAATGGAAGTACCAGCTGACTAACATTTAATATTCAGTCAGTTGACCACTACTTATCTCCTCTAAAATAGCAATTAAGTTGTTAGTAAAAGGATAGATTATTTAAGCAAAACTACCAGTTCAGTTATTATTCAACATAGCAATATACGTTATCAAATCGATTGTACCGTCATAAAAATAATCTTTAGAATTCAAAACACAAAAGTAATAATCATCTACAATTCAGTAGGTGCTAGAAGGAAAAGTTATACAGATCATTAAAATTAAAACACGAATTTCAGCGAAGGGATCTCTTTTCAACGAATTTATTATCAAGCTGTACAATCGTATATATATGAAAATTTTGTTTCTGTAAAAGTACTAATTCCGTGAGGAAATGTGAACACAGTTAATAAAAAGGGTTATAATACTAGATTACGTAATATGAATAATAACAATAACAATAGATTTAGTGATTATAATAAGATGATTAAAATGATTAACTGAAACAATATGTTATATATGTGAGTATATTGATTCTAACAATATAGATCTAGGTTTGCCAACTGAACACTTGAAAGAATTATTGTTACGCTGTACTTTTAATGTCCAGTTCAGTTTCAATAATGAAATATATAGACAAAGGGATGGGATCGCAATGGGGTCTCCATTGGGTCCAATTTTAGCAGACTGTTTCATGGCAAAAGTAGAAAACGACCAACTCCGTTCAATGATCAATCGATTCCACCTATACGTGAGATACATGGACGACACGTTTGTTGTTTGTGACAATAATATTGATTTAGATGATATTCTACACACCTTTAACTCGTGCCACCCTTCCATAGACTTCACGTTAGAAAGGGAACAAGACCAATCAATTCCTTTTCTCGATGTACGTCTGATGCGAAAGAGCAATGGTTCTTTAAAAAGATCCATCTTTAGAAAACAAACATGGAATGGCCAGCTAACCAACTTCTATAGCTGGGTTCCGTTAAGTAGGAAGAGAAACCTTATCCATTCTTTATGCCATCGCATACATCACATATGCAGTACGGAATGCATTAACGAAGAACTCGCATTCCTGAAGAAGACTTTGACGGAAAATGGTTACCCAGAACGGTTCATAGAAAAGAATATGAATAAAAGTAGTCGCGAGAAGAATTCTAGTTGTTCCGTTCCAAAGAAAAACCTTTATATAAGTCTGGAATTTAAAGGTGACCGAACATCGGACGTAATCAAAAACCGTCTAACAACAACTATTAGAAGAACATTTAACGCGGCAAAACTGCGAATATCCTTCACTAGTAGAAACTTATTTTCTGTATCCATAAAAGATAAGCTTCCGCGTCTGGTCGCCTCCATGTGCATCTACCAGTTCACCTGCTCTTGTGGAGCAAGGTACATTGGCCGTAGCCAGCGCTCGCTTTCAACTCGGATACGAGAACATATTCCAGCCTGGTTCTATAAGGGTGAAAGGAAAGCAGTTAGGAGTTCTATACTTGAACACCTAATCGACTATAACCATTCAACAGATCCACAAATTGACTTTAAGGTTGTTTATATGATTCGTTCAAATCTACCCAGATTTCTTCGTATCCAACTTTTAAAAATAGCCGAAGCTCTTGCCATCCAGGAGCTTAAACCAGAACTATGCGTACAAAAGAAGTACGTCTTATCGTTATCGTTACCTTGGCCTTAATTAGTTTGATTATCCTACTATTATTGTTATTATTATTATTATTATTACTGCATTCCCCCTTTACTTATGTCTTATATTCTCATTGTTTTATTCATGAACGCTCATCATATCAGTTTATTTTTGTACACCTCTATGACCTTTAATTATTATATCAAAAACATTTTAATCATCTTATTATAATCACTAAATCTATTGTTATTGTTATTATTCATATTACGTAATCTAGTATTATAACCTTTTTATTAACTGTGTTCACATTTCCTCACGGAATTAGTACTTTTACAAAAACAAAATTTTCATATATATACGATTGTACAGCTTGATAATAAATTCGTTGAAAAGAGATCCCTTCGCTGAAATTCGTGTTTTAATTTTAATGTTTAAATGGGAATTATCTGTCAATTGAAGAAATACAGATCATTCATGTTTCTATAATTAGTAGTCGTAAGGAAACAAAGTTATGAACAAATATATTATATTGAGACAAAGAACCAACCTAGGTTGGACAACCAAGCTGACAATTATAATGCGCTCACTAGTGAAACAAAATTTCTAGTGTACTGGTGAAAAATACTGAGTTCAATTGTGATGAGTGTGAAGGGGTTACCTATCGAAGACGTTGGGAGATGATTGCTGAATATGGTGGATTGATTCAAGTGGGACACTAACATCACAAGGTTCTGATCTAGTGTTTTAAATGTTAAGCGTTTTCCTGCAAAATCCAAAGTACTGGACTTAATTCCTGGTTTCACGGTCATGGATTCACACCACTAGGAAGCTCCATACTAAGACGAGACGTCAGCACTACTTTTCCACGTTTTTTAATGGTTGTATAAATTAAATCGGTTTGTCGCCTCAATAAAATTCAACAATCTCCGTAACCCTATACTGATGATAAATATATTATTAAATTATACCATAAGTATATGAAAAGTAATTTTCTGATTACGTATTAATTAGAACTTACTTTCTTCGCCATACAAATCACATCAGTTGCATTGTCAGAAGTAGTTCGTTGTTTTTGAGGTTGACTTGTATTCATGTCTAAATTAGATTTCTCATTTAATTCGTTACATGACGGTAATAGATTGATAGTTACACCAGGCATAATAACTGTATTTTCGTCATCATCATCATATTCTTCTTTAATTGGTGTAGCTGGTGGCGTTGCAGTTTCTAAGATTGTATTAAAATCTGCACTTACATTACTTGCCTCTGTTGAAAATAATAAGATATGCGTATGTTTTCAATAAATATAACATATTACTAATATAAATAGCCAGTTGTCTAAATATAATATTTATAATTTTATACCCATGTTAATCATCATAAGTACATGAACACAAGGACTTTGTGGTTGAAAATAATGTTACATAAAGCTTAAGTCTTTACAGAGTTATAGTTGTACTTTAGTCTAGTCTTAATTCTTACCTAGGAACAAAAAAGGGGTACAAGTTAGAAAAACAGATAGCAAGAACAAAGGCGTTGTTAAGTCAGTATATGTAAGGCCGTTTGTTTTTTCCTGACCGATATTTTTCCTCGATTTTCTTATCATTTTATTACTCGTTATAACTGGTTTCGCTATGAATGTGCTTTGAAGAAGTGTTTGGCACTTAGCAGTTAGAAATATAACATTTACTTCAAGATCAACTGGATATAGAGAGAAAAGGGTAGGTTTATAAGATTTTACAACATATATGGTTGCTTTTTGAATAAGAATTATTTGATAAGTTATCAATAAACATACGTTCGCAATCATGAAGATGGTAATTCAGTGGATTGAACTTAAATACAGAAAAAACGTTAATTATTGACCAAATATCTTCCAGATAACAAAAGGTTCTATTAAGATCGGATGGAATTTGTTATAGGTTGTGAACATTTACTCAGATTAAATATCACACTGATTTAGCAATGACCGAATTATAATATTCACATCATCAATTATATAAAATATTTGAAGGAATGATATTTCCCGGTTATTTGGTAATTTTACTTTATACAACGATTTTAGTAACAAATAGACAAAATTTCCGTAAATTAAATATTCCCGTAAAGATAATTTAATCGATGTGGACGGAGTAATTAAAGTTGTGTATTGAATTCCGTCGACCTACTTTATGTTTTTAAATGTCATCTTCTACATACAGTGAAAGCTGTCAGAATTCACTTGGGTACCCCAAAACCTTGTACCAGAAAATGTTTGTATAACCTCTATCCATTACTTGAGCACTCTTTGATTTTCATTACTGTGCATTTATTAGCCGATTAGTAAACCCAAGTTTTATATGTACTTATTTTTGATAGTGTCATCTTTTCACATTTTAATTAACGTTTTTTGGTCATACGTCAAACACATTCTTACTGTCGTTGAAGAAAATTGATTTAATTTGTTAATTTCAACTCTATATGATAGATTTTTTCATTTAATTAGTGAAGAACATTTGTAGCTCAGAATATGGATGTTGGGAGTGTATTATTTTTTGTGCTGAATGATTTAGTCTTGAAGCCTTCAGCCATAACGAACATCATGTAGAATAAAGTTATTGCCCTCTCCATCTACATCTACATGAACACCAGTCAGCTATTAAATGCTACAATATAACTTCGCTTGTGTTAGCGTACGTGGACAACTGTGAGTATAAGTTCGGCTGAAAAAATATCAAATTATTGGACAAAGGAAACAAGAGGAAAGCCACATAAATTTTAAAAGCCCGGTATTCTAGTTAATCATGAGTCAATAGACTAATCTGAATCAACCAAATCTGTTAGACCACAAGGAAAAGGATTAACAATTGCGAGGTCAGGGATCAGTCAAAACAAACATGTACATGACAACCCTACAATTATGGACAATGACAAATCAAATTCCACGTCAATAGAAAAAGATTTTAGTCAATTAGGAAAAAAAGTCTAGTACCTTACTTTTCTTCAAAATACATGCTGATGATATTACCTTTAGGACAATGGAAAATTCACAATTAAGTCATTCAGCTCAGAGTACACAATACCTTCAAGTTTATAATGGTTCTTAGACATCTGATAATTTTATTCTACGTTTTTAATGTATTCTGTTTCAAGTGTGGTTTTTTGATAAATAAGCAACAATATTTCCATGAATGTTGCACTATTAGTAGTCATAAAGTACAATAAAAGTACTAACAATTCAGCAGAACAATATTCAAATACAAAATTTGACGAGAAACAAAGAAAAAAAACACTGGGAAAAATTATTTTTATTGGATTTCAAATCATACTCTTCTCCATAAATTAATCATTATCATTCAATGTATCTTAAAATATTGAATTAATGCATCACTTAACAAACTTAGGAAATTGTAAACTATGAAAAACATGGTTTATTTCACTTTCGTTACACAACCTTGAAGTATGACTTTGTAGTTATAACATTTGTTGTTCACTTATTCAATCTCGAGATCGAAATCCCGTTCCATAGGTTTCAAATTTGGCAACGAATTATTGTGGAACTTTTCTTCACATCAATATCCGCATACAAATTAAACCTCAAAGCTGTGCTTGGTTAATAAGTTGTAGTAAGGTTTTATTAATGCATATAATGGTAAATTTTACTCATTTATATATATATATATATATATATATATATATATATATATATATATATATAATTTTCAAAAAATCATAGACGTTAAAAAGCTAAATTCTATTTTCTGTAAATAATTATCAAATAAATCATAAAGTACTAAACAATTTAATAGAAATAAACACATAAGTAAAATAATCTAACATGCATTTATTCTACCAAGCTAAACCAACTAATAAATCGGTATATTCATGCAAGAATACAAAATAAAATGAGTGAAATAATAAAACTTCAGACGTTTTGTGACTTAATGTAAGCCACCTCTTCAAAGAATAAATTGATACCAAGAGTATCAAAATAATCCAAAAAGGTCTTTAAAACTGCAAAGAAATGGGAGTAGCTGAAGCTTTCCATTTATTGCAAAATCCTTCTACTCTTGATAGAAAAGGTCTTACTAAACATTCAATTAAAACAATTTATTCAAACTACCATACGTAATTTTGTAAATGTTTCACAATATTATCATAAGTACAAATTTAACTCTACTTTTACCCACATTTTTCACACCCATTAACAAACACAAATATATAAGCATATATTATAAATTTACCTTGACCGAAGTGACATGATAATGACTGAATGGCACTTGTGTTTTGACTGTTATATTCGTGCTTTGTTCCTTAGTACTATTTATATTTGTTTTGACTTAATTTGTTTATTTATTTATTCTCCGAAGTAGCAGTTTACACTGAGTCATGAAATGGCAGGAATTGCATTTTCTACTCAATGGGATATTATAAATAATCCATTATACTTAATACTTATGATAATCATTTGTGGAAATTCTGTCAGCCATAATTTTGATTGTGAGGCATGAACTAATTTATGAAAATCATTAATGAGAAATTTTTAGCGAATACTACGCTAATTTCATGACATTTTAGATTGTATAACTATTTTTGCATTTTCTATCTTCCACTTCCAAATGATCATTATATATATCAGCACTTCTCATAGTATTAGTTTACTTGTCAGTCAATGTTTTATGAATACGATAATTATAGGCTTTGGAAAGCTAAACGATAATAATTATTCATACGTACTACCCGATGCGGACATATATGAACGAGAATTCAACTGATATGAAATAAGCAACCAAAGAAGTCCTGAATTACTATGAAAATCTATAAGTGGAAAACTTGGATTAATAATAATAATAATAATAATAATAATAATAATATATAAACCAGTTTTGTGATGTTCAGATGAACTAATTTAATTTTAAATGTAAAGTGAATAGTTTATTACGATTAGACGATATATTTCTTAGAATCACTGAAATATTCAAAATTCATAAGATGCATAAAAATTAGATTTTCTGTTTTTTTACTCAATAAGTTTACTGAATAAACTGTGCATAAGTCGTCAGTGCTTCCTGCTTTGTTTAAATAACATCGACTGATCATACATTTTTTGTGTGCTTTTATATGAAATCAAGTGAATGACTAGTACATTAGTATCAGGATTATAAAAAATAACTTGAATAAACAGTGCATAAAACGGTTTGGTAAAGATATCTATATACATGCATAAAAATATGGAAACCTTACGCACACACATGCATGCATCCATTATTACATATATACAATCATTCTTCCTAATTTTGGTGCAATCGTGGTCTGGAAAAATAAATTGGGATATTCATTTGATGACAACTTTCTCTATAACTATAGATGCGTTATGATTTTACTAGCTAAAATAGTCACCATAAAAAATAGGAATAAGCTGAAATCTACACAATTTAAATAAAAAGAATAAAGTTGTTGTTCACAAGCTAAAATACAGACGCTACAATATGCATAGGAATACAAGTTATCGGTTAAGACAATAATTAAAAGGTGTTACATAAAATAATAGTGCCATTCAGTAAATGTTAAGGTGAAGTAATTTAATCACTACTACTACTATTATTACTACTACTGACAATCAAATAAATAAATGTATCATACCGGTTGGTAATCCTGAAAGTCCTGTAATAAACCAATTTATTTCAATGAGTAAATATACTTGTAATAAATCAATATTGTGTGTAAACAAAGGTCATACTACTTAGTTTAAGATGGGAAAGTGTCAAAATGTTGTGTATGAGAAAGTGATACGTTCTGATTGTGCATAGTGAATTTTATAGGAAAGCATGAGTAAGATTTACAGTGTTATTTCGGAGAATTCCAATTAAAACTGGAACTTTATTAATTAAAATATACATTTGTACTTATTTTCTATATAAATAAGACACATCTTTCAGTCTTGATTTTAGTACTCATGTAAACGTTTTACTATATTACAGGACATGAACAACAATCACACTAAACTAAGACTGTTGTAATTTGAAAATAACTTTTACTGAGGAAGAATAGCACTATTGTTGTCGGCAGCATTTTGTTATTCACAGAAGTAGAAATTACTACCATTTCTGGTAATCATCTATTAAACAATCATTAAAAAATTGATGACTGTCCACAATATGTAAAACTTGAAATTCAATACCTACACGTAGGAATATCTTTCCAAAGAATCTGTAAAGACCATACATACGTGTACAACATTTTCAGGCTTAATTATGTGAGAAATGTAAACGATAAACAAAAACGATGGCTTTATTTAAAGGTAATAATATTCATTTATCGGCGTTAAATAGTGAAAATAGGAAATAAGTTCTTAAATTTGAAACCTAATTTTATAACAAACCGTTTAATGTCTAAAAGTTTCATTTCACATCTCGTTTCAAATAATGTTTTGAAGCAATTTCAAGATTTTCAAACAATCATTATACGTCTTTTGTAATTAGTAGAGTGTGAGTGTTTTGGAGTGATTTGTATTTTCGTTAGTACTCGCTACGCCTTTTGATCTACATCAGTTGCAGTGTTTTGGATGCTAACGTATGGAAAGTTTTTATTAATTGCTTATCTTTATTCTATCCACATTATCAACTATTTGAGTGATATGTCTAGGTTGGCTAGATATAATTTCTAACACAGAATAATATCATCACTAGAGGCACTAAAATAAAATATGATAAATGAACATTAGTTCACATATCCACTCATTTAATAACTTTAAATCTAGAAATTCAATTCATTGTTCAATAGTTTCAGAGGAAAATAAAAGTTTACATGATAAAGCAAAATCATTCAATGGAAATAAAATTATTAACCTCTTAATCTCAGCTGTGAATTAAATGGAGCAATTAAATCTTCATTTGGACGATCTCGGCAAACATGAACATGTGAATCCAAAGTGTTTAGAACAATTTGTATTAAATATTCTATCATACCCCTAGTTCCACCAATGACGTTTGATGGTGATGAAAAAAGATTTGTGTTTCCTCCACCCCCTCCAAGTAGGTTGGAGGGGGTGAACTGATATGAAGCAGATGCATTAGTAGCATTACTACCACCACCACCACCACTGGTACTGACATTGCCACCACCAGGATTTAGTCTATTACTGTTACTTCCAACGCCGGATGAATTTCCAGTTGCGTTATCCAATTGTAGTTGTGTTTCACTTCCTGAACTTGTTTTGTGTGCACGACTGATGTTGTTACTGTTTGTATTGCTAGTGAATGTTCCAACTCCTCCAGTTGTATTATTGGGTGGGTTAGAAATATGAGAAGCCACTATACTTGAACTATAGGAGATAGCGCTGGAAATATTTGTATTTCCGGTAAGATTGCCACCTGGTGTATTGTATTCATACTGGATTAGTACAAAACAAGAAAATAAATAATGTTTAAGTTTGATCTTCTAACTAAACATTATGATAAATTTGATTGTCATTATTTTACGTTAAGATTTTAAACACTGATCAGTAAATATTGACGGACAAGAGGACGTTTAGTATGATAGATTATTTCAGTGATCTTATAAAACTTTTCGGGGAACTCTTAATTTACTGTGCAATATAATAAAACTTCTGCTGGCAGACATTCCACTTCCGACTATCTGTATATACTACTTATGTCTGTTAGAATAACTAGCATGCACCACAGTAGGAGTAGCAACATTATGAATAGTATAAAAAACACTCAACTAAGATAGTATGAATGAAGAAGAATGAATTCGTGCAATAAAAATATTCTAAAATAATTTTAAAAATCATGATTTAATGGGAAACAAAAAGTGAGTACGACTAAGTCTGAGTGATTTCAATCAAAGTTTCTAATCAGTGATTACGACAACAACTGTATAAAATTCGATTAGTAGTTTAAATTCATTTATTCTTCTTTAATAAATGTTTCTCGGCATAAAAACATAAATAACATTCATGTATAAGATTTAACTATTCAGTAAAGAAGCTATGTATATTACAGCACAAACGAATAATTTACAAATGTTTGTTGAATATTTATAATCGTTATATAATGAGGTTTAAAACAGATTAATTATTTAATTTATAAATTAGAATTTAAGTTCTATGAGACTGTTGAAAATGTTTTCTCCAAAAACACCTTCAAATTAAGGTGAATAACGAAATTAATTATATTGCCCTTCTAAAAAGTTTGAACTGATTGTGGAAACACATATTTGACTAATTAAGATTGGCTTTGTAAATGCGTTACTATATTAGTTAACTAATTTATGAAATACAATAAATATTTGACTGTATCACGACAGCTAGCAATCTTATATACATCACTATGGCTCTATACTAAAATATGTAGTTAATAATAAGCATAAATCAGTACCATTATATCAAATGGTAATGTATTATATAATAATATTACAAATTCATAAGTTTTTCTCGAAATAATCGCAAATAATTAACAGAAATAAAAGATGAGTTTAATGAAATGATTAATATTCAAGGATATTTAGTTAATAAATCAATGCATTGGAATATGTACTTAGAAATTGCATAACATAATATTACAGCAGCAACAAAAAGTATTTACATAGAAGGATATTGATGAAAGATTGTGTAATAAGAGATTGACAACTTACTATAAATTTATATGTTATGATGGCCACGTCGAGAAAAGAGATTTTACAAATTCCCTATGAGTACAAGTATTAGGCTTGTTTGGGTGGATGCCGATAGTTTCACATTTAAATAAAAGGCGTATGCGTAAACTATATTGTATATTCTATGAGGATTCGGTGGATGATTAGATGTGCGTTGTTTACCTCCGCTTCTTGTTAAGAATTAGAGTCAACGAATAATATCCATTAGTAAGAATCTGGGTCATTGGTCATTGTTCTTAATTAATTATTGAGGTGTCTGTAGCAGTATTCGTGTTGGTTAAACAGATTAATATTTTCACGATAATAAAAACAACTGATATAAAATTTGCTCACTTTATACAGAATGACTAAAAGTGTTTGGAGCCAATGAAGCCTAACTTGTGGTTCTAATAATCTCAAAGTAAATGTTGGCGGTTGTGTATCGGTAGCATAACGTTGAGGTGATGCACAGAATTGTAAAACGACTAGAGTTTGATGTAAAATACAACAGCCCATGCTAAAATTACGATCGAGAACACCAGCGACATGTGCCAAAAATGCATGAAAAACAGTGGAATTTCTAGATTTTTTGAGGATTCAAAAAGCATATAAAATAATTCACATTAGTATAAATCATTTCATCTACAATGTACAGGCCAAATATATGCATGAAGTGCATATATGATACAGATTCCTAAGTGTTTATTACTAAGGTAAAAAATATTTGAATAAAAATGTTCTTTAATCTTTGATAAAATCTTTCTTAAAGTGATTATTACTCCATTCATTCTTAATGATGTAATAAACAAGCTTTAACGGTTAGACTTTTATTCATTTGAGAACGAGCAACTCATAACACTTATTTTGGTCAGATGTTTATAATATCTAATTACGTCATTTTTGTGTTAGTGTTTGAATATGTGCAATTTTGAGATGAAAAATATATTCTTCTAGAATTCACCATATTTTCTGATATCAAACAATCGGTCTCGTAAACAGTAGTCACTTGAGCACGCCGGATCATTGTATTAGATCTATCGATTGACATTTTATTAATTCATTTTACCAATTATAACTCATATCCACTTTAATAACGCTTATTCACAATGATAACGATGGGGATTAAAGTCAGTTGTTAAAATTATGATTACAAAAAATGAATGGAAATCGCCATATATTCGGTCAATCCAATCAGAGATAGACCTCATCAAAATATATCTAAAGGGGCCAAAATCTGAACAAATCTCGCAAATTATAAAATTCAGAGTGAAATTCAGTTAAGAAAGAGTGTAACACAGATAAGAAATTCACTCCATGCAACAGTGTAGTGTTTGTGGGAAACGATGCAACAAAATCAATAAGGAATCTTAAAGTTCAAGCAGAAAACCAATGTTAGAACTTCAGAAAAAATATCTAGTTTCACGTCTAGAATGTCTATTTTTGGTTTTAGCGTATTCAGTCGAGTTCACAGCACACCCACCTAGTCAGCCTCCATATATTATTTATCAAACAAATTCACGAGAGGCATTGACGTTCTTGTTCACAGCTCAAAGATAATTTGGCTGATGTTCTCCTTAAATGTAATCTGAACAACTAGCACTTTTTTAACAAGGTTGTCTTCTACGAGATAGAATCGTTGATCCTATGCCAAATCCTCCTTTTCTATCCGAGCTTGGGACCGGCAATAATCATAGAATGGCTACGGGATGAGGAGACAGGACTGCTTAATTTCGCTCTTTCTTTCATCAGACCAGTTGTACTGTACAGAGCTGAATCGTGGAGAACTACTACAAACATTGTCAAAAACGTACAGGTATTTATTAACGAAGATCTACACAAGATACTCCGGATGTGTCGGGTGGATACTATCAGCAAAGACCCATTGTGTCAGAGAACAGACTAAAATCCAGCTGAAGAGGAAATTAGGAAAAGACGTTGTAAGTGGAGAGGATATGCAATGCGGAAATAATCAAACTGCATCACGAGGCAAGCACAGACTCAGAATTTTGGAGGCAAAAGAAAAAGAGGAAGACCATAGAAGACATTGCATCGGGAAATGAAGACAGACATTAAAAGAATGAACGCTAATTTGAAGCAAGTGGTAGGAATTACCCAGTACAGAGTTCGATGGAGAATGCTGGTGGGCGGTCTATGATACTCCACGACGGGTAACGGGCCTAAGTAAGCGAACAATAATAACCTTAAGTTAGTATATACCTTCACAAGGTCGGTTTCTTCTTAACAAGTTATATTCGATAAATTAGCGTCTAAGACACCTCCCCCCGACCAATAGCGAGCTGCCAATATTTAAAGAATTTCCATTACTTTGACTACTTATGGAACTAATCAGCTATCATTCAGTGTCGCAATGCTCTTTATCTCGTATATGTCGTCCACTGAAGTGCTTGCTTGAGAAAAATGTACTATAGAACTGGAATAAGGGATGTGAATCTTTTAAAAAATGAAATCAATACTAGTCAGTACTAGTCTTTCTGGGATATGATTTCGAATATGTAAGGTAATTCCAATACACATGGGGCTTTCTCCACATCGTTACTAGTTTTTAGTTTGCGAGTAGTAATACCGAAGTGACTGTAATCCGAAGACTTTCACCATTTTCATAGCAAACATTTATGAGTGCAGTGAATGAAATCTATGGCATGAAGTTTTGCGTGCTGACCACAAAAAGGCAGTAACATTGATGTAGTCAAAAACTGTTAACTTTGTCCAGAAACTTCGAGGCAGTAAGCTGAGATTTAGAATATTTTAGTTACAACAGGAAATATCACAGGCTCTACCGAATGTTAACCCTATCAACCCAATCAATGCTATCACATATACTGTACCAGTGTAGTGTACGAAGACTTGGTGGATATAACGAATTTCTTGTTTTCTGAAAACTATAGCGTTTTCTTAAAATTTGAAAACCATACATTACATACACCACTTGCACAATATCGCTGTTGTCGTTTACATGCTTCATGATTGTCCCAATTATGTTTTTATCCCAATTATTCTCTGTTGCCTTTCTTGTCCTCCTCAATCCGACCTTTTGTTGGTAGGCACTCCAATTCCTAATTGTGCTACATACTCCTTATATCTAACAACAAAAGTAGCAAATACCAGACCAGTACCTTCCTCCCTGTATTAGCCAGAAATTGTCCTCTTGGTGTCATAGTTCACCAGCGAAACCTTTCAAGTGATGGAGGGGGGCTAGACATCATAATATCAAATAACAGGTTGTAGCGCACATCAGAAAATTTCGAAATATTCCTACGCCATTCTGCCGATCGTTTGAAGGTAAAGTAAATCCGTTAGAATTCGAAGTTGCGACACCAATGTTTGGCAGAAACTACTATCCAAACTGTTATTGAGGGTTAAAAGGGTATATAGCGAGAAGGTAAAAAAGAGTTTTGTACGATGTTGATGTGGGAGAGAACCAGAGAATCTGAAATTTTAACGGACTACGCGAGGATTTACTGCTGAGCTGGATGCAGTATTAAAATACTTATACATCTTGCTCGATAACCTCAGTTTACGACTTCAGAATAGACCCAACTGGTAATCTCTATTCACTTCAGTCTTAATGTAACTAACCAACATACAACAAGTTCAGTATGAAACCTGTTTTATTGCACTAATTATTTTTATAGGTCACTACAAGTGATTTGTGAATTATTCCGTTTTGATCAGACATTTATGCAACTACAAAATTTAATTCGTAAAGTTTTTCTATATTTTCAACCAGTACTACTAAAAATTCCTAAAGTCTTTATGATCACTGTAATAAATTGCTATTTTAACAGTTGAATTCATGATTCGATCTAGACTAAACCAACAATGAAAACCTAAATGCACTGGACTGCCGTTTCGTCCTAGTATGGGACCTAGCAGTGAGCATGCACTACTATTATTTGTTATACAAAAACAACTCACCTCATTTTGTGTGGGGGTATATCAAATGAACCATCCGTATAACCAAGTAAGAATGCTAAATGTCTTTGTGCTTTGCTTAGAGCTTTTCTGTCTTTTAATTCGTCCCTAGACTTGTTTGCCATATTGTGACGTCCACTACTGACACTCCCACCACCACTGCTTCCGATTCCACTGCCAACACCTCCGTCACCACCACTATTAGCTCCGCTAGTTCCACCTGTAAAACTTTCATCCAGTTTTAAATCCAATTGAACTGTAGACATAAACTTGAGTAATAAACGAACCCATTGATGTAGTGTGTCACGTTCATCGCCGTCCAGATCTAATGCTTGTTGTATTGAACTTAAAAATTTGTTATTACTATCAACAAATTCACTAGCATGTAGACCACCTAATTAATAGAAAAAATGTGTTTGGATTTGTTTAATATTACAAGTATCATTAACTACGGATGTAAATTAAAAACAGTTAAAATTAATTTTAGCGGTATATCTATTTAGGCTTTATTAATCTCACTGATATTCTGATAATCAACTCCAATAATCTTGAGATTAAGCAACTGAATTTATTCACAAATCAATCAACCCACCAACTATCACTGTAAACATTACTGTTATCAACAATGATACTAAGTTTTCAAATAATTAGATATTTTCTTCAAATAAACTATACTGGTTAGTTTATCAGAACCAACATTAAAGTAGTAAGCTAGTCAATAACATAACATTGATGGTTTCGATTGTAAAAATTGATGGATAGAACTCAAATATACCGATGGACGCAATGGAACAGTGTCACCAAGTGATGACTACTCATGGGACTACATAATTTATTTAGGCCCCTGAAAAATTAGAAATTAAAAACAAAACCAATAACCAGTTAATTGGTTTTTCACATAACAAAAAAGCATCCTTATATACAAAATATAAACACTAAATAAACATGAAAAAATGTCATAGATGATTGGAGAAAAATGATCTAATCAATTAAGATCTAACTGCTAGACCTAGTCTTTGGGTGTCGTATCAATTTTTGGGGTAAAAGAAAACAAGAAACGATACCAAACGTTTTTGTCTTTATACAGATTCTGTAAAGTATAATTGACTCAAATCAAGTTTTCGGGAGGCAAGAAATTTGTAGTTTCAATTGAATCGATAAAATATTCGATTCCATACTATACTTTGATAGCATTTTGATGAGAACTAAAGTATGTATTGTAATGAACAGTCTCTTTTTACAACATGACTATTCATTCAGTTATAATTAAAAGTTAGGTTTTATCGATTGATTACAGTTTTCCTATGCAAGAATGCAAAGTAGTGAGAATAAGCGTAAAAAAGCATGTATATTTAGTGTCGACTAGTTGATTAAAAATTTGTAAAACATATGGTTATGATACCGGTTTCCACACTTGTATAAAAAGATAAGCAATAAGCGTATAGAAGAGACCACAAAATGTAGATGAATATGACACTTGAAATATTCACTTAAACTAATTGATACGGTGGATTACGCTTATAATTTCAGAAAAAGATTGAAGTTGTAAAGATTGAAAATGTATTGAGAAAACAAAGTTGACCTGAAAAGTAATATGCATTTGTGAAAAATATTTTGTTCCACTTAATGGCTCATTTACCTGACTTGACTCTGTATTTAACGTATAGAAGCAGCCAATCACAACAGAAAATCATTAAATGATAATAAGAAAGAAAAAAAAGTAAGAATTACAAGGATTGGTCAAAATGAATAGACATTTTTCTGATGAACTATATACTTTCACCATATTTTTAAAATGTATACAAGATAGTGATTATTTTAGACGCTCTTTTCGAATTGAAACGAATTAAATAATTCTTCTAATTAAAAATTAAAAGACTTATACCTGTTAATAAACCACAAACAGATGATATTGATGGACGAGATCTTCTACCACCATGACTAAATCTAAAATGTGGTCTTTGTACGCCATCTATCATACCAGAATCTAAATAGAAAAAAAATGTAAACTTATATTTTTTTAATTTTAGCATGAAGAGATAGTTTGTCTAAATTTGCTATCAATATTTTCAGTAATCACATCCATATTAAAGTTAATTCTAAGCAAGGTTTAATAATCTATCAATAGTAGTCGCTAGTGTTAGTTATTCATTCTGATATTTGCCTAAATTTAAAATATATGATGTTAATTGTTTGGTTGGTATAATTAAAATGTAATTCCGCTGTGCATGTAGTTCCACTCTGTAATATCATTTGTTTTCGTTACTTTATTATTAACACAAATGAAAACAAATTTTTAAATATGTTTTGATTAAATGATTTGCGCCTAAAAACATACAATCGGTGTATTGCAAGATTCATCGAGTTATTCCGATCATTTGAGCAATTTTAGATACGTTGACAGATAGACGTCTTCATCTGCCTGGTTGCTGTCAGTTATGAGCAAATCTACAAGTTCAAGATCCACTATGGTTAATTAGCTATTCTAATTCATATCAATCGACATTTCATCAACCTTTATTACTTTGGCTATACTAATGCCAATTCAAATTAAATATGTTTATTGATGCTATTTGTTTAGTCACCTACACAACTGTATCACTTTACTAGGAAATCAATACTAAAGAAGGTCAAGATTAAATTGTAAAGCTTAAATAAATTTGCTAAATAGGTCTTTTTGTGTTGCATTTGTGATGGTTGAATTTTTTTCCTAATCATATATATATATATAATGTGATTATTAATAAATCTGACATGTCTACATATATATTTCTGTGATCTATACAACTACATATAATTTTGTATGTGTAAAACCGATTTAATTTAATCACCTGATCCAATCTGAATTGAAGGTTTCCTTTTTCCATCATTCTCATTTTTACATTCTTCTCGTATTTGTGTAGTTGAACCTGAATTAAAAATCAGTGATTGTTGATTTATTTGTAATTGAGATTGTTGTGTTTGAGTAAAACTTCCAACTGTGTGTGTACTGAATCTCAATGAATAAGCATGAGAATTTAAACTGATTGACTTAATTCCAGAACTTTTATGAATTGCAAAAGCTGCGCGTTCAAATTGATTTTGAAAATGTTCACCAGTACGATGTGATCCATTTAAATCTGTCACTAGAAAGCGAAAACAAAATTAAACGATGTTTATTCAAAAAATATATCGACTACAGTTTCATCCAACTCCGAAGAATAATAATAAACCTTGTCTTTATAGTTACTCGCCATTTTAAAGTTTAGTGAAGTAGGGACAATAATGTGAATTCTTTTTTTTTTCAATTCTTTTCAACTACTTAGTCCTTCTATAATTTCATTGAAATCATGAACTCATAATTATTGTCCTTTATTAGTCTATACCTATATATCAGAACCAACTTTAATCAACATCAATCTGATATAAAGAAATATTTAGTTATTTTTTAGTATTACTAATATTCTTGTTATACGTTACAGAAAATTTACAAAAATGAATTTGTTTTTCTGACACATTTATTGTTCATGCTTCACTCAGATGTGAACTGACTGATTTGATTTTAAAAAATGTACAACGATCAAGGACTTATTCATTTAGTATATTTCACTCCAAATTACTGAAAAGCGATTAATTGACAATACTCAGGCTATAAGTACTGCGAAAATACCTATTTGTGTCCAATAACTACTCTATATAAACATTTGCTTAGAATAAAAATAAAACGAGCATAAGACTGAGTAAGTTGTGCTGATTTATCGGACGATATCTAACCAACCAAGATGTTCTCTGAGTCATAATGTATGATGGACCAAAATCTTAAGTACGGAAACCTTTATCTGGTCGATTAACATTAGAAAACATTGGTGTGTAATTTAGTTACCTCGTACTTCCTCCTTCCAAAAATATTTCATGAATTCTTACCGGTGTACGTTTAAAACATCTTTAACTCCGTTCACTATACTCCAGGTCAAATTAAAAAATAACTGACTTAAGTGAATCACCGCAGTACACTAACTGATCTAACTAATTCTATTTATTCCTAGTTATTCGAAAAAAGCATCCAAATATATTAAAGAGTGATTATCATAGAATGATTCGGTATTAAAAGGAAACCATGGTTTAGTTGAAAATTGATGAATCTACCATGCTTTACGTGAATACTCCAGCAAGTCAACAAAAATAATCACGATAGTCACATACTGTTAATAAATTAATCATTTTTTCTATTCACCTAATGGAATGAACATCAATTAGGTATGGAAATTAAAAACATGATGTGAATGCTAGATAATGTGGTATTTCCATCTACATGACTGAAAATTTACATAGAATGGTTAAATGTATTGTTGGAGTATGAAATTAGTACCAAAAGTAATACACGCAATAGTAAAGCCATTCTCTAAACACAAACATTTCGATTAAGCGCACAGTCTGATGTGGGGAAAATACTATCAAACCTTACCTGAATCGATATCAACTTGACCAGGTGAATTGCCTAATTGAGCCTGTATAGCTAATATACCAAAGCGATTAACAAAAAAGTCCCATGTAAATATTTCTCTGTTCGGTAGACTGCAACTGAGTTGGTGCATGCGTTGTAAAATAAGACAGCGGTCAGAAATTACAGTATCGAATTGAAATTCTAAACATTGTATTGCACACTACAAAAAGACGATCAAACACAAAATCAGAATAAATTAAAGCAATAAAGCAAACAATTGTCATTAATTAAAGAAAATCGAGAGAAGACAATTTCTTTATATCATTTACTATAGTTGTACAGTCGAATTCACAGGGGTTTATTAGGTTTTTGGGTCTAAAGAAGATTAGAAGTCCATCACATCAACAAAATATTCTGAAATCTTAAGTCCTAAAATAAGGTTGTGTAAGGATTCAGAGAAAAACGAAAATAAGTTAAGGATCAGAAATACGAAAGGCAATCGTCCACTTGACAGAAATGAAAAAACGCAAATGTCATCAAAACGATTGAATAATAATTACCAACAACTGTAAGAGGGTGATGATAACTGATTACGGATTAAGATGTATATTATGAAGATAAAAATATCATCATAATAAAAATAATAAAAATTTATTGGGACGAGTGTTAGGGCAAAAGAAGTAATAAAGATTGTGCATGATGCTTTCACATCCAAACTTCAGGCTTCACTTCATGAATTGCCGATACTCGAGTATTTCATGTCCCTTTGGCTTTACTGTCCTTTTAACTGGGTAGATTATTTTTAACAAAATATGTTCATTAATTAAGAACAAAGATAAACCCATCAGTGTATTTAATAATCAGTCAGCTAGACATTCATTTGGTTTAGTTGTCTTGCATTTATTCACCATTTTAGGTTATTGCAATTTAAAAATGAAACCGCATTTCATCAGCTTTAATTTGATACACTTTAGTTACCTGCATAGCACTTCTTATGGTCTTTTATTTTATTTGTTGATGTACTGAAGGAATTCTTTAATTCCAATTACATAAAACAGATCAAGATAAAGGATGTTTGTTTTTCTTGGTTTCTTCTTAAACTTGTGTACCTAACATTAATATCTTCATTTCTTCGTACTTATTTTTTATATGCTTATGCAGTTTGTTATCATTCATTTTTCTCCATTTAACACTTTAAATTTCTTAATGATGAGATTGAAAATATTCATTTCGTTTGATTGATTCAATTCAGATTATAATGCGTTGTCATTTTTTACCGGTTTTACAAGTTTTCTTTAATTAAATATATCACCTAAACTTTATCTAATCTTTATTCAAATTATCACAGAACATTATTACTTAAATTTCCTGATGAGATTAAGGTTATGGAAGTTTATGAAAATGAATGGATGAGCAGTTAATTAGTAAATTGTAATAGTTTGAAGATCCCTATTGTGTATTCAAAAATCAATGAAAATTAAAGTAAACAATTGTTCTCGATAATTTCATCTCCAGACTCTAAAGATATCAGTCCATAACTAATGTATTACAATAGCTCAAATAAGACGCGCATACGTAATTGAATTAGGCAATCTATTGTGTTAGAATAGCGGAACTATGCATCAGTTACAACTTGAATCTGTCCAAAATGTGTAAATCATGAGTTTAAAAAGGCTTTAACATTGCATGCTGGTCAACATGTATCGGAATATTTTTACAAAGGAGTCATAAGACATGTTAACATTATCGTTCTTTGGCAACTGGTAGATAGTGAATACCACATTAGGATAGATGAGGCCGCAACCTATGAAAAATTTCACTGATTTACCATACAGTATTGCCTAGTTTACTTATTTGTGTAAGCCTTATTATGTTTATTGTAATCCACTAGTTATAGATTTATAACTGTAGTTTGATGTTGAAATGAATGAAAAAATCTTTCACTCAGAAACTCACCGTTCATAAATACATTTAAATAAATCTTCAGATTGTTATGTTGCAAATACGTATATTACTAAAAAAATTTTATTACTCACAGCTAAAGAAATATTATTTAATGATGCAATTTGCATTGAAGTATATTGTGCCACCGTTGAATTAGGATCATCTAATGAACCAATTAAACAACAAAATGCATGAGCTATGGCACTTTGAATTAGTGGATGACGATTATTACTTGAATGAGCAGCCACTTTATTGGTCGGCTCCGTATTTGTTCCACCATGTTGTTTCATCCCATGACCACTAGGTAGATTTTTACGATTTGGATTAATTTTGTACGTCCCATATGTGTAATACCAGTTAATCGACTGAAAAGATTTATTGCGCCCGAACTTGCCATACTTCCGCCAGATAATAAGTGATTAAGTTTATTTCCAGCTGAACCACTGAAACCACCGGCTAATATACAATAATCTAATTCTCTAAGTAATACTGATACTTTTTCTATTGCATCAAAACGAATTCTCCAATCACAATGTGAAAAATCATGTTCAATTAATTTCCAGAATACATTAAATCCACCAGGAAATGATAAACAGTGAAGAACTAAGGGAACTGTCCAACTTGCTAAATATGATAATTCTGATTTCAGTAAACTCCAGAAACTATTATTATATTTTAGAAAAAAACAAAAAAACAGGAATAATTGTAGGCTTATTTATAAAAATGTAAGTTTTTTTAACATGGAAGCATTATTTATTATTAGCGCATTCATGTGGTTAAATTCCTTGATCTCAACAATAACAACTGTCGAATTATAAACAATGCAAATAAACTGATGGAAATCTTAGAAAAATGCAAATAAGCGAACAATAATGCTTGAATAGGATCAAAATATGATTGTATAACACGTTCCGTAAGTTATATGATAGTGTGGTGTGAGCTACTTACATCCACATAAGTAGTATATAACGACGGTCAGGCATAGAATGTATTTCAGCGGAAGATCGAGAGGGAAAGAACGGTCACGGAAAGCAATTGGTATGAAAATGCATGAACAATGAAATCTGAGACGACGGACTGAGATTTGCAAAAGGAAAAGTCAAGTTTGAGACAATTGATTGGGATTTTGCAAATTAACTATTCACTGTACGGTTATCAGATTTTAGTAAGACGTTCTGTAATGTTTGGTTGACCCCACTTGTGTTTTTGCTCGCTACAATAGTACTTCAGATGCAGCGTTTTCTGTAGGAGTACTTTAAGTTACGAAAGCGAGTAAATCATGCTATTTTTGAGTAACTACTGTGAGAAAAGAATAACTGTATAAACAATGCTTTTGGCGACAATGATTGTCCTATCATATAAGATGTCGTCCCATTGAAGTGGAGCACCAGGAGCAATAGGTTCTTGCAACTAAAGTATTTCCTTCAATCCCTGTTGAAAGAGACGGTTATTGATATATCCTAAAAATTCCAATATATACTCATACATATGACACTTAATGAATCCATCATCATAATTATTGTCAAGCTCTCAAGAACATGTTTGTATTTTACTACATTGTCAAGATTTTTAGACAAATTCTAAAACAATCCTTTAAAATACAAAATTTTATTCTCATTAAACTAGAATAAAAATTAAGTCTACTCTTCAGCGATATTTCATAATGAATTTGTTCATACTGAATACAATAAAACCTCCTTATTTGAACAGTATACTTGATTTGGTGTGAACTTGGGAGGTAAATAAAAGGAAAACTTGACAAACAAGTAGTGACCAGGAACGTGTTCAGTACTTTCAATTGTCAGTTGAGTTGATTAAAAAGTCTTACTTCCAGCATTTTAATATTTATTTTAAATCAAGAGACCTAGCCTAATAAATCAATACATAATTAACATAATCCCATAAAAAACTATCATTTTAACCAGATTCCCACATTGGAAAGGGCTTGGAATTAAATATGTTTTTATTATGAATAAAATTAGTGTTATACCCCTAACATTATCCTAATATTATGTGCAACAACTAACCCTACATTAACGAGACAAAACAAAAAAATATCATTGCCATCAAATTTCCAAAAAATAGACTTTCAAAATGTTTATGAAAAGTATTACTCGATTAAAAAAAAAGCAAAAATCTACGTAAGGCTAAAATTATTTAAGTTTACTAACCTTGGGATTAAATGAGAATGTATTAAATAATAAACAAAATTTTTCTGTGCTTTCGGTGTCGCAGTACAATTTCGCGATGTTAACGTCTTTGTACTTTGTAATAGCTGTCCTTTAGTTGATGGATCTTGACTAGTCATTTGACTTGTTAGTTTACTTCCAGTTAATCCTATTAGACTGCTAATACCAAGTGGTCCTGTTGTTGTGGTACTCACAATATTTGCTACACTGCTGGTGGTTACTCCTCCAGCTGTTACTGTATTAGTTGATATTGATGTTGAACCGCTGGATCCATTAGTAAGCAATTTTTGTTCTTCTTTTTCTGCTTTTGTTAAAATTTGTCTCAGTGCATCACCAATATGACATAGATATGCTAGGCATTCTAAAATACATTGCAATACGACAGGATCGCGAAACGTTTTCAGTTCGATAACTGTTTTGTTTACAGATGAAACTGAAGAACAGGAAGTCGGATGTTCTTCTTTTATTGTCACTGATGTTGTGTCTCGAAATAAACTATCCGGCTCCCTATTCAGGTCTCCATATTCAACGTAACGACGCGTACCTTCCTTCACAAATCGCGTCAATAAATAAGTAAGACGCAGTACGGGAGGAATGGAACATAAATCTTCAGAAGATGGGAGTTTTTCAGAGGTTTCAGTAACGTCTGGTCCAGGAGCTAAAGATTTAATTTCTGACGTTTCGTTGTCACCAGAATCACTCCAATCAGTATACTCTGAAATAAATGATTGAAAAATTTTGATTTCGTAGGGTGGACTTCAGATAGAGAGGGAATTATGCATACTAGGTTGAAAATATAAAACTTGAAAATAAAGGGAATCGTAAGTCGTTCTGTGTTGCTTATATTATCTTATTTTAGAATATGATTTTGAATAGTACTTGAAAAACACTATATTATATAGAAATTGAAGAAATTAAAAGAAAATTAAAGTGAGGTAAAGATGTATCGATATAACAACGTACCTGGGAAATCTACCACAGCTTTTAATGCATCAACGGTAAAATCAACTGTAACTTTGGGAGTTGGTCTTATTGGTGCTAAGTGCTGACATATCAATCTAGCATAGTTAAACCACGTGAGCATATCTAGACAGTCAATACATTCACTAGCATTATCTGTTTGTTTGTTTAGATTAATTTGATTAATATTATTTTCATCATTATTTTCGGTCATATGGGCTGAAGTCGTTGATATTGGAGGTTTCATTTCTGATTTGTTTTTAGATTTTGGTAGAATACAAGTTTCCAAACCAAGGCAATGTAGATTTCTTAAACCTGAACTTGTTGTTTGATCGTCTGTCTCAGCAACATTACCCCAGTACAATTCCAACATATCACCTAAAAGCCATATTAATAATTGCGGTGTTTCTTGCGTATAACCAGAATGTCCAATTGGATCCAAAATTTTTAGCTTTTAATTTTGATTAAAATACATTCATAAACAAAAATGTATCATTTAATTGTTATGGATAGTCAATGGATATTGAAATCTATAGATTCATGAAAACACTAACAAAATTATCCAATACGTTAAATCAAAACAAGGAGCAGAAACGAAAAACTTTAAAACCGACGTTATAGAGGTTGCAGAGAAAATATTCTATGTATGAATGAATTACCAACCGTATGTTTACGTTCGTAGATATAAAAATATAATCAATGTATCACTAGGCAACTTTTATACTACTTTTATTTATTGTGAGCTTGTTTCTCTGACATTTTAATAAATTTCAAAAAACTTTTGAGTAGACGAACAAAATTATGTTGATCACTGCAATAAACTATAGGTTTTTTGGTCAGAGATTGTGAATGTTTTGTAGGATCCAAGAATACGTCTTAACACATCAATGAAATACATAAATCACTGAGGCGAAAACATTGAAAAAAAAATTATTTCCTACTCACTACTTATCATTATTGTTGAAAATTAAGAATGTTAATATAATGGGTATAAATTTTCTACTCAAGCAGTAAAATCAATATTTTATTCAGGCTGCTTTATTTTAGGTGTATGAAAAACGTATAAAAGTATGAAAGATAACTGCTTAGTTTGTTCTATTTTTGGTTTGTTCAATAACTCTTCTGAACGGCGCTTTTACCCATTGATAATCATCTGTCCTCAGTTTTCAAGCAGTTGAGGTTACAAACAGTGTGCAGAATTTTTAAGAAGGATCACTACGAAACTATAAAAATAGTAATACACCTCCAAAATAAATTGTCAGAGGAATCTTAAAATCAAAAAAGGATGACCTATGACGTTACTATTTTATGCAGAAAGTCCAAATACTTTTTGTCAAGTGTGAATATTTAGCAAAACAGAAATTAAAGAGGTTGAATACCTGTCGATATGCAATATCTAGCATTTGTGTTAAACAAGCAGTGATTCTATATTGATTAATTTGAGAATTATTTTTTTTAATCTTTTGATCAGTTGTTAATTCACGTGTATCTTTATTTTCAGATTCCTGAGTTAGTTGTTGTGCATCATTTTCGTCCGTAATATTTTGCTGATTTATCGATTTATTTTGGAAGCTTTCATCGGTTTTAACATTAAACAATAAAAGATTTTGACTTTTTAAATTAGAATCATTTGTTACCAAACATGAATTATTTTGATGAATATTAGATTCAGTCATTGTAATTTGTTTTGTTGGATATTGTTTATTTGCTTTGCGAGAATTGTTGGATGTATATGATTTAGAAGTGTTTTTATCATCTGCACTGTAGGACAAAAGACTTTTTGTTTCGTCCAATGTAATATCGTCATCTTCTTCACCTTCCACTATATATTCATTCTCATCTGATAAAAATTGGTTATCATCGGTGCAGGGTTTCTATCTACATTTTCGTCATCTTCATCTACTTTTGAATCTTCTAGGAAAATATCACTCTCTTCATCCTGTAAACGATCTTCATGAACAACATTTTCTGACAAAAATCCATTTTCATTTAGCCAATCAGCTTCGCTAGCAGTGTTCTGACCTAATGAATCATCATATTCATCCTGATCTGTCAAGTAGTCATTATCTGACTCATCATTTGTAGGTAACAACAATTCTAAAAACAGTGATGCTACACCAGCTGCAAACATTGTAAGTAGTTCTTTCATAGGGATCGGAACCTCTACAATGGTTAAAATCTGAAAATTGAAACATGTGATAATAAACCCAACGGTTACTTTTTAGAGAATGAATTGTATCTGTCTCACTCTCAAAGTTCTAATAAGAAGAGGCGATCATTAAATATCAAACACCTCAGGAGTGAGATGGGTATCGCCACTAACAGAAAATGATAGTTAAGTAGTATATAACGAATCTAAAAAGTGGAAAGAATCATTGTATGCTAGCTCAGTAGGCTGAATTTAACGAAATCAGCATGAATGGTGTTAGTACTCGGTTATGATAGTAGAAAAGCACTATGAAAGCCTATTTCGTTTTTGAATCTGAAATAGTTTTGAGATGCAATAAATTATTTAAAGGTTTATGCACATCCCGATATATTACATATTACTTTACATGACCAACATTTGGTAAAAGAAAAGCACTAAAACCACTGTTCTTCTATTTATTTTTTCCGACAAAGGATTTACTTCAACAGAGTAATTAAGTCATTAGTCGTTAATAAAATAATCGTTGATTGTTTTGTATTTGTTTCGTAATTCAAGCAAAGTCATATGAATCCCATGAACAAATTTTAAAGAAAACAATTTATTTGAATCACAAATTAATATTTTCAGAACAAATATATACAGCAAATTAAGAGCTGAGACTGTAATCTTTGTAAAACAAATCATGTGAATTTTCTTGTTGTGGACTTCATTATCTATAGTGATTCAATTTATTTGATATAACTGTTATTAGACATGGCAAGTTACCAGTCAAAGCGATCAAAGGACAATAAGACGTGTTTAAAATAAGGGATTAGGATGTATGAAAATATGTATACTATTTATGTTATTTGAAATAAATTAAAAAGTACTTTTATTTAGATTTCTATGCAGAACTACTGCCAATAATATTCACACATCGAGTAAATAAATATTAGGTTATTTAAAACTTTATTTAGAAGTTCTAATGGACGTAAACGAGTCTGCAGAACAATCAGAAGTTTACGTTTTTTATGGGAATTCTGATGAATCCGTTGGTATCATGATTTTGGAATCAGTGTAAAAAACGGTTATAACGAAAATACTAGTCAGGCTTAGTCTTTAAGTTAAGAAGTTATGTGTAAACACCGTTTGCTTTCAGATCATTTAGAGTAGAATTTCGTAGCTCGTTTAAAACTCTTTACATAAGGAATAACTTCCTCCTTCTCATAACCTTTCGTCAAACTTAGTTTTACCAATTAGTATCACTAATATTACATTTTTAACTGATGTTCTAGCATCTTTATGTTTCTTAGCTGTCATCCAAAATTATCTACTTTGTTAAGAAATTAGCCATAGTATTCATCAAAGCTATTTATTTGCAATGTGAACAGCGGCTTTAGTAAAACAAATCAAACACAAAAGTGATAACAATCCAGGTTGATAAATGTCGCACACGTTTATATGAAAATTAAAAATTACCTCTAACCAACTTAAAGCTTGATCTTGCACGCTAACTGGAGTATTGATAAAACGTTCACTGGCAAAATGATAAACTTTCTGTGGTAAAAATGGAAATGGTCCAGCAGTCGCATCAAAAATTTTTCTGTCCAGACAAAAAAGTAAAAGAAATTAATTTTAGAAAATTTATTTACATAATAGATTGAGTCGGGACTTAGAGTTACACATCAAATAATGTGAATAACAATTGGAAACCACTGGAAAAGACTGCCCAGGACAAATTTGATTGATTATTGGTCAGCTGCCTATGCACCTCCGCGAGGTGTGACAGGCGTAAGTAAGTAAATATTTACACAAGTTGTTCAGTAACAGAACAGGTTCTGAGAAGCATCAAACTAAAATAGATTATCTATTTAGTTCACCTTGATTTTCAGTTCGAAACAAAAACCACTTCCATCTCATGCACAAATGGTTACCAAGAATTCTAACTAATCTCAAATTACAAGGAGAAAAGCATTGGGTGGTTTGTGTAAGTGGTTCAATAACAAAACAAACTGTATAATAGATTAGATTAAATCATAGAATCTCAAAAATTAAAAATTGAATTTGGAGAAATTAATGGCTAATAGCCTGAGATGCCAAATGAAGTCGTTTCTGATAATCAACTCTATTATCTATAATGTGGAACTCTTTATGAATAATCAATTCAATCTATTTTTGTGAATTCACATAATCATGCAAACTTATCCTCATATTCGATGATTTGAGTGTTAATAAGAATAACGATCTTTTCTCTTCAAGATATTTTTCTGAATATTTGTTACTGAGTTGAAGTGGAGCTCAAACGTTATCGGATTTCTTTGGAAATTGAAACAAGTATGTTTAGATTGAATCTAACATAAAAAAGAAAATTATTTATTTCTTATCGGTCACTCAACATGTATCTTTTAATTGCTATTAAATTCCCATCCCAGATATATGAACGAAGAATGTGATTTTCAACATTGTTTTCTCTTGATGTTCTACAATTATACATCCAAATTAATGATCCAAAAAGTGACCAGGTTTAAGGTCAAATATATCGTTTAAAGTTATAGCATGTGAATTTGGGATTTTAAAACGAAATAAAGTCGTTAATATTTGAAATGATTAGTATGAGGTTTTCACTTGAATACGTCTATACGTTAAATGGAATTGTGAGATTATAGGCTAGAATAAATATGGTTTACACGGGATGATAGAGATAAGAATATATTTACTAATCATAAATCACGTAGTATGTAGAATTAGTTAATAGGGATGGATGAGTTTGCAAGTGCTTAATAAAAGTAATGATTACAATAGTGATAATAAAAAAAAGAATATCGACAATATATATGATTAAGTTTAAGCTATGAAAATTCAAAGAGGAAGGTTGTATGAGCATTGTTCGAATTGCGTCAGTATGTCATCGAAATAAAATATCATTAAACACACTGATCTTTGTATATTTAAATAAATTAATGTAAATGATTGTTCCGTGTTGGCTGTATGCCTTATTTGTACTAAATGAACTGAAATCAGGCTGTTCACAGTTTTAACTATGTCATTGCTAATTTACACTGGACGTGTGGAAAACGTTAACTGTGATTTACCTCCGTTAAAGATTCTTTAAATTGCTCTTTGCAGCTAAAGCATAAAGATTCCGTTGAGTGCATCGCCTCTTAATTGTAAGCGTATATACAGAAACGTTTTACTCACAGTTAGGACTTCGTTATACTCTCTTTTCATGGCTAAATATTTTTTCAAAGTTTTCCGGATATCCATTTTTTTCTTTCTCTTCAGTCGCATATATATATATATATATATATATATATATATATATATATATATATACATTAGAACGTTACTTTTTCAGAAAAATGGTTTGAACGAATTTATCTTATGTAGCTGACAGAAATTAACGTGCAAACTAAGTTTTAGACATTTCTCTAAGTAAAGTTATCAACTAATGAACTTACTTCAGAAGAATTTCTAATTCTGGATAATCAGCTCTTGAAACTTCAGTTCGAATTGATTCTAACCAGTATGGCATTACAAAATCCCAAGTCTGAAAAAAAATATTTAATATATAACGGAAGCATACAAAACGAAAGGCATATTTTGTTGACTCGAAATTCAATGTCTCACATTACCTTGATTCAACATTACAAAACGTATACTTCAAGGTGATGGTAAAAACTGTGGAAAATTTCTCATATAAATGAATAATACTTATTAGATCGTAAGTGATATGCCTCCCATTAGACAACCATTACAACGCTGTAGAGTTATATTTACAGTGATGAATATCAATGTTTGTTCACCTACTCATCTAGAAAGTATATTTTAGAAAGTTAATAAAAGGGAAACCAAATTTTGATACTATCATTGTATACATTTGTTTTATATTCAAGTTCCATAAAAAACAGTATGACTTTGAACATATCAATAATGACAATTAACTACATATATCTTAGCTAAATGTACTCATTTATATTAGTTAAACTAACCTCAAACGTAATAATATCATATGGTATTAAACTACCAATACGGCTGAGACCATGTTTAACTCTTGACAAGTGATCACTGATTGAATCCCTAATAAATACAGATATATAGAATTAAGAATTATGAAGGTATTTTTAAGTTCTAAAATGCAAATTTAGATTTCTATAGAGGCTATTTCAAACGACAAATAGTAAGTAAATCGTGAATCGACTATGACTATAAGAAAACATTGGAGATTACTTTTCAAGAAAGAATTAATCTTTTGGATAGTGGAGATTCAATCAATTTTGAAGGCGAATTTCAAAAGGACATGGAATAGCAAGAAAAACGTTGAACGTCAACAATAATTCAACATTAAATGATGGTCAGCCTAAATAATACATCGACTGGAGTTCTTGATGTAAACCACACTTCGTAATTTTTTTGGTGACCGTCCACAAACTGATGTGGGCCTAACTCAGGGTCAAATGTGAAAGGTTATATTATCAGAGGGCTGGCATTCTATTAAAAGCCCCCCCCCGACTCGAGCCTCTGCCCTGACTCCAATTGACGAAAAAATATATCACATATTTAACTTGTTATGATACTTTGGCTAATGCATTTGAGCAATGGTAGCATTTAAAAGCCAAATACGAAGTATGGCTGGAAAATTATATTTCATTCATCTATGTGATAGCAAAGAAAATGGCTTGAGCTAAATTGCATATTAACTTTTGTATATCATGATACAATGTTACAATAGATACGAACAGTATAGTCAAATAGTCGTAGACGAACACATATGCATGGAAATAAATATGAAAATATGGTCAACATTATGTTATATTAACAAAACAAATATCAGTTTAGGGTTGTGAAGATTGTTGAGTTTTGATTGTGATCATCAATCGATCATAGTTAGACCATCATTGAAAACCTGGAAGAACTGGACAGACGTCTAGTCCTATGCTATAACTGTGACGGCAGATTAGAGGACAGCGAATTATTGATCGGACCGAAGACGCGCAAACACGTAGGAACGGCCTAGGGTTTAATTTGTCCCGCTTCCCTGTCTAGCCCAGCCAGTTGAGTCCAGAGCGCAAGTCTCAGCCTCGGAGAAATGAATCGTTATATTTCAAACACACTCTACATACCAATCAAGCAGACCACATCGTAAATAAAATAGAAAATAACATTTTACAATATTGACCAATAAGAAAATAACACTATTTCAAGTCCAAGGATAGCGTTAGACTTAACAGAATGATTTTTGGGATATTTTCCTAAATATCACTACATCCTAATATGGGACACTGCAGCAGCGCTTATACACGATCTCAATCGAGGAATTTGGACCCAGGACCTGCAGTCTCGCACGAGAACTATGACAAAATCTGTTAGAAATAATAAACAAGATACTATCTATTTAACCCTTATTTGACATACTTTCTGAAGCCTTAGAGAAACGAATATAACTGTATTCGAGCATGTATAGATGTAGACACAACTTGCCTTGAAACTTTCCAATAACAAACCAACCTTGTGAAGAACCGCTTTTCATCTTCATTTACACATTTCACTTCGAACAATTTATTAAAGTGGTAACAATAATGGATAATTTATCTAGATTAACTTACCAGCAGCTTCCAACTCGAGCATAATTTAAGGGATGAGGAAGCAATACTGCATAGATTGCTTCCGGATGAAGACGATGGACTTCTTGGATCCATTTCAGAATGTACTTCAATGAAAATAGTGACCGAAACATATAATTAAAAGTAGTAATGATGAAAAAATTTTAACAAATCAGGCAAGTGTTATAAAACTGTCAGTGTTGGCTTACAAGTATCTTATCTCTGGAGTAGTGTATTAGAACAAAAACAGAATCACGGTGTTGAAATAGATGAAACAGTATTAGTTACTAGGACAGAATGCGCGCGGAACATTGATGTAATTGTGTATATACTGGATGATAGCCAAAACTTTAATGTATTGTATCTTAGGACATTTGATTAATATGTATATTCGTTTTAACATGGTATATGCTGTTTGTTCGACGAAAAATATAGCAAGATATGATCAATCTGGATTTATTGATTGATCATTGATACACTGCGTAAAATTACACAGATAGAAAAACGGATTAGAGTAAAATACACGTACAATTTACGAGACTAGTCATTCCACACAGTTTACGTACAGATAAGTTTACTCAAATCCATTCAGTATTACACGAACATGAAAAATCCCTTCATATTTATATGTATGTCATAAGTAATGGAAGTTAGTTGTAAATCATATAGACAACATTCCATAGATTTTAGGAATATTACAATAAATTTCAAGATGAATGAAATCCAAAAAAATTCATTTTCATGCAATAAAAAATAACAATTATTAGAATAATTAGTAATAATTGATAATTATATTAAATATCTGTAGATTAGTGTACGACTTCTAGGAAATATCATCTGGAATAGATGAATTATAGACAACATAGGAAATCAGGGCGAGCGTTTTATCCCATTTAGAACTCTTCAACTGGATGTATTTTCACACTGGTGTTGACATTCACCATGGAACTCGAAATATAATGTGGAGGTTCAAGAAATTAAAACATGATAGACTACATCACTTACTTCACTTTTAATTCGTTCCAACAAGTCACCCAACTCATCTGAATAGAAAAGACAAAAAATCTGCACAGTGAAAGTTAAAGACTTAAAAAATTATTACACAAATGTAAGAAGTTTAGAATGGATTGTTATAAATTGGAAAAACCATTTATAATGTAAACTATAAACAAGCATTTAGAAAATCAGTATATTTATTCTGACGTAAACAGAACGATTTAATTTTTTTTATTTCAGAGACTGCAATAATAATTTTACTAAGCCAGAATCTATTTCAAGTATAATATTCAACTATTAGCAAATACCTTTATCACAAGTGCATTGAAAATAAGTTCAATGAAAACACAGAATTTATTTCGTTCTACACATGTGACTGTTTGTATAATTCAAATACTTGAATTCAAACTTCTCAATAAACTGAAACATGTAGTGATACTTCATCGTATATTACAAATAAATTATTTCTTGCAATAAATAGAAAATATGCATGCAAAAAATGCTATATCAATCTTAGTGAATAACAAGAATAAGGCTATACAACGTATCAATACAGCCATAGATAAACAGGACGAGAAATGTTATAGATATATTAATAAGCATTAATTTAGTCTGTATGTTGTGAAGTAAAAACACTCAAGTTAATATGTATATCTCAATTAATTCAAAGATTAGAATGTTTATACTATATTTATCACTAACAATAACAGCACTATTACTCTTATTGACAATATTGATGTTCAGTTGAGTTGAAAAGCAATTACCTTATTGAAGTAATACATATCTGCACCTTATCAGAATAGTTAACTGAAACACAACAAAAGTACTATGAACTGTTCCGATACTGAATGACCAAAACATTACTTATGACTAATCACATATGTCATAGAAAATAAACCAAAGTAAAACAGGTATTTAGAAACAAATAACGTAACATTATTAAATATGACAATGAAATGTGTTGGGATTAACAATCCTAGTGAGATGAGGATGTTAGGAGAAAAAATCAGTAGAATTCCTTTTGGTATACAGTTTGAGATTGTATATTTATATGACAACAGTTTTATCAATATACGTAATGCGAGTACTTTTTTCCTTTGTAAACTACAATTATAAGTCCACTGTAAATGGATGACCAATGTTGTCGATGTGTTCTATTCTTAGAATTTGTGGTATTCATCGCTGTCTCTTTTAAACCATCCTTGATCTTCCATATCTTATGGGTGGCTTCAGTATTTTGCCACTAGAGACAAATAAACTAATACGCACAATCAAGGTTGTCAAATCTAGAACTTGTATTTCAGGTTACGGTAAACACACAACATAAATCTCAACACTGATCACAGAAATTCTTTCTAAATAGGTTTGAAATTTTCTTTAAAATGTATGTAGTTAGTTTACTTATGAATTTAACGTGTGTCCTATATGGAAGAGAGGCCAATGCTCTTTTGTGAGATTTTGGCTTGATACATCTACATTTAAGTTTCTGTCGATGTGTATTTTCAATCCATAAGTCTCTCACAAAACGTGCCTCATAACGAATTCGTGCAGCGATAAATACAATTACATTTCCCTTTTTATCTAAATACAGAAGAGCCATAGGAACTATTCGCATGGAATGTTCATTCAACTTTGCTGTGAGCAAACCTTTTCTTCTAGTAAGTTTGATGAAACAATTCACTAAACATCACATCAACTCTTAAACAACTACCTTCCATTGAGATAAATTTAGATGGTGAAATGAGATTAAATTTACCATAAGTGATGTGATACACATATATTAGAGTAATAAATTTCTAACAGTCTAATAACACTAACTTTTTCAGATATTTTTACACAAGAAACGATAGAAGTGAAACTGGAATGAATTTGAAATATAATAACACTAAGAAAAAAACATATCACTTCCAAAGTAAAGGGATTAGTTAATTAGAATAGAAAAAAGCAACTTTTGGGTTTCTGCTTTGAATATCACTTTAAAAATTATCTGTAGAAACACATTTGTACATTGCTCAGAGCATTTGAAATGATAATGAAAAATGACTTTATGCTTTTGAGGAGTAAGTATGACGGTTAAGTGCATTAAAAGCTCAGTTCTTTCTACATAGTTTGTCAATAACACATAAACCAACCATATCTTTAAATCCTAACCTTAGGCTTTTATTCTTAATACTTAACTCAAACTATTAAAATTGTAACTCTAAACCTTTAAACCTAACATCAATCAGGAGGAGCTTCTAAGGATATGCCTATAAACTTATGAGAGTTTGAGAAGAAGGATTATCAGTATCAATAGAGACGAATTTATAAGCCGTTGTTTTTCCCATTTACAAACAGAACAACCTGTAGAATATGTTAATAAATTAATTATGTAAAATCTATTTACCGTTTGCAGTAGTTATCTTTATTTTCTATAAACTACTTATTGGAACAGCTATTTTCTGAGTGACTAACAACTGGCTAAAAGTCCCTGAGATTGTTTCAAGCTCACCTCTATGCTTTACTTTAACCATTGCACATCAACCCATACTCAAAACTGAGGTCAATATGACTACGATATATTTACTTTAGGTACAAAATGCTCTAGAACACAACGTGGTTTTTGAATGGCTAAGTTTTCAATCAGTCTAAGTAGTTACCATGGACTAATTTCATTAAACACTACAAAAGATATGTTGAGATCAATCCTATAACAAAGTACAGTTAAAACGGGTTAGTTGTGCCTATATTAAACTTGCCCCAATAATGCTGATTTAGTTTTATACTTAAACTGGTATGTTCTATGTTGTTTTCTAATTATTCAAATGTACCTCAACTGACGACTTTATGTTCACAAGCATGCTTTAGCAACTTTGTGTTTATTGAATCTGTTCAACATGTATTTAAAAAATTAATTACAAAGTTCCAATACACTATTTAGATGAAAACTGTAATAAGTATTGAAGTGGTGCTCTATTGGTCAAAGCATTTAATTGTTAAACACCAAGTTGCTAATTAGGATTATTCAGGCATATTAATTTGACCATGCATTCATAAACAATAGTTGATAAATATACATTTAAAGCAAACATAATAAAGAGTGGATTCAAAGCATAACTGGTGCGTTTGGGTAAAAATTAAAAGCAGTGCTATTGTGATAAATTACATAAAACCAAGCAAATTTCATTATAGAATCAGTATAACGAACAAGGGAATATGTGGCTGTGCATAAATATATGTAAATATATTTTATGTGAATAAGCAATAATAGAGCAGGAGTATAAGTTTTATAAATATACATTATTATAAAATATACATGAATGTATTTACATCGTCGTCTCAAATTTCCTCGACCGTCGAATGTGATACTTGCTGAAATCAATAAATAATCAAGTTTATCTTTTTTATTTTTGTGATAACTAATGGAAAGATTTGTTTAAAAAAAGTGCATAAGATAAATTATAAAACATAAAAAGTATAAGGGATTTACTGTTAGTGACATTTCTTAGCTACTTAATTGACAGTTAGTAATTCAATTAAATGACTAGACCAAACAAAATGAAATAACATAGCGTTGTTGTACATCAGTTCCAGATCGTCCAATTCAAAATGTTATGATATGGTACGTACGATTTATATTTTACACTAATTGGATAATTTTTTCTTCCGTAAACTGTTTATCGGGATATGATGTGTTATGAGTAAAATTACCATGTTCATGTTTGAAACGTTACACAATTTAATATTTATGAGTAAAAAATGTGTGCATAAATACTTTTTTCAGTTAACTAAAAGTATCTAATGTCCGTAATGAATCTAGGAAATATCTTTGTTAATAAAGCAACAATTTATTAATCATTTCATGCGCTTTTCTACAAGTGATTTCTTTTGTAAACTTAATAACTGTTCATTAATAATACTGACTAAAACACAAGTTATCTAGCTCACATGCATTAATATTTAGTTATAAAATCCTGACAAGTCTGAAAGTACATTATTTATTCTTTATTACACCGTCAGAGAAATTAGAATATTTACAAATAATAATGAGAATTTTTTACCTAATGAGTAATTTTAGGAAATAAATCATTTCCTTAGCACGCAAATATCGTAGGCCAGTCGGGAAACTTCATTTATAATCACTTTTATAAATATCTGAAAGTTGTTTACTGAATAGTTAATGTACAGGTGTGTGGTACATTTGTCCTAATAAGTCACGTTTGCTACACAAGACGGCCTTAAATTGTTGTGCCTTAACATTATTTTATTGACCATGAACAAAATTATCATCCACGAGAATCATTTATCAAATAATTTACCACTTTAAAAAGAAGACAGAAACGAGCATCTATGAGTTCAGATGAATGAGTTTCTGTAAAATACATTTTCTCATTTTATGATGCAAACATTGATTACAAACACTGAAATTTTCATGAACAATATAAAAATGCTGTACTCGTGTTTACATTATGTAAATGATAATTGCAGTCATCTGTATATTCATTGGTCAATAAATAGCATCTGACCTATGCGATTTTCTTAGAGTATCTCAGAATTAGTGAAATACTGTCGTTATATCAATTTATTTAAGAATGTAAGTGAAGGGGATAAGATAGTGCACCAACTGATGTTAGTAGGTACTTGTGGATGTAAAAGAACTAGCAAATAGTTATGCTTACTGGTCATATTTACACAAACATTTGAATCGTAACATATAACAGACTAACAATTTCCAGATTGTTATCAACCAATCACATTTCAAATGGTTGAAAATGAAACTACGTCATTTTTGAATGAAACATTATTGTTTCAACAACAAAGGACCTGACAAAACTATTATTTAACATCTATTGTCTTGACATGAAACAATCAACCATTTGAATAAGGAACTCAAATTTTACAACAAATTGACAACATTAAACTAGTATTTGGATATATATATGTAGTGCAAACAAACCTTCTGCTGTATAGATGGTATCCATAAACCAGTTAAAAATACCAGCTGTGATTCTTGTAAGTAATTCCTAAACAATAAGTTAAAAAGTATACAGAATTAATGAAACATGAATAAGATTGATCGTTTACTAGGTTCAAAAAACGTGTTGTTACGAGTTCGTATAAATAAGTTAACCCAATTCCTCGAAATTTCCCGTCATCTACTTAATGATGAACATGAAGTTTTCAAAATGATCAGTGAGCAGATTATTCCGAATTTATTGTTTTTGCTGAAGCTAATGATGATTAAAAGTTGAAATTAAACGTATTTACTTTAAAAAATAATGCAGTCTCTCATTCTTAATTGAAGATCTTATCTCTTGCTCTGAATTATGAACACATTTTCGTTCATGCGCCATTTTTTAAACTACACATTCTAATCGGTTAATCTGTTCGCTTATATAATTGTTTTTACATAACTTTTGTCATGGATTTTCACTTTCCATTAATTTATCTCTTTGTGTTTTATGACTCATTTCTAGACTTTTCAGATTAGTTAATACATAAATAATTAACTACTAGAATACTTTTATAATTCTTTCACACTTATTGCTAATTTACTAATAATTATTAGTACCATATCAAGTATGTACATTCATTTTAAATAAACGTTACTATTGTTTCTGGGTAGTGAGCAACTAAGGAAAGTATATGAGACAAGTGCGTTTCTCTTATTTTGTTACGTTTAACACTCTTGCTTTGTTAAAATTAATCGATGAGAGAGATTGTATAAAATAATAGTTTTTTCAATTTCCTATAACTTTTGCTGATCAGAAGGTATATCCCCATACAATCTAATCCTTAAATGAGTTTTTTAATTTACTGGAATACTATAGATTCAGACAAGTCCATTCAAATACACCATAAAGATAAGATAAGGACGTGTAACCGACCCGAAACAAGTTAACAGTTGAAATGCAATTAACCTATATGTACTGCATACCTTCATTTTGTCGTTCATTGAATTGTTTAATATACAGATTCAAGAAAAAAAATTAATTGAAGCTGTTGACTTATTAATAAATATATAATAAGAAAACAAAGCAACTTCCTATCAAAACATTTAAATCTGTAGATTGTGTATGTAAATATTCAAAGTAAACTTACAATATTAATTCGTTCACGTGGTCGACATTTTTCACCTACTAGGAAAGCACCGTATATTGCCAAAACTCTATGATCTTCATCACGATAACGACCAAGCAGTGTAATTGCTCCAGTTTCTGTCCCAGTGTTATTTGCGAAATCGTTAATACCAGCGATTCCACTATTACCAACACAACTACCAGAAGTTGTTTGGTTACGAGTTGTTGTTCCGGCCTGGATTAAACATGCATACATATTAGTCAATTCACATATATTTATTGAAAAAATGACAATACTCAGTTTGACATAATTCTAAAACTTTTGGACTATATTTATAACCATATAGACATTGTAATATGTGCTACTGGTGTCAACGGATATAATTAGTATGTATACCGGTCGAAGGTGAAATGCCTGGCAGTAGAAGGTTAAGAAGATCGGGGAGAAGATAACGAGAACAGAGATTGATTGACATAGAAACGAAGAAACAATGAAGTCTGAGACAATTGACTCACATTTTGCAAATCAAGTATTCACGGTATGATTCTTAGATCTTAATAAGAGATTCTGTAATTTTGTGTTAGAGTACATTTGGCTGTCCCTGCCTGTGTTCTCGTTCAATATAACGTAACTTTATCAGCCTATGAAATTACTAAATTCTCTGTCAAACTTACTATTGGGCTTGTTCCAAAATCACTGAAGTTCGTTTGTCCTGTTGTACTTCCACCTACTTGAATTGCATTTGTAGTATTTATGAGATTTCCAGATAGATTTGAAGAAACTAGACTCCCACCACTTAGTCCAATCATAACCATTTCATTAGTGGATGTCGGACCGCCAGGAGCAGAGGAACTAGGGCATGTTAAGCCAGCTACTATGCGATTAGTACTTTCGTCTCCATTTTCAACGCCCCCTAGTAGTACTTGACGCCAGCGTGGCATTGTTTCCAATGTTAATGATATTATTGCTTGAATCATGCAAGGTTGAGAATCAATCGACATATCCCATACATCTGGTAATGAACTCTGGTGGCAAATGAGAATTACAAAAAAAGTCTTTAGGTCAACTTTAGCATTCCCCTTATAAAACGAAAAACAACAAGTTACTTCAGTTTATTAATGAAGGAATGTGTTACTACACTTTTGGTTTTAATTTACTAGTAATAATGATCGTAAGAATAGAGTGCAAAAATTGTTTTGATAACATAAACTTTAATTTGATTGTATAAGATTAATAATGTCTATTTGAAATACAAACAGTTATATTGAAATTTCATACAGTTGTTTCTAAAATCATGAACTGTAATTTAGCTGTACACTTAGGTATTTTGTATATACAAATAGCTCATTGTCATTGATAACACGATTTCTGAATTATTTAACCTAAAATCAGTTAAATTTATTTCTTTATAGAATAAATTGAAAACTTTCGAATCTTGTACAATACCAAACGGAACTGTTTTGATTTGACTGTTTTATCGTTTCTAAATACTTTTATGCTCTATTTTTTATAACGTGACGCTTGACAGTGTACAGATTTGGGGATTTCATAATCTAGAATTTGATCAAGCTATGTTAGCCTGAATCAGGTTCTGAAGTATGAAACATCGAAAAATTTATATAACTTGATGACACCTAACTTTTCCTTCAAGCTCATTTGTCTACCTTGTATGTAAAATTCAGTCTGACAACAAAGTCTTTCTTGGATTATCTATTTAAAATATAAAAAAATCCAAGTGAAATTACTCTGAAATGCGATAAATTTGTTTCTATACGTTATCAGAAGTGTTATCCAAACTCAACATATTTGTTTCCCTCTTTCAGAATATTTCTTGGTATCATAATGGAGAGGGAAGTATTTAATGTTTGGAGATCCATATTTCTTGTTTAATGATCTGTAAATATGTCGGTTTTCTATACTGTATATACAATTTGATCATAATTTATTCTAAATTTCCGTATATATATACGAACTGGCATCAGCAAATTAATAGGTACTTAGTGAGTGGGTTCAGTTTCATAAGCATTGATCGGTCGGCCACATTATATCATTTCCCATCATCGTTAGATATTCATACTATTCCTACACAAAATAGTGCTTACATCATGCTAAAATCTGGTCTATAGAATTCAATGAGCTTAATTTATCAGACAGGAAATAAACAAACCATGGATAAAATACTAAGATTTTTTTCTTCATTAATTCAGGATTAGAATCATTTTATGTAAATCTAGATGAGAAATCATAAAATATACTTCAGAATATGATAATATCGGTGTATTGAATGTATGGTTTAGAAAATAAATTTTTAAGATCTTACCTAATGGTAACAGATGTCTCTCAAGTATTGCTCTAAACAGAAAAGCAACATAATCACACTTATAAACGAGTGAGTATGAGGTACTTGACGATACATAACGATATCACTGTTTCTCATCGATCAAAAGTATTTTATATTTTATTGTATCAATCTTACCCCTATATCTGAGCTATAAAAACCAAGTTTAGAAAAATAATATAAAAAAAGCAGACAAACATATTTATGTAAAAGTTTAAAAACAGTACAACGATACTGTACCAACTTCAAACGAAAAAAACAGAAGACACATGACGTGAACTCATTAAATTTCAAGTATTCGAAAGACTACAAAAACGAAATTTCAACTATAATTAGTCAGAAGCAACGTTACAAAGTATCTTTGGGCAGTTATATCTGATGACTTGAGAAACTTAGCAGGAGCCTCGCGTCTCCCTACTCAACCAGGATCATATCGTACACCTAGAATCAAATCGAATATGAATAAAATATATGACAGCTACATTGTAATGAAAAATATTGTCACCACAATAAATCATTGTAATCGATATTAAATTTACTGTTACGATTTGATAATTCCTCCTGGTGAATTTCAAGTTTCCAAGTTGTATTCCGCAACATGTAATATATGTTTTCTATTCAGAAATTTACGACCGAATGATGAAACTATACAGCACTATTGTAAATTTACAGATCTTCTTATTGTCATTGTTTTTTGTTAGGATTTAGTTTCACAAAGCTTAGGGTTCCCCCTTGTTGAAATTGGTGACAAAAGTAGTTAATTGCGAAACAATATGTAAAATAAATGTGGTTCTTTAAAAAAATCTTGTTAATGCAAAACGTATTACATCACTTACTTGATAAATGTGTGTCGTACTGTGACCATCTTCTTCATTATTATCGTTGTTAATCCCAGTGCTATTGGTAACTTCAAAGACAGTAGTAGTATCAGAAGTATTTTGAGTTAAATTTGTATCCATTTGTTTCTTGTTTCGATCAACTGATGGTTGATTTATATCGGGATAAATGTGCCGCAGTGAATGGCATAATTCACATAATCTTATAGCTCTATTTCCTGTTAAATATGTACAACCAGTAGACCAGCATGTAACGGAAGCTGAGTTGTTTTTACTGCGACAGGTTTTTGATTCACATGTTAGACTTATCTAGAAAAAAACAAATAGAAAAGAAACCAAAACAATACAGTATTGTCGGTTTGAATAACAGTGCAGGATACTAGAACAAAATCGACGAATAACAGGAAATTATCAAAATTTTGTGCTTACTAACACACAAAAGCAAAGAAAGACTATAAAAAAACAAGACTACTTATTTTACATAAGCCTATGTAGTTCGGCTCCGTAATCACCTCTGGAAGTTACTGTCATACCGTCTAATCTTAAGAAAACTGAAACGCTTGTATAGACTACGAAGATGTAGTTGCCCACTGTTTACAGTCGGATAGGATAACTCTTTATTTAATCATACCGACAGTTAGCGACTTCATTTATATCTGTTTCATATTGTAATTGTTAATCTAATAATAAAACAACAGTTTATAGTAAATGGATAAAGCTTAAAGCTGAGGAAATAAAATACCTGTATGAAAACTAGTTCTATATGAAAATAACTTCAGTTTTCTACAAAATAAGGGATTTTTAGATGCAATAAATGAATGACTATAAAAATTAAGCCAAACAATAATTGAGTCAAGCAGGAAATAAATTTTTAAAGAGTTGCGTTCTCTGAGTTCGGTAGATTGGTGATGTTTTCATTATCTTTTTAGAAGAAACTTTAAAAGCAAAAGTGGCACAGTATAACTTTTTAATTACTGTCTAAATTATATTCCTATCGACATGAGATATAGTTGTTTATTACTTCTTGGCATTTTCCACTAACCTGATCTCTTATCTCACAGTTAGTTCCCGCTTTTCTCAATGGCTGATTATGATGAGAAACATATACACATGATAGTGGCTAAATGATATTAGGAAAAGAGTGAAACGCAAGTCATTAGAAAAACCGTCCCCTCTTCAACCTGAATTCCCAGTACTATTTATCTCATGGCTTATAAAATGATATTTGAACGAAGCATAAGGTGAAATTATTTTTTCTAGGAAAAACAAGTTATTTTTTAAACTTACCTGTTTTGTCGGTAAAAGAATATCAATTAATTGGTCAAAATCCAAACGGTTTAATGCATCAGCACAATCTAAGCAAACGTACAAAGGTGGTGGTTTACCACTTTGTTGAATTGATATTTTTGGGTTAACAGTCATCTATACGAAAACGTGGATGATATATAAGTGTTATATTGTGTGGTAGTGATAGTTGATTTAATATAACAGTGTGAATGTGACACAAATCTTGTGGCAAGTTCAGTAAAATTTATTATTAGGAAATCAAAATAACCATCACAAAACTACTCATGTTTTATATATTTATGAAACAATTTTAATAGTCGTAGTGATAATAATAGCTAAAGTACCCAAACTAACTATCACACTACCTCTGATAAAATGATGATTTTAAAACAATTAAGTTTTTATAGTATTAGGAGCAACAAAATGAATAATAAGGGGAAGAGACACATATATAAATCAATGAGTGACAGTGGATATCAAAGTGTGCGGAAATAGTCAGTGAAAGCTAGTCCGAACCTTTCTCTAACATACTAACTAGACTTGAGCAAAGAAGAAAAGATCGTATTGAAATTAGTGCACTAATCATTTTGAGAAAAGATAGCACCGTTATTCAAAACTGTTGTAGTAATGCACTTAAATTTGCATTGAGTAATATGAATAACGGAAAGTACCAAGAATAAGCCTATTAAAAGGAATATGGAAAATATACAGCATCTATAACTTATAAAAGCAAAGGTAAGTGGAAATCGTAAATCTTCGGAAACGAGGAAGAATATTATTATAATTAAGGATATTCACAACAGTTTTACTGAAATTAAACTTCAAACAGTTACATTGTGATTAGTATAAAGTTAGTTCACTGTACGTTAATGAAAAATTATTATTAGATGCAGTTAGTAAATTAAGTGCTAGCTACAGGGTTAGATTAACCTTGGTTGTAACTGATTTAAGATCGTTCGTAATTATGATCCAGATACAAGTTATTTGCACATTCATGTATCTTTTGCATATTAATATAGAAAACTTAGATTATTTTGTGTCAACGAAATTGTTTTAATTAGTAATTCAGTCTAAACAACATAAATTGTGTGTAAAACATTGTATATCAACTGTTCTTTTTATCTCTTAACTACTTATAAGTAGTAGGAATTAAGGATTTCTATTTATTCAGTATGATGTTAAATATAGGAATTTACCTTCATTGCCAAAGCTTTTCCAGTTTTATTAGGACAGTCATTTCTGTAACACATAATCGGTTTCCAAGCTGAAAAGTAGAAATCGTATGCGTAAATTATCAATCAAATTCAACATAAATTATTTGAACAAGCTTGCTGAAAATGTGTAAATTAGTTGAATGAAATACAAATAAAATAATCATAATAGTAGTTATTCGCATTATTTTGTAATACATTAAGCTTCAAAATTAGTTAAAAAGTTATAACAAAAGTGAAAATATGTTGTGGACTCCTAAGTAAATAAAGTTTAAAATGTTTTCAAATATCAGTTTAGGAGGCGTTCTCCGTTATCTCATTAGAATAGACACACTGACATATTACTGAGTCATTTTATTTTTATAGGTAAATGACAAATCGTCTACTGGTGTAATATGAATCAACGGTACATATGAATATCACCAACTTAGAGTCCAGAAAAGATGTAAGTTGGCCCGAATTACCATGTCTGATTACCATGACGAGATAAAAATAAGAAATAAATCTAAATAATATATTAGCATATGACAGGAAAAAAAGATGAACGGCAGTAATGTGGTTATAAAAACCAAACTAAGGAGGTAGATATTAATGGATACTATAATTCAAGATTGATAAGAAGATAATGACAACAATACAGTTCTTCTGAGGCAGAGATATGGCATAGCTAGTTGGTATGACAATAAACAATGGACTAACCTAGACACAAAAGGAATAAAAGAGTGATTTTTTCATCCTCCAGAAAATCATGCATTGCTAGACTGTAAAATATTGATAAACTCTACTTTGCTTTCGACAAGAATAATTATTACTTAACAAACGTATGACTCTATATATTTTTTCTCAAACTACTCGCAGTTACAAATTGATAAAATCATGATGAGTAGTTCACACTAATTGGTTTGACAACAAAAGAAATTGATCAGCAGATTTATTTATTTCATGTAGCAACATGAATCACAGTGTAAATTAGGGAATTTTCTATTTCACTGACCGATATTTCAAAAAATCTATTAGTATTCCTTATGTCCTTTCCTAATACTTTTTTACACAAGTTACCACGCTAAAAAAAGTGAACCTCATTGTATATTTACATTCCCATGTATAATGTATTGGTTGTAACGCTTGATTTCCATAGAATGCTGTCGGATAATTTTCTGGCCAATAATGAAAAAATAAACAAACAGCTGGAAGTCTAGCTTCTGTTGGTCCATAAGCTATGATCATTAGTAAGTCCTAAATTGTAAAATAAATTATTAAAAAAAACCGTAAAAGTAGATTATCAGAATGGAATAGGTGACTGAGATAATAATGATAATAATAGTAATAGTAATAATATTAAATTTATTCTTAAGACAAACAAATAAACAGATAACTATAAGATGAGCGATACTTTCTATGCCCGTTTAAATTAGTTTGGTTGAACTTAAACTACAGTTACATGATTATTGATTTGATAAATAAGCAATGTTACTCTAAAGAAAGTAGAGTATAACTTGCATTAAAAATCCTCAACTTACTTTATATAAATCTTTCTTTCTGGACATAAAGCTTTCTAATACCCAAACATGATATTCTAAAATGTAAAGTATTGGCTGCATTAAAAGTTTATTAATTGTGATTTTAAGAAAAAAAATAGATGCTTATAAAATGGATTTAATTAAATAGAGAGATTTCGACACAATTTAAAAATTGTTTCGTATTAACTCAATTAATCATTACCTTGATTGATGAAAGGAATACGCCACTACAATTTTTTAAGTTATTTTAATCATTTTTTTTTGTTTTTTTATCAAAGAACTATTTGTCGTAACCTTGAATTTACCTTGGTAATCTTTAAGTCATTCTATGGTCTAGGATAACGCGACAATTTCTTATTCTTTCTCCCCCCCCTTTTTGTTATTTTACTTGAACTTTTATTTAATTGACCTTTATTAATTTTCATATAAAAATGCCTTGACAAGTATATGTGTGACCAGATTGTTTGAAATGTATAGCGCAAATACATCACATTTTTCCGATAAACTCTGTCTTCTCATTGTTCTATCGAAATTTATAAAAGGGACTAATTGTTTTAAATTCAAAGAACTATACTTAAATGTTTATTCTTATCGATGAAAAAAAACAATTTGTCTGTCTTTTTTTCTGGTTATTTGTATACTTGTATTTAAATGGTTTAGGTTTCAGGTAGTCATGATTCTTGATTGTTATTCCATCACAAAAGTAATGAGCACTTACTTAGTAAACAAACACAACTTGAAATTACTTTTTTTTATTGAACAATAAATATTTTCCATTCTATGTAGTTAATCATTAACTAGACTTTAACTGATAAAGTTAATAAATTAAGATTAAACTAATACGAGTCTTCAGATATTTTCATTGAAACTAACTGACTGGAGTGAAGAGGTTTGGTGTGAGTTAGATATACATTAGTGAATTTGACTTAAACACGTGATGAAAAGGAAGAAAATTTAATCAAAGTGTATAACTAAGATACGGGGACAGACAGGTATCATTTTTGTCTAAAATCAACCGAATAATATTATAAGTACTGTGGTTTAAGTTCATCATTCATACCTGTCCCAGGATTAATTAAAAATTATTAATACCTTTATCCTTTGCATTCTTTAGAAATGATATTAGTTTACGTCAGTTTGTTGCTACAATCTTCACATATTACATACCACGACTAAAACATTCCCAAAAATCCTATTTAATTTTGACTATTATAGTGTTATCACACCAATCCTGTAACTTCAATTCATCAATTATCGGTACAATCCAGCTTAAGAAAATTCATTGTTAAAAAATACTGAAACAATTTTTCTTACAAGTGAGTAATTATTGGGGCGAAAAAAGTGTGTGTCTTGATATATTCAACACATATCTCCATAACAATCAAACCAATCACTATATTTTTAATATTTATAGTCATAACCTCAAAATTTATCGTTAAGAGGAAAAAAGAGTATAGTCATTTTAACGTCACCGTAAAAAAACTCATCAAATTTCATTGTACCAAGTAATTTTGCATGTTTCAAATAAATAATATTAGGTCATAAATATAAATCAATAAACAATAGCTGGGTTTCGTCGCATTCCTGAATCTTTAAGTTATAATGTCCACCTAGTGTATACAATATTCAGATACTTATCAAGTTTTCAAACAATAAAATAACTATTAAAGCTACCTATTAAATTTTATCCTCAGAAAATACCAATTTACTTACCAACTTTTTCTACATGTTGAAATACTAATGTTAAAATAGACGGAATACAATCTATTGCATAAGATTCTTGATCATCTGACATATCTAAAGGATGAATACATAAATAAATACAAACCAAGAAAAATCTCTTGTCTAAAATATAACAAGTTACAAGGTGAAATATTGTAAAAGTGTTTTAATCTTTGATCTTATCAACATAACCTAATTACTGATGTCATTTTTACGTTAGAGAAATTACTCAACTTTATGGATAAAATAAAGATTGCATTTAGATAAATAAGTGGTGTCTAGTCCTATGTCAAGCCCACACAAGTTATTCTAGCGATTTATTCATTTTTTCCAAGTCATACTGTGACCTTTTTAATTGCTCGCTTATTGGCATTTACTGTTTTTATACGAGCGTATGTGTGTTAGGTGCTTACCTTATTCACTACGTGTCTGCAACATGTTTTTTTCTGACTATAAATATCGAGTCACGCTTAATCAAATCGAGTTGACTCCCTCGCTTTCTCTGCTTTGCTTTCCCACTTCTCATCCTGAATGTCTGTCCGAGTCAACAAGTGTACGAAATTTACGTTTTCAAAATTCATTCTCGTATTTGACTTATTTTATACCGTTATCCACTAATTCAATTTAAATCCATTGTTATATACGAGGGTAGCTGGGATGTATATTTCGATAACATCATCGTTCAATCTAATTGGAGTCAAATCAAACAGTTGCAAAAAATAATTTAATCATTAAAAATATAATAATGATGTTTACTAAATTTTGCAAATACTTTCGTTTATTATTGATTGTTTATTGTGCATAAATAAGTTGGAAAGAATGGCTGTTCTGTAAATTACCTGGTTTAGAAGTATGAAATAATATTTCTTTGATTGTAAAAGATGCTTAAATGTTAGTTAAGTTGAAATTCGTTGTTTAATTTCCCCATGATCATTGGAAAACTAGTGGCTCCTAACTGATAAGAATATATAATAACAGTACCTACAGTACATGATATCATATATAGTGATAATACTACATCTAGCCTAAAAGTGATAAAACACAATGGAAATCGAAGGTTCATTACACTTGTGAATACATGACTGACACTGACGGATACTACATTTTATGCATCAAATATTACGGTACTGTTTCGCATAACGTTCTTGAATTCAACATTTCAACAAATGATTCTGTCATGAGATTAATAAACGTGGTTGAAATTTTTTAGTTAGTTCAATATGTATCAACAAACATAAACGAAAGATAAGTGCATTCGAAGTCAGTTTAGTAGCAAAAGCATTTATTGGCAGGATTCTTTCGGATGAATATTTTTGTTGTTCATAAATGTCATTGTAAGAGCAAAGTAGTTCCGTTTCATTTCATCTGAATTTTAATAAACATAGAAAAACTAAGCTAAAATTATGTCCTTACAAAAAGAATGGCAGCATGAATTAGTTAGAAACATAATAAGTTAATCCAGAAATTTGAATATATTACAATGGCTTCGGTTGTAGATAGCTAAAAACGCTTTCAGATACCTAGTGCTGTGAGAGGCCAACCTAAAAATAGTATTAATTACTGAAGTATTATAAATCAGCATTTTGTTCGGATTTGTTGAATTTCTAGCATAATAACAATGATTACCGTGTAGTGAACAAGAACACCAGTGGGGACAACCGAATGTATTTAACACAAAATTTCAGGACTTGTTAATAAAATCTAACAATCATAAAGTAAATGCTTAATTTGCAAAATGTCCATCAATTGTCTCAAAATGACTCAGAATTCATTGTTCTTGCATTTTCATACAAATGGCATTCTGTTTTCATTCTTTACTGTTCAATCCTCTTGTCTCTCTGCTGCCAGACATTCTGTTCACGACTAACGTCATGTACTACTTATGTCGATATAAGTAGTACACACCACAGCCATATTAAAAACACTCGAATAGTTTAGATATAAATAATAATGGTAAAATCGGGTTCTTTGTATGAATCACAACCTCTATTTCAGCTTATTTCAATCACTGTGCATTTTAATTTAACAGTCAATTTACAGCTTCTTACTGAAGTTTATTAAGGCAATAATTAAATGTTTTAAACCTCCAACTTAACTAGGTGTTGGATCTAAGATGTGAGTGCTGTCAGATAATTAAATACTGAGAAGAAACATCAGATCATACCAAACATTTTTTCGCATACAATGTTAAAAAGGTCAAAAGACGCCCCAATAGAATTTTGTGGTTTATTTTTGCGTGTGTAATACTAAATTACTTTCAGTTGATGATTGTCTCATTAGTTGGATTAAAAAGACTCAAGTTTTTCGCAGAATTATACTTTGGAAATTTGTGACTAGATTTAGTCGTCTTGTACCTTAAGCCAGAGAAAAATGTTTTTGTTACTTATACTCACAACAAAAAGATTTCTCGTGACATTTTGCGTATCTGCTTGCGTTATCAGAAGTTTGGTATTTACAAATCCTTTGGTTATTTGCTGCCTCAGTGACCTAAATGTGTTTAAATTTTGTATACGATAATTTGGAGTGCGTGAAAAACAGCACAGTTCATTTTCTTATATCATAAATCGACTGTGTCTTGCAGCAGACTCTAAAAAGTGCGTTCGTGACTTATCGAATGAATGTACTTGCATCCAAAAGTTGGTGTTCACACCTGCTCTTGAACCCATTAGCTATCACGACAAATCACCAACGAGTTACAAATTGAGCCGCTGAGCATAGATAATCAATCGTTTGAACAAACCTTTCTATTGATCCGATAAGCACAAGTCATTACTGCATATTTTTAAAACAATAACTAATCATACCAGTCATACAGTTATAACAAGCAACCCCAAGTACTGTGTTTTGAATCCATACGAATATGGAAAATCTATGTTTAGTCACGAACTATTTCTTTATCATTCTCTTTAATCCTAACCTGCTTATACTAAATGGTAAATGATTCTCGACCGAAAAACTAAAATCTATGCTCTTTAGTAAGTCGTGAAGACTGGGTAGTTTTTTGTGGCCATTGATGAACTATTTAGGCTGACTTAATTAACCAAACTGCCAACAACCACAAATAACGTACATTTTGCGCCATAAATTACCACAGAAAAGTCGATACTGACTCTGTACACCTTGTTTCCTTAATATATTGAATTTTTAGTGTCAATGATTAGCAAAATAGGTTGTGTGGGCCAAAGCATCAATGCCTTTGTAGTCTGCCATCATCATCATTCAACATAACACAAAACCGATGAATGTCTGGCTTATCAGTGGAATAATCTCCACATTATCAGTATCCGTTCAATGACCGAGGGTATATTTAAACTTTTTCCTACTTTATAGTCACATTTTATGTACAATAGAGATAAAATTCAATCGTTATGCAGGTCGAAAATAGAATACAGTGTTCGTTTCAAGCTGAAATAATTAACAATAAGGTCCGATTTTCGACATTACTTACAAAAACAACATACAAGGTATATGATAAAAGGAATAAAAACGTCTGAGCAATGTTTTGAGGTAACGTAGGAAAAAACATTCTCTTTATCCTATGACTTGAATTTACGAAAAACAAAATACCCTTCTACAAAGAAATAACAAATATTAAGTCAGCAACTTACTATAAATCAATGGTATCACCACTGAACATAGTAGATCGATAACGCCGGACTGCATATTTGATGGAAAATAAAGCAACATCCATGTGATGGCTAACGGTACACCTTCTAAACAGTCATAATCCAAACAAAATATGAGACTTTGAATTGTACGTAGTAAGTGTTCACAAACAGCTGGAAATGTACAGAAAATACAAACATATATGAGCGCATAATTTGGTTTGTGTTAGTTTAAATTGATAGTACAAATTATTATCAAATCTCAAAATGCAGGCATTACCCAAAGTTGCAAAACAATACCTAAAATCACTGAAATGAAATTATTTGTTCATTTAAAACTTAAATCTATGAACTTCAAATTTCCGTTCACCCGTAGATTATAATATACAGAACTCGAATTTACGAAATACTAAGCTTATTAGTTGCATAATGCCACCATACTTTGTGAATCTGGATAGAAAGTTTATTAATGTAATGTAGAATAAAAGACTTCGTGAAGAAATTAAAAACTATGGAATAGGTTCTCAGAAAACAAAATGTTTGCAGCGCATTCTTTTTCTTAAAAATCTAAAATGTTGCTTCACGATTTATCTGCTCTATTTTCTTTTCTGACCGCACAATTGAAGTGACTAAGCAAACCGATGGGTTTACTTAAATTGCTAATTTCATTATGATCAGTGAGCCAGTGGTTAACAAAATGGTTTGATAAATACGAAACTTCCATCAGGACTTTTGCAATTGGTACAACCTTTCGCTTAGTAAGGATATTTATTGGTACATGAAAGAAAAACGTTCATTGCAGTGGATGTGAAACATTGACTCTGAAGGTTTATAACACTTATAGTTTACTAATATTTGATCATTAATGCTTTTGATGAATTCCTCGAAAGCGGAGGAACAACCAAATGAACAGCACCATGTAAATATGATAAATTAGTCGATGAGGTTGTAATTTCACTTTAACCACGAGGAGTAAGATTAGGATAAAATTAAAGAAATCTAAAATCCGACAACTAAAGACGTAACTGCCCTCCATTAAACTCACCAAATTTTAGGATAAATGTCTTGGCAATTACATACTTTTCGGCTGTGATTCACACAAAATGCTTAAGACTGTGCTGAGAGCTCTTGATGGCATAGCTCGAAATCAAACACAATGTATTAGACCTTGATCTTCTCTTAAATCTTTACTTTAAAGTTTGAAGATGGCTTAAAATACTACAACTTTTATTTTCAGAAAAACGCGTGTTGACCGCTTGATTTAATTTAAGAACCTGATCAGTCCTGATGGTCTAATGTCTGATGAAATCTTTGCACATATTTAGAAGTCTGGATTGGCTTTTGCCAAATCGCACCACTTGTAGCGTGGGCGAGATATCTATATGGCGATCAAATAATGAGTCTACTGCGCAGAAGTTAACTTCTTCCTACTTTGTGAATGTGAAACATAGTCATTAAGAATAGGTAATGTTCATGGGTTATAGTTATTTGCCCGTAGGTTGCTTCAAAACATTCCTCATGCAAGCAGTGCCTAGATTAAAAATTAGGTAATGGGTATATATGGTAATTTAATTTACGTGGTAGTCAATCTTGAGACATATGTGATGTATACCTAGCCACTGCCTACCACAACAGGTGATAGTGTCCGACGTGGGTGTAGGCTGGAAGTAAGCTACCGGCGGGCAAACGAAAACGTGGATTCAGTCACTGACAAGTGTATTGAGACATGTTGTCAAGTGTAGACTGCTTGTTAGGGGTCTGTGTGATGGTCATAGCCAGTAATTAGAGACTCTGTACGAAATAGATCAAAACAGTGCAAAGTGACACAGGTCCGTCCATTCTTTTTCCCCCCTCAGGTTTTAAGCTACCGAATTCCTCGTAATCTTTTTCATTGAACTAATTCATATTTTCTTGAATTGTCTTTGACACATAATCTCTCTTTATAATTATGATACCATTATTCTGGGACTTCCTCAAATAATTCACGCTCCTTTGTTGATGTTGTGTGGAAAGTTGAACAGGTGTACATCCGTTCCAGATTCTACCTTGTGACTGGTTGACATTCAAAACAATTTTCTAAGCTTTTTATACCAGTATATCAGTGGATAAATTTCAGTATTTTGATCTTAATACTTTAATCAAGAACAACTTATAAATAACCATTTGCAAATAGTAACTTTGACATTGAAATAGGTGATACAAGAGAAAAAACCATCTAGAGAAAAGTGAAATATTCATCCAAAAACAATCTAACCAACCCCTGAGACAACATTAAATTATGCATACGTTTACGACTAAGAAATGTCTATATAGTCCCACAAATTTATCAAGAAAATTATGAAGCAGTCAAAATACAAAACTCGACAACTAAGTTTATTAAAATATGTATAAAATCATCAATATTTGTTTTTAAATTCCAATTCATAACAGGCGTCAGTTAGAATGTCAGATTAATTATGAGTCAGAACTATAACAAAAACTACCATGGGGACCATTCCTCCACGATGACGTGAGTTAATTAATATTCTATGAGCTATCTAAGTTTATCACATGTTCTTCTGAAAATAAGAGACAACACCTATTCTTATACGGTTTGTTTATCAAGCTTGAAACCTCTTTTACTGAACACTTGTAATTTTATAAAAATAGACATTACTGTCGATGAAAAGCGCGACCATTATGTAAGTACTGATCTGGGCTTGTAAGTAATTGCAAAATATATGATGAGTGTCTCCCAAATACCTCCAAATTTCCCTACAACTCAAGCGATTCTTCCCAAGATATAGTCAAACACATTTCTTATATTCAGTGTTGATTCAAATCAGACAACCAATGGTACACCAAACAATCAATACCAAATCAAAATTTCAATGGGACTTAGAATATCCCAATCTTGTGATTTGAGGACAGTGGTATTTTTCCTCGCTGAGTAAATTTCATTGTTTTGATCGTTTATTACGTATCAAGACTACTGTTTTTCACTTTAATTGAATTTATTTCAGTTAAAGTATTTGACTAAAGTATCGTTTTTACTGTTTTTGTCGTTGGTACTCTTTAGTACCTCTTTTTCAACTGTATCTGTTAGTACTTTTGGTCCTAGCAATCTACAGCTCTTCACTTTTTTGGTCATTGATAATTTTTTTGTTTCTGGGTATCATCGCATATTGAAAAAACCCCTCCTAAATGACCGGACAGTGTAAAAAAAGCAGTTGCCAACGTCCGGGTTGTCGTTATCCTGTTGAAAGCGGCATGCAGTGCGACGAGTGCAAAGGCTGGTACCACGAAGTTTGCACGAACTTAACGCCTGCTGCTTTCAAACGGTTCAGTAAGAAGGGTTGTGTGTGGCTTTGTCAACAGTGCTGCTCGGATGCAAACAGCTTGTTAACCGAGGCCATCTCACTGGTTGATGCTGCAAAGAAGTGTTTCAACAAGCATAGTCGGAACGCGTCAAACAGCACTCGATCTGTTGACACGCAAATCAATGTGAAGGAAACTAAGGTGAGTCCGGTGATAGATGACTCACGCCCGTCAAAGAAGGAAAAGCAGTCTCCAAAGGGGCCTGCCTTAAAAAAAGCTCAAGAAAAGTAGGGTCTTCTGTTCCCCGTCTCCCAGATGGGATCCAACAGGAAACACCTAGGAGCCGCAATCGCAAGGCTCGATCGGTTTCAAATGGTAAACATAACACGACCCCTCAGGTCGTCGACAACCCCCCAAAACCCAACACTAGGTTTGACGCAACTGCTATTGCTTCTACCAGCAGCGTTGACGAATGGGTAAAGGTTGTAAGGAAGAAAAGTATTGATATAAAAGGGAAACCTGCCCCCGTAAAAGTGGTTGAAAAATCGAAAGCTGATCATAGCGACAGATCAGCTATTTTTCATAGAATTAAGGAGAGCGATAGCTCTGAACCTAAAGCTCGTTTTGAGCATGACATTGTACTGATTAGGCAGCTGCTTAATCAACTCATGCCTCAAAATATGACTGGGGTCACCTTGCTAAAGGTGTATAGACTAGGGAGTCTAACGGACTCGAAACCAAATCATTCCAGACTGCTTAAAGTAGTATTCGGCTCTTCAAACGAACGTGACCTAATTTTACAAAATGGACACAAATTAAAGGGTTCAGGAGTCTTTATCCGAAAGGACCTACCGTTGGCAGACCGTGTTAAAAGACGGGAAGCCGAGAAAGAACTACAACATAGGTTAGACGCTGGCGAAAAGGACCTGAAAATTGTAAATTTTCGGGTTGTAAGACTTCGACAGAGAATGATGCCGAAGCCACTCTGGGTGAAGCACGAAGGCACTTAAACAGGCTTCGGATCTGTTACACCAATGCACGAAGCTTACTTAATAAGCGATCGGAACTAGGTGTGCAGATTGACTCTATAAAGCCAGATATAATCGCAGTAACAGAAACCTGGCTGACACAGGCTATAGATAGTATAGAACTTGATTTCGAGGGCTTTACGTTAGTAAGGGCCGACAGAACACAAAAGCGCAAAGGAGGGGGAGTAGCTCTATTCATTAGGAATGCTATCCCATTTACCATTATCGATAGTGTATCCCATGAGAGTGGGACGTGTGAATTAGTTAGTCTTCGCTTAAAATGCAAGGGACAAGAGCTGCTGATTGGTTTGGTCTATCGCAGTCCAAGCTGTGAGGCAAATGAGATCCTGTTAAGCAGTCTCAATACTTGGTCCCAAAGTGGTCGATGTCTAATCCTAGGGGACTTTAATGCACCTATGGTAGACTGGGAAAATCTGCGAACTGAATCGTCAGAAAATTCCTTCGAGCAGGAACTAGTTGATGCGGTTATCACATGTGCCCTAGTGCAACATGTGAAAGAAGCGACTAGGTACGACCCGGACACTGAATCATCCTTATTAGATCTTATACTGACTCACTATGAGGATGATGTTGCGAACCTCCACCATATGCCACCCTTAGGTAAAAGTGACCACGCAGTTTTAACTTTCGACTTCCATATAACTGCCAGTCATGAGGACGCGTCAGTCCAGTCCAGACCCAACGTCTGGAAAGCAAACATACCAGACATCATGCACTCAGCATCGTTAATAGATTGGACAATAGACCCAGAGTCCTCCATTGAAACGGCCTGGGACGCATTTCGAAAATCATACTTAAAAGTTACCACACCTCACATCCCTTGGACTATACCAAAGGGGCCGAAAAACTCACCACCATGGTTCAGTAGGGAGGTCCGTATCCTTCTCCGTAAGAAAAGGAAAACGTGGGATAGATTTAGGTTACTGGGGACTGATGAGTCAAAATCTCAGTATCGAAAGGCTCGGAACACTTGTGCCTCGACCCTCCGTAAGTCTAGAAAATTGTACGAAGAAAAACTTGTTAAGGAATCCATAGAATGTCCTAAACGCTTGTATTCCTATATAAACCAAAGGACAAGGAGAAAAGGAAATATTCCTGCTCTATGGGGAGACAGTACTGCTTCATCATTAGTGGAGGACGACTTTGGTAAGGCTCAAGCGTTCTCGAACTACTTTAGCAACGTGTATACCATAGAAGCACCCTTCTCGTCAGCGTATACAGATCCCCCCATACATACACTGGATAGCGTGACCATTAAAGAACTCGATGTCTTTGGTCTGCTAAATAAGCTTGACATAGGTAAATCCACGGGGCCCGATGAATTACATCCTAGGCTACTGAAGGAATTATCTAACTTCGTTGCGAACCCTTTAAGTACATGCTTTAACCTATCCGTTACGCAGGGTCGCTTACCGAAAGATTGGAAAAACGCCATAGTAAGTCCTGTCTTCAAAACAGGCACGAAACACAAACCTGAGAACTACCGCCCCGTTAGCCTAACTAGTGTGGTTGTTAAAATCTTAGAAAAGATTATTCGGAAGGAGCTGTTTAAGTATCTCGATAAAAACCGGATCCTCTCGGAGAAGCAGCATGGCTTCAGAATAGGTTATTCTTGTCTCACTAACTTATTAGTGGCTCGTGAAAGCTGGTGTGCTCTTAAGGACCAAAAGCTACCTGTAGACGTCGCCTTCATTGATTTCAGTAAAGCTTTTGATAAAGTTCCGCACAACCGGCTGTTATATAAGTTAAGACATATCGGGATTGGAGGTAATTTATTGATGTGGATAAAAGACTTCTTAGTTGGGCGTCAACAAAGAGTAAGGGTGAACTCAAAGTTATCTAGCTGGGAAACTGTGCTTAGTGGAGTGCCCCAGGGTACAGTTTTGGGGCCAGTGCTATTCCTCTTGTATGTAAATGACCTTCCTTGTCTCCTATCATCATCGGTCTTGCTATATGCTGACGATGTCAAGATATGGAGAACGATACGATGTAAGAGTGATAGCTTAGAACTTCAAAATGACCTGAAGAAGTTATCTGAATGGTCTCAAACATGGCAGTTGCCGATAAATACTTCCAAGTGTGTTGTGATGCATATCGGTCATCAAGGCACAGATACATACACGATGAATAACACTGAGCTACCTGTCGTCCAGACATATAATGACTTAGGAGTTATCGTTAGTCAAGACTTAAAGACTACTGCACACTGCCGTGCAATAGCCGCCAAAAGTTTTAGAACGTTATGGTCAATACGTAGGGCTTTTAGTCATGTCGACACTAAGACGTTTTTGACTTTGTATACAGTGTTCGTTCGTCCTAAACTTGAGTACTGCATACAGGCGGCTAGCCCCTGCTTAAAAAAGACAGTGAGCTTCTGGAAAAGGTTCAGAGAACGGCGACTAAGCTGGTTCCCGCAATAGCGAAGCTTCCGTATGAATCTCGACTGGCCAAGCTGAACCTTTTCCCGTTGTCATATCGCAGAACTAGAGGCGACTTGATTACAGTCTACAAATTGCTTAGTGATAAATTTGCACCTAACATGCCCTCATTTTTCTTGTCTTCCAAAACAGAGAATTTACGAGGACACTCCAAAAAAGTTCATAAGCCGAGAACAAATTACTTGTCAGCTGACTATCGACTTTCCCATCGAATCATCAACGAGTGGAATTCACTACCTCAGCACGTCGTTGAGGCTCCATCCGTCGACTCTTTCAAAAGAAAGTTGGATCAACTGAGAGACCACCATTGCCAGGACTAACATAGGCCATCGAGCCTCCTGTCCTTCCCAAACTGAAACTGAAACTGAAACTGAGGGAAAATGTTAAAAGTCTCGAAGAGATTTTGGGGAAGCTGCAATGGAAAACTTTAAGGAAATGCGACAAAAAATTTGAAATTTCCCATGATCTGGTTTTTTCACAGAAAAACTTAAAATTTCGAAGAAAGTGACAAAACGATTTAGGTAAATTTCGGTTTTCTTCAATATTTGCTCGAAATTCACCCAAAATATGGAATTTACAATAAATCAATCGCTATTGGCCGACGCTTCCATAAAAAACATGATCGTTATCGAATAAGCAGTTACCGCTCTGGTTGGTAAGCTTTTGAATGTGCTCTGGAATTGTTAAAAGGCACAAATAAAGTGTTCCGTAGTCAAGTTGAGGTAAATGTTTGGACCTCCACTCCTGATCATTGATCCTATTCATAAAACGCTCAACAGAGAGGACATGTATATCCTTGAGTATGCTACAAATTTGTGTTAAATATCATGTAAACATACTTGTATAGGCTGTTTTGAAAAAATTTCAACAAGCTAGTTATATCATTTGAGGATGGCAAATTACTTGCATTGTTCACTAGCTTGAAACAAGCTTCATTCAACGCCTTTAACTTTGTGGTGTCTACAGTGACGAACGTATGACTAAATTCTTTTTTATCTTACATGCATGAGACTTAATATTTGTCATTTATGCGACTACTTATTCAAAAATCCAAGGTAGGGTCTCATTAGAAGTTAATATGAATAGCGAGTTAAAACAAACCTGAACGGGTAGACAGAAAACATTCATGTTATATTTTGCTAAAGGCTGCAGAACAGACGATAGTTGTTTGTTTGGAAAAATCTTGTATTTTAACGTACTATACTTCAAAAGGGAAAATGATATTGCTTTCAGGTAAGAAAATAAACACAGATATCCTTATTACTAATAATAATGGCTTTATTCGATATTATATTTCGGTACAATATATACTTTTGCTTGCATGCGTGTATTTTTATGTAATTATGTCTCGTTCTACCAGAAGATATACAAGGAGAAATATGTGAGTGAAGGAGATGGTTAGTATCTGCTAAGAATACACCTTTTGGGAGTTTGAGTAACCTTACATGTCTATCCACAATCACATTAATCATGATTTCGAAAGTATCACCACACACCTTGTTAACTGCCTTCAGCACTCTCCACAATACAGCAAAGTCTTTACTCAAAAGCCAGGGAAAGAATAATGGAGAACAGTAAAAAATAATAGGTAATATTGAAGAATTGACAAATTGTAAGAGTAAATGACGAGTAATCCCAAGAGCATGCAATCTCTTTGTGTAATAAGTCAGACCGAAAACCTTATTCGGTAACAATAAAACGTGAGAAGACCAAGAGAGATCAGAGCAAAAGGTAACACCAAGATGATTCACTTTCGACACTGTGTTTATCAAAGAGTCTCCAATGGCATAGGAATTATAAGGTCCCAAAGTGGAGTTTAGATGCCGTTAATATCTCATGATAAAGTTAACAGTTTGACATTTAGACGGACTAAGTATGAGACTATTAGCAACAGACCAACAATCAATACGAGACAAAAACTCATTTATTTCTATGAGATGTAAAGTGGTAGAGATAGGCATACAAGCAGTAAGATCATCCGCATATTTCAGAAACGTGTTTACTGCGGAATATGGTAGATCATGCAGAAGAGGAGAGAAGAGGTGAAATAACAGCTACTTGTGGTACACCTCCATGAGAAAGTAGAGACTCTGAACACTTTACTCCAAACACAGTATACTGTTCCCTTCTAGAGAGGCAGGAACATAACCAATTGATTAGCCAGCTGTCAGTGTTGACTCTGATTGACTTGTTAAGTAAGCGTTGTTATGGTATAGAATCAAAAGCAGAACTATAGTCCAGAAAAGCGCATCGGACATACTTCTTACCCTTTTCTAAGTTAAACACTATATTGTGATGCAAGACAGCAGTGGCATCTAAGGTGCTTCTTTTGCATCTGCAAGCAAACTGATACGGATCGATGTGCTCTTTTTCTGTAGGTTGGAGCGAGAGTGTCAATAATTTTTCCATTGTTTTGAGGAAAAGTGAAGTTATTACTTAGGGTCTAAATTTCACCTTATCACAAGATATTTTCTTATGTATGGGAATTATCTTTATCTTTCCCCACATTTCCGGGAATGAGATTAGATCAGATGGATCCGTTAAAAACACTCATGAATGGACAGCATAGGACGTCAGTACACTTTTTAAAAAGGACGTTTGTGATACCATAAGGTCCTAAACACCGGGATGAATTAAGTGACTGGAGACATCTTCGGACACTAGTTTCAGTGAAACTAGGAACACAACTATTCTTTAAACCTGTGAATATAGGGTGCTTTGCGTCAGATGACCGACGTACAAAAGACTTGTTTAGGCCACAAACATTCAGCTGGTTATCGCTGCTAATGTACCTGCCACCTGTAAGTTCTTCAAAATGTTTCAACACACTTGAAGAGTTTTTACAAGACAGGAGTTTTAGAGTAAACATAGAGTTGAGACGTCTAATCTCTAGGTTTATTAGATCATTCATCTTACGAACTTCAATAGAGATTTTCTGGCACGAGAAAAACGTCAGACTCCTTTTAAGCTGCCCGCCGTTTCGTTTCAACGACCTTGAACGGTCTGACAAGAGGCGGTCATTCCGTATTTCGATTGCCATGGGTTCGTTGCGTTGCATGAGTACTATGTTTTCTTCATATTTAAGTCTTCTGCATTGAAAAGCAGAAAATAACTGCTAAAAGCAATAACTTAGCATTCTCTGTTTTGTAGTGTACACGTTGGCTCTGTTGTTGTTTCGTTAGTTGACCTGTGAACCCAACTTCTGTAGTAAACCTCGACGAAATGTCAAGTCATCAGTAAGTCTTAAATATTTGTAGTACTTCCTTCAGTTGTTATTGTTTTAACGGACAACTTTTTTATAATTAACGATTGATGATTGTGGTGCTTCTTGTTCACGTGACGTTTCAGTCGAATTAATCGTTCCTTAACAAGCGTTTCGCAAGCTGGAATGACTTTGATATAGCGCTATAAGTGTCCCAAAAATTATGGAGTAATAATTGTATCACTTCTCAGACTATCCGTACTCATTATATCCACACGGAAAGCAAATTGCTCAAGGATTTCAGATTCACTCAGGTTCTTTTGACATCTTGTCTGTGTCTGAACTCCATTCGACTATTACACCACCCATTTTTAATGTTTCCTTAATTCTAACACCAAATAATCTTTGACCTGTCCATGCACACGCACATATATGTATACAGTTTTTATTGATAACCTAGTTCATTGCAATCCTTTATTTTTCATGTTAATTGTTTTATACTGAAGATGCCACAGGTATTCAGAGTTTGACAACGCTTTAACCAGTAACACCTAATATGAAGCGTACCCACCAAGTGAAATCAAAAGACAGAAGCGGGGATGTTTGAAGATATACTTGATATGCTGTCAATATATCGAGAATCGTCTGATCTGATCTGGCCAGCGATTACAGGGGTTGTTGAACACGTCGTTCCCACTCGTGATCGGGTGCGGATGCATGACCGAGTGCCTTCAGCTAAGTCAGTCCACTAAAACATATGGTCAGCATCCAATGTCGAAAACTTACAGATCTATTTATCTTAGGGATTTTTACCGCTACAGATCACTCCCCCCTCTAGTGGGGTAGTGATGACACTAAGACGTGGCCAGCCAGAAGCTTAAACCCAACGTCAGGACAATCAAGCCCCCTCCTTTAGTATCGCCGTAGACGCATTCGACTCAGCAATAGGAGGAGCCTTACAACGATGTGTTACCTACTCCTGGCATTTTTTAGCTTTCTTCTCGAGACCAATGCTAGACGCTGAATCGAGCTGCAGCACTTTCGCTAAGGAACTTCCAGCTATGTGTTGTGCTGTACGGTATTCTCAACACTATCGAAGGTCGAGACTTCACCCTTTTTACTGATCATAAACCGCTTAGCTCTTATTTAAGCTCATCGTCAGACAAGTAATCACCCCGTGAGTCTCGACAACTGGACTACATTTCGCAGTCTGCTTCAAATATACAACACATTTCTGGAGCAAACAATGTAGTCACAGACGCCTTGTCTCGAATAAATTCCCTGAACAGTTTTCAAGGAATCGACCTTCTTAAACTCACTCAGCTCCAAAAAGAAGACACTGATCTTCAGCATGAGTTATCCTCAACAACCCTTAAACTGCGCATTAAACGGATGGGAACAGGTAAGGAAACCTTACTTTGTGACACATCTACAGGTGGGGATCGTCCAATCGTGCCGAAACATTATCGAAGCAACATCTTCAATAAGTTGCACAAACCCTCTCATCCAGGTGTTCGTGCAACCATCAAGCTTATAGCAGAACGGTTTTGCTGGCCTGGCATGAATAAAGACGTGAGGGAGTGGGCACGCTCCTGTGTGAGCTGTCAAAAATCTAAGGTTATCAGACACAGCAAATGTCCCTTAGGCTCATTTAAAACTCCCGATGCTCGTTTCGACCTTTTCATCTGGATTTGATAAGAATTTTTACCAGATTCAAATGGATACTCTTATCTCCTAACCTGCGTTGACCGTTTCACTCGATGGCTAGAAGCAGTACCTATCAAGGACATCACTGATGAGACAGTGGCTGGCGCCTTCGTCAAATGATGGGTAGCAAATTTTGGCTGCCCTTCAACTATCACTACAGATCGTGGACGCCAGTTCAAATCTGAACTTTTCCGTTTTCTGACCGCACTATCAGGAACCACTCGCTTACGAACAACCGATCACCACCCACAAGCAAACAGGTTAGTAGAACGTTTCACCGAAAACTAAAAGCTTCACTGTAAGCTGCAAACATTTCTCAATGGACCGACGCTCTTCCACTCGTCCTACCAGGTATTCGCAATGCAGTGAAAGCAACGCTTAATTCGACTGAAACGTCACGTGAACAAGAAGCACCACAATCATCAATCGTTAATTATAAAAAAGTTGTCCGTTAAAACAATAACAACTGAAGGAAGTACTACAAATATTTAAGACTTACTGATGACTTGACATTTCGTCGAGGTTTACTACAGAAGTTGGGTTCACAGGTCAACTAACGAAACAACAACAGAGCCAACGTGTACACTACAAAACAGAGAATGCTAAGTTATTGCTTTTAGCAGTTATTTTCTGCTTTTCAATGCAGAAGACTTAAATATGAAGAAAACATAGTACTCATGCAACGCAACGAACCCATGGCAATCGAAATACGGAATGACCGCCTCTTGTCAGACCGTTCAAGGTCGTTGAAACGAAACGGCGGGCAGCTTAAAAGGAGTCTGACGTTTTTCTCGTGCCAGAAAATCTCTATTGAAGTTCGTAAGATGAATGATCTAATAAACCTAGAGATTAGACGTCTCAACTCTATGTTTACTCTAAAACTCCTGTCTTGTAAAAACTCTTCAAGTGTGTTGAAACATTTTGAAGAACTTACAGGTGGCAGGTACATTAGCAGCGATAACCAGCTGAATGTTTGTGGCCTAAACAAGTCTTTTGTACGTCGGTCATCTGACGCAAAGCACCCTATATTCACAGGTTTAAAGAATAGTTGTGTTCCTAGTTTCACTGAAACTAGTGTCCGAAGATGTCTCCAGTCACTTAATTCATCCCGGTGTTT